GGGGGGGGGGGGGGGGGGGGGGGCCCAAAGACAATTACAATTCCACAGGTGGAGATATCAGAGACCGGTTGTTTTCTGAAGCGAGCAAGTGTTTTGTCCATCCATTCTCACTTGGCTGCTGATCTTTTATAAATCCAAAGCTTTACAGACATCACATGGAAGAGTTTTGTAGTTGTCATCATTTTTCACATCAAGCTTCTGCATCCAGTTTTGAGCACGCTTGGGTGAGTAGCCGAGATATTGGCTGCCAGTACAGCCCCCTTGGATGTCGCGGTAGTCTCATTGGGGGTTCGAACTGCAGTCCTTTCTGTGCAGGTCGACCGAGGTCTGCATATGAGAAGCTCAGAGATTGGACAAGATACCCGATGATTGGCATTTCCGCGTTTATCCTGCCATTGTTGACGGAATCATCTGGGTCATACCCCATAGCTGGAAACATGGTCTTTCCCTGACCGTATCTGACAAGGCTTGCGTTTTCAAACACTTCTCCTGACCAGTTCTCGTATCATCTCCGGCGGGAATCTCTGTTGTGAGAATAATTACTTGCCTCCCATGCTCGAAATAACATCTCGTTGAGCCTGTCGATCCCGGTTGACGCCTGTCAATGGTGCCACGCTTCGAAGATCACCCACAACATCTTTGGCTTTTCCAAAGTACACTTCTTGAAGCATGTTTCTCATCTTGCCTTCCATGTCTTCGATCAATCGACCGACATTGCACACGTGGCCTCCATCTTTGCCTTGGCCACCTACATTTTCCACGACCAGATCGGCCTCGACTTGTCTGGTCATGCTCCCTGCAAGGTTTAGAGAGCCGACACCCTCGCTCTCTCGACCAAGGTGAAGGATGACAGTGCTGGTCAACTTGTAGTGACATGTGCGCCCGCTGCCTCTTCTCTCATCGACCTCGAAAACGTGTATACTGTCCCATCCGGCCTCTTGCCCGACGCTCTTCTTCAGTAAGACGACTCCGGCAAAACCGTCATCGAGGTCCCACAGATACACGCTTCCAGTTCCACCTTCGTAGTACATTTGTCGGTAAACGTCGAATGCGGTGTTGGCTTCGACCTCCATTTTTCTTACTCGGTCACTGGGGTACGTGGCATCGTCTAGAGGTGGTTCGAACTCATTACTCCAGGGGCTTCGATACGAATCTCCATCTCGATTGTAGTCACATAGCAGGTAATCGCGACCGGTTTTCTTGCATCTTGCAGAGGTCAAAGGTTGGTCGACGGAGGAGAGAAGGTCTTCGGTGAGATCAGGAACAAGAGCAGTGATAGCGTTGAGGTTGTCAGAGACCGAGAGCGGAGACAGTCTTCGGAGCAGGTCTCTATATCAAAATCATGACAAGTTAGCAACAACATCTCATACATGAGCCGTGATCCTGCTTGTGTTGTTGAATTTACAAAGAATGTCAGACCGCGCTGATGGAGTAACTCACAAAGCCGCATCGAATTGGGCTTCGCTTGCCATTACGCAAGGAGGAAAGAGAAAATCTGGTGGCTAGGGTGTCTGAAGAGGAGGCGGGTATTGTTTATTCACCAAACAGTAGAATGTGAGCATACAATCGTTCTGCGGAGAGAATCCATATCAACGTTCTACGAAGACCATGTACTACGTAACAAAATCGCCCCGCGACTCATTCTCAATTCGGAAGTATTTGATGCCGCCCTGAACAAATGGAGTAGTGAGATCTGACCCCTATTCCTTGCACATCCACTCAACATCTAGAACACAGGTACATTTGCAGTACTGCCCAGGACAGGGAGTATGACTATTTTCTGCCCGTTAGAGCTGACGTTCATTGCAAAAATTCCGATTCACGCACTCTTCTCCCAGCCCAGATCGTATTCCGACACGAATTGCGTATACAAAACCTCCGGACTACCTGTTGTCTCCTTGTATACTGTGCTACCTCTGATTCTACGATTCGCTTGGAAAGTCCATTCGCTGCCACCAGCTTCCAGCAAGAGTTGGGTCTCGCATGCGGGCTACAGTACAATAGAGTATGCTGCAGCCTCGGCTATTGTACTACCAGCCGTGAGTATGCGGTGGATGGAGGATGATTTTTCTTTTTGGTGGGGGCAGCCGAGAGCCTCTATCACCGAGCCTCCGATTCCAGTATTTACTGCGAGAGTGAAAGCGGCGACTCGGTCAGTCATCCCTTTAGATGGTCAAATCTAAGAGTTTACTTCCCTTGATTCAATATCTCAATTTCTCGACCAAGCGTTGACCAGGCACGACTATATGGCGCGCGGTAGTGGCATGCGGCGTTCAGATCAAGCTGAGCTTTGTGAATCCTGGAATGGACTACAAAACCTGCAGCGCTGACATTGTCGGTCGTCTCGAACAAGACAAGTTCCCTTTTTCGTCGACGTGAACAAAGGTCAGACTCGAATTGCTCCAAAATGAACCGCGAACGGGCTGATCCCGAACGTCGAAGGATCTTAGGATCTGTGTTGCTTTGAGCCTTCAGGATGCTTGAACCTGCGAGGCAGAAGACTCAACCCTGAGGTTGACATAACCACTTTACACCGTCGCCGATGCCCAATTTGTCGAAGATTCTAAGTGCACACCGGCCATGTGATTCTTTTCTCGCCAGAGCGGGTCTTCAACTGGAGGACCTGGTGGAATTATATCAAGCCTTCGTGCCCTGCCACCGTGCCCTGCATTTGTGACAAGAGCATCCTGGGTTTCTTTCTTGTTTGCGGTCTGAAGATACTGCACACGATTTGGCTTCTTCGATTGGGAAAACTGTGATTGTGACGGTCGAAGCCATGAAGCCAAATATCTCTCGGTAAGCGATTTGTTTCCGATGAAGAAGGTAGGTTCTGTTGACAATTGATTGATTACCTACCAGTCTGATTGTGCTCGGGAGTGATACTCTGGACCGAAATCATAAATCCCAACTTCAGCATGATCTCAGTAAATGTACGTTCAGAATGGCCAAGAGGAGGAGATGAACAGTGGTTGTTGACGCCAAATGCATTCTATTGTCAGACGGATTAATCAGAGCTAGTCATTTGCGGTGTCACGTGGTATATGTTCTGGTGCAATGTGATATGTGGCGACGCCAAGGCTTGTAAAGACCTTCGGAAGCGTTGTACGCTTCGTACACGCTTCGAAAGTATATAGTCTGACGGTCCCTTGGGCCCCTTCGAGGTCCTCCGTAAAATCACAACAAAGTCCCTATACCGTGTTTTAGTGCGGAGCAGACGACTGGCGTCCCTGGCCTTCTTCGAGCCTTATGCTTAAGCGGGCGTACACCAGCTCAGCCGCGAAGTAACAAAGATCCAAGCCACGGAGTTCGAAATTATGTTCAGTATCACAGAAAAGTAACAGGAAGAGAGGTAGAACGGAGGAAGAAGTGACCAATGCCATAAACGGAACACATTATACCAGGAGATTAGCACATTCGAAGAGGAGTCTCCGGCAGCGGTGAACAATATGAGTGAATTGAGACGGTCGGACACGACCACCGGCCTCAGCTTCCATTGTAACGCCTTTCTCATAATACAGTATATGTCCTCATGGTCACAGTGTTCTGCGGGCCGGCCTCGAAACCGAAGCATAAATATCTGTGGCGATACTCTAGGTTGAAACACGGGCCTGCTTTGACCTGTCCGGAAGCCGGTTGAGTAGATTTGGCTCGATTCTTACACTCACACAGCCATATAGGCGATGACAAGACCGAGAAAGGCGGAAAGGTACTGTGCCATCGAAGCACAGATCGATCAACGTGCTTGAACATAATGATTCAGAGAAAGAAGGGACAAGAAGGTAACAGTGCTTAAGAGAAAAGTCCGCAGGTGACGACACAAGGCGGTTTCACGATTGTTCGAATCGGCGCTGATGCTGGATTTACCTTCTTTGCCTATCAACAGCCAACTGGTACCAATGGAAAGGAGCAGGGTATCTATCAGGCTAGCAGCAGTTAGTAAGATTTGAATATGCAGTTGTCAGTATTTGAGTACAAGGGGAGAGGTTTGGTTTTACTTTTTTGACTTGGCCCATGTTTTCTGATAGGTCGAGAGAAATTGAGCCGATTCGATGAATTTCTGAATGGTATCTTCATGGTCCTGATCCACTCTCATCAGTCAGATGGGTTGGATGGGACATCTGACATAACTTCTCCTTTCCTTCCTTGCTTTGCGTGTTCACATTCATGCTCATTCCCGTCTTCGACAATCAAACCCGCCACCCGAAACAGAGACAATAATTCTTTGAAACATGGACGTCTGACTCCAAAGATCTGACTCCATCAACTCTTCGCTCGCGCCAAAGCGAATCCGCCAACACAATTGAAACCGCTTGCATCAGCACGCACCATGGACGTAGACCCAGGCAAAATAATGCGAACAAACCAAGGGAGTGGGGAAAACACACAAGCCACTATCCCTCGCTGAACCCAAAGCACTTCAGTGGTATGAACGAGCATGATAACTCATGATCTAGGACTGGGCAGCAGTCTGATCTGCCGGAGCTTGGGGTTGGATCTGTCCCTGTCCTGGACCACTCCGTCCTCGATTCCCACGGTAGCCACTGTTGCTATATCCACGATTATTGTAACCGCCACGATAGGTTCCTCCATATTGTCGTCCTCGGCCATACCCACCAGCTCTGCCTCGTCCACGATATCCACTGTCCACATTCCCCTGGCCAAAAGTCTCGATATTCTTCTTGAACTCCTCGCCTCGAGCTTGTCTCGCGTTCGCACGTCCATCATTTCCTTCTTCTCGATCTTTCATCTCCGATGAGAGATTGTCGAAAAAAGACGTGGATTTGTTGTACGCGACTCCGGTGGTAGGCAAGCTATCTTTTCTCTTTGGTGTGTCGCTGGACCCTCCATTTGCTTCACCGGCGGCGCTGTTTTCGTCGGGTGGAGCCCCTGATGCGATTGCTTCCTTGATCAAGTCTTCTTTGCTGAACTTCGCATTTGCCGATTCAAAATCGAAATCAGACTTGGGAATGTCCATCTTCTTCTGTCCACCACCACGAGGATAATTACCGCCTCGACCACCTCTGAATCCACCTCTTCCACCACGGGCGGTACCGTTTGTGGTGTTGGACATTGACGTGTCTGCCACTTTCTTCGATAGAGCATCAACGGCTGCAGTCGATGGGAGAGGTTTGGTTTGCGATGTTGGGGCCTGAGGATTGAGCTTCGCCATGGCCGCCGCAACGGCTTCTTTGGCTCGTCGAGATGCTTCGTCCATAGCAGCTTGAGATGGGGCCGGTTTGGCAGGTTTCGTGGTCCCATTCGTCGATGCACCGTCTGTCGCACTGGGAGCGGGAGGCGTAAAGGACTTCTGATTGACCGTCAATGGCACCGCGGGGGTAACTCGATTGGTCTTTGGTCCTGAGGGGGTAGGTTTTGGAGCGGCGGCCGTGGGTGCCGGAGCCGTGCCCGATGGAGGAGCCTTGGCCGCAATCCCAGCGACGGTCGGTTGAGCTTGAGTAGAAGCAGCCGTTTGTGAGACCTTCGGTTGCGCCGGAGGCGTTGATTCAGAAGCTTTATTATCGACCGGTAGCTCTGAAGTGAGATTCGAGGCAGGCGCGGGCCCAGGAGCTCGAGACTCTGGCTCTGGTTGAGATTGTGGCGGAGGTGGTGGAACACTATTGCGTTGTCCGGGAGGCCCAATTGGAGTTTGATGAGGTTGGAACGGATGAGGACTCGGACCTTGTGGAAACCCCCCTGAACCACCCGGTGGACCAAAATATCCTGGCGGCGGAGGACCATAGGGTGGAAATCCTGGGCCGGGGCCAAACCCTCCTGGTGGAGGACCGTAGCCCCTCCCAAACTGACCTGGAGGATAGTAACCGCCAAAAGGTGGATGTGGAGGGTATTCGCCCGGAGAGAAGGGACCATCGCGCGGGGGACCTTGAGGTGGAGGGCCAGGACGAGAAGCATTCTAGGAAGTCGTTCAGAGTCAGTATTGTTCCAAGACGAATCGAAGGATATGCAGCTGGAGTATGGTTGGAGTTTGGTCAGAAGGAAGGCAACGGAAATATCCACACGGCTTTTGCGCATTCAGAACAGGTCTGTGAATTTACATCCGAATATCTCATCATCGAATTGGTGCGAGGAAGGTCCGGTGCGTGACATACCAATATCGCGGGATCACTCGGCATATTAGAGGGTGGAGAAGGTTGCGATTGTTCTTCTTCAGCAATCTTGATGTCCTTGACATCACTTCCACGGAAGACGATGAAACCATATTTCTGTTGCGAAGGAGGGATGAATTTTTCGACCTTTCGGTCTTCGGTACCAAATGAGTAGACATTTTCCAAGGCGATAGTGGACTGCTCAGGATTTATTTCATGGAGGGTGCCGACATAGCTATGCACACGAGGTGGTTAGAGGTGGCCTTTGTTGCACAACCCGAGGATTCCATACCGAATTTCACTTTTGGAGATGAGATTGAACCGCTGACCGATCAGATGGTCCATGTCCATGATGGCGAAAAGAAAGCGCAATCAAAGAAAGGACTATTGTTACATAGAGAAGGAAAGTGGGTGAGCCTAAGAGAGGAGAGGTTGGAGGTTAAAAGTTTTGGTGGAGGAATTCGAGGCTGCGCAGGTCACGGTGGCTTTGGCCGCAGTCCCGTGGGAAGCGAAGACGCTTCATAAAATATTGTTTCACCCTACATCGCGTCATAGATGATCTTGCGCCTCAACGTAGTCTTGGCATCTCCAATTTTGCGCAAGCCACGTGACCATAAACCCTAATCACGTGATCAACACAGTATACTAAGGGCCGCGGATACACGAGGGGGTAAAATCGTAGCTTCTATTTATTGGGGGGGGAGCTAGCCCCAAACCCCTAGGCCTCGCTGCGCTCGATATTGCCAAGCCCTTTGCATCATGTGATTGAGCCGGCCACATTGGTATTGGCAATTCTTGGCGGTGTTCATATGTGTCACGTGATTGGAAACCCCGGGCAATTACTGTGCTTTGATTGGCCTACCCCATCGGATCCAATCCACGGCCTACTCGGGAATGGGCGTAGCCGGAAAATCTATAATCCGATGATTACCTAATCCTGTGCTCTGATTGGCTGACCCCATCGGATCCAATCCACGGACCACTTCGAGCGGGCGCTGAACACGCGATATTTGGCACATGATTAGGTGCGATTAACTAGAGCACTTAACTAGATCCGTTTAACAACCCCCCTTCGGATGGAAAACGCTCTTGATGACTTGGTTGATGGCTCGAAAGGGGCAACAGTCTTGTAAAGGCGAGGGATCTAACAGCTGGGCATGGAATGAACCGGTGGACAACGGAGGTAGCGCGTAGTAATTAACTAGTCCCCTATGGGAACCTATGGTACACGCCGTAATGCCCCGGCAATAGACAGAGGCATAATAGCGGCAAGGAATTGACATCCCCGCAATCATAAGGACGATGCCACTGTATACCGTATCAGGACAGCCTTGCTGTGTTGCCGCCCACGACGCCACACACCACTGTGACCGGATATATAATTTATGCATTTCCCCAGACCTCTTGGATATCAAGGTACTAGAAAAAGATTGTATAGTACCATATTTATTCATAGATATTTAGGGACTAACTATTAAGCTGGGTAAAACTGACTTGGCCAGAATTCAGACCAATGGCAATTGTATTACCGTCGAACGCCGAACAACCACTCCGATACTCATGTGGAAGCCACAATGCCAGCCGGCATGTACCGGGTCTGCAGCGGCTGCAACATCGCCCACCTCTTTGAAACGGATTAGCCACCTGACTATCTTGTCGGCCTTCTTTTTTAGAATGAATTCTTTCCCAGCAAGTCTAATCCTCCAGCTGTTCTCCAGGCAGCATCGTTGCTTCTCCTTAGCCGCAGCGACAGCCTGCTCAAGCGCCAAGTCAATGTCGCTGGAGGTCGGAGGAATATGTTTTCTAGGGGTTTCCCGATCGTTGTCCGAGAGTCGTTTGAGAGCAACATCTAAGACATTATGGCCGGAGGGATTGGGAGCTGCTTGCTGTGATGACGAAGGGACAGCACTTGCATTTGGTGAGTTAGTGGCAGGCGGTCTAGCTGACGGTGGGCCTGACGATGCCAAAATCTGCGTCGATGCCTGGGTTGAGACTGGTGCTGGGGTGGGTGATGAAGCACGGCTTCCAGGCTTGAGGCGTTGACGTAGTCGCTCTCGTACGCTAAGCTTTGCGGGCGGAACAGGGGTCCCGCTCATGTTTGGCGATGTTTAATGGGTACACTGTCCTGTATATAATAGATTCACCATGGGAATTGCTCGGTTCAATCTCGCAAAGGTTTCCAATGGAGGGCTACAGTATGTCGTCAGAGCCCAAGCAGTCTCCCCATCATTTGGACGGACCAGGACATGCCCGATAGTAATGGGGGCGCCTCGGGAGAGCGAGTCCTGACCGCGAGTTTCGAGCAACAGCGAGTGGGTCCGGAGCTATCGAAGCACCAATGGGGCCTATTTGTGCGAGCGTTGTCTGGTGGATGGCGAGGTACCTCAAATCCGTAGTAAAATGGGGGGTTTTCAGGTACCTTTCCATCCACTTTGCCTCTCTCGCATAATTGGCTCCTCTTGACCTCGCTGCCGACCCGACGCTCTATGAGCCTCTTGTGAGTCCTGAATGAATCCCTGCTCTTTTGCCCGGTTGTATCTCGCAGTGGAAGTGCGCACTCTCTTATTTCGACCTCCGGCTAGTACTGGAGGTGCCGTAGACGCCGGAATCTCGGTTGGCGAGGCCTCAGGAGAGGGCGATCGACGCGGACGGGGTCTTTCAGGAGTGCGAATCGGTAGGTGTTGTGAGAGAGGAGTAATTTGAGATGGCGGCGGAGGAGTTGCGGGCACATAGGTGGCTTCAAAGGGTTTTGGATCCACCGGACAACGCTCGCACAGCTAGGCTCAAATAGTGCTTAGACAGCTCCGGACTCGCGCCCCCCGCGATTCGAGTCTTTTGCAAAGGTCGGACGATGCCCCTCTCGTGGCATCGAGGAAATCCACCTCCAGGTTCGAGGGGCCCATGGTCAGGGTAGTAGTCAAAGAGTTAGACGGATCCCTTGCTGTTTCTGGTCCCGAGTATTGGTTGCGAGACGGCCGAGGGTGGGCGCTGATGTGGGACGCAACGAGGGCTTCGATCTTGGCATCGAGGGAAGAAACAGTCCCAAAGCGGCGGCATTGACCGCCAAATTCGGCGGGAAATTTCCCTGCCACCTGCGTTGAGATGCAGTCTCGTCTGTGATGTCTGTGGGTCATCAATAATGACCTCCTTCAACATGTCCAATCAAGCAGGTAACTATTTTCAAACAGAGTACGTGTCCAATGTTTATCCAAAAGAAAAGCTCCCTGATGCTGATCCTGTCGCCCAGCACCTCCTTGGCTGAAAATGAACGAAAACAGCGCAAAGCAACCAACAGTCAGGGGAACCCCGTCAAATTCCGCTCCAAAATATTAGCTGTGGATGTCAATTACTTTTGGGATCCCAGTGGAGATGTCGTCTTTGTGGCTGAGGCTGGAGGCTCTGTCACCGGTCTCCGGCTATCTACAAATGAGCTGTCCGCTACTCCTCGAGGACCCAAGGCACCTCTGACGAGCCTGGCTTTCCATGGCTCCAAATCCCCGACAGATGCTTCCACGACGATGCGAGTCTTTGCGGGCTGTTGGGACAAATCGATTTGGAGATATACGCTTCATTCCACGGACGGACCGTCAAAAAGCATGACATTGACCGAATGCACGTCGTTCCCGGCTCACACCGACTTTGTAAAATGTCTTGCCGTTGCCCGGACGCCAGACAAACAAGACATAATAATATCAGGCAGCACGGATGGCGACGTCAGGTTTTGGACCGTGGACGGACAGTCTCTCGGATCTCTGAAGCCCGATTGCCGTGGGATTGAGTGTCTTGTCATCGATCCGCTTTCCTCGTCCGACTCACCTGTTGTGATGTTTTCCACCTCGAAACAAGACATCTTTGCCTTCACTCTACCAGAATCATCCAAGATCTCCACCAGTCACATACAATTGTCGTTACCCATCAGAGCACACGAGACCAGTGTGTACAAATTACATTTTGACGACGATGGAGACTTGTGGACGGCTTCTGCGGACAAAACAGCTAGGCATCTCTCTAGGAATGATGGCTGGAGGACAGAGGCCACATTACAGCATCCGGACTTTGTGCGGGATGTCACCACCCATGACAAATATGGTTGGGTCATCACAGCGTGTCGAGATGAGGAGATCCGAGTGTGGAACAAGACGACGGGTGAACTTCACCATGTATTCTCAGGACATTATGAAGAAGTCACAGGACTGTGTATGACTGGAAACCTCGTCATCAGTGTTAGCATCGACGCAACACTTCGAAGGTGGAGCCTTGCCCCAGCCGATCTCCAGAAAGCGGTCGAAAAGGCGAAGAATCCTAAATTGCTTGAGCAAGAGCCGGAGCCTAAGAATGATATGTCAATGCTGACTGAGGAAGACGAGGCTGAACTGCGGGCGTTGATGGAGTCGGAGGAGGCGGATATATTAGAAAAGATGGCGATGGATGAGCAGTAGAGGGCCAATAAAGGGGGTATGGTAGATGACCCTCCTGAATTGGCTCCTCGTCACTAATGATCATATACCGTAACCTTTCCCTGGGGCCCAAGGGACCGTCAGACTATATAGTTTCGAAGCTTGTACGAAGCGTACAACGCCTACAAGGGTCTTTTACGAGCCTTGACGCCCCATCAGTGTTATCGGCACGTGCCCGGGTCTGCAGATTAGATAAGCGGGTCTTGATTAAATGCAACGCGCTGATTGGCTCCTCTACCACCTCGCAATTTTTTCCACTGCATCCCCTCCGTATCCTGTTCTTTCGTTTTTGGGGAAAAAAGGAAAAAAAAAAAAATCTCTGCTGTAAGCGAATCGACCCCCTCCCCCTCTCCTCCCCTGGGTCAGTCATCCGTATCTCATCTCGACATTTCTGTACCTCGCATACTATCTTGTGCCATCTCCCAACTGCTTCCAACTCCCTGCATTAACCGGGCTTTTCCGACCCCAGAGCCTTGCAAATCCAGCCCACGTGCTCACCAACATCACTTCTTCCCTTCTCTTTTTGGTGCACAATTACCATCTCCACTCGTGTATTGGCGTCGACTTCATCCTCAAGTACACTCTTGTCATTTTTTGGTTGGACTCTATCGGAGGTCTAGGATCTCCGCTGATTGCCCGCCTCGATGGTTAACGAGGAGCCTGAAGTCATATTGCACAATTGCCTGGCAAACAGCACATCTCCATACGTGAGAGATTGATCGATCTCGATCACGTCGCCAACGCTAATATAAACCAGCTCCGAGCGCACAAGGACAATCTTGTGGCCTGGCAAGAATGGTCCGAGAAGGCCATCTCCTTAGCAAAACGCTCTCAGCGACTCATCTTTCTCAGTATTGGCTACAATGCATGTCATTGTAAGACGGCCGGATCAATCCGTTTTTCTCAGGTTAACATACTCTTCAGGGTGCCATGTCATGGAACGAGAATCTTTCAACTCCCCTGAAATTGCCGACATCCTCAACCAATCGTTCATCCCAATCAAACTGGACCGAGAATCTCGTCCCGATCTGGACGATATCTACATGAGCTATGTCACTGCAACCACCGGTTCCGGTGGATGGCCATTGAATGTCTTCCTCACCCCCGACCTGAAACCCGTCTTCGGGGGCACATACTGGCCTGGCCCATCACCAACCACCCACCTCCAACGAGGAACTCCTCACGATGAGCCCCCGGTCACCTTTATCGACATTTTGCACAAGATGCAAGAAGTCTGGACGACACAACGGGAACGATGTCTTCAGTCATCCACCGACATCACCAACCAACTACTCGCCTTCGCGGCGGAGGGCATTCATTCCCATTCCACTGTCCAAATCCGAGGAACTGAACCGCCTTCTTCAGACCCCCCCGAACCTTTAGATCTGGACCTTCTCGATGATGCCCTCAGCCACTTTATTTCTCGATATGATTCGACATATGGTGGATTCAGCGCCAATCCGACCGCCCCGAAATTCCCCACGCCCTCCAATCTCACATTTCTTCTTCGAATCGGTGCAGCGATTGCGCAGCCGTCCACCCATACACGCTTCGGTTTCTTCAGTCCAGTTCCGGGCATTTTAGGTCGAGAGTCATGCGTCACCGCGGCAAGAATGTCGCTTCACACGCTCCTCGCCATTTCACGATCGGGCCTCCGAGACCAATTAGGATATGGGTTCCATCGATACAGCGTCACCGCCGACTGGAATCTCCCGCACTTTGAGAAAATGATGTGCGACAACGCTCAACTTTTAGGCTGCTACTGCGATGCATGGGCACTGGGTCGTGATCCCGAGATCTTGGGCACCATCTACAGCCTCGTCGAATACTTCGCCAACTCCGAATCTCCCATCGTCCAACCCGGTGGTGGCTGGTATGCCAGTGAAGACGCGGATTCTCGCGCCACTCTCTCCGCCGTCGCCAACGGCGTCACAGATGACAAGAAAGAAGGCGCCTTCTACGTCTGGACATATAAAGAATTCCAGTCCATCCTCGGCGAGCGCAACGCAGCAATTCTGGCCCGCCACTTCGGCGTCAAACCCGACGGCAACGTCCCCGCCCAGCACGACGTGCACGATGAATTCTTGACTCAAAACGTGCTTCACATCCAAGCAACGCCATCTGTGCTCGCGAAGGAATTCGGTCTCGCCGAAGAAGAAATCGTGCGCGTTATCAAAAGCGGCCGGGCAGAATTGCTCGAGTACCGAAAATCCAAACGCGAACAACCTGAAGTCGACACCAAGATCATCGCCTCATGGAACGGTCTCGCAATCGCCGCCCTCGCACGCGCGGCTAACACTCTCTCCACCATCGACAAACATCGCGCAGCAAGATGCCAGGAAGCCGCCGAGAAAGCCGCGGCATTCATTCGAAGGGAACTGTACGATGAAACTACCGGCAAACTCTATCGCACTCCGAAGCCGTCCACGACCACTCCCGATGAAGACACTCATATGGCATTTGTCGACGACTACGCCTACATGACGCTCGCGAATCTAGCATTATACGACCTCACCCTCTCGCAACCCTACCTCGACTGGGCCGTACGATTACAAAATTATCTCGACACGCACTTCATCGCCACCACCACGGGTGGCTACTTCCAAGCCGAGCAATCTACGCCAATGGAGCAAATCATCCGCTTGAAGCCCGGCACGGACAACGCGCTCCCTTCACCTAATGGCATCATCTGCACCAACCTCCTATACTTATCGTCATACATCCAAGATAAGAATGCGGAATACACCGCCAAAGCACGCGCGGTCCTCGACGCGTTCGCCGTCGAAATGATTCAGCATCCGTTCCTGTATGTGAGCCTGCTTTCGGGAGTTGTGATGGAACAGGTGGGCGTCAAGACGCTGATTGCGCCCATGACGATGCGCGAGAGTCAAGTGAGGAAGCTTAAGGGGTGGGGAAGGACAGTGGTCAGAGGAATCGTGCAAACGGTGATGATCTGTACAAGGGACGGGACGTGTAGGGAGTTGAGGCAGAGTGACCTGGAGGATGAGGATGAGCATGAAGACCACGCAGATGATGCGCCGAGCGTAAGCGGGTCGACGGGTGCGGCTACGGGTACGAATACCACGACGGCTCCAAACCCAGCGCCGGCGCCGGCGAGTGTTATGGCCTGAAATAAAGATAGAGCGTGACTGGATGGGATCAACGGGATGTTCTATGAAGGGTACACGGGCCTGGTTCGTTATGATCTGGGATGAATGGATGGCGGAGGGGGATCTTGTGTGCGGTGCTATACTGTACTGGTGGGAAAAAAGAAACTCAATCATCCTTCCTATGTACTAGTATAGAAGGGTACAGTGTTAATCTTACGGCCTAAATTTCTACATGAGAGAGGCACACCGCATTGTCTGGCCTAATATGGGACGAAACACGTACATGGACTCACGGTTCTGGCGTAGGGGAAAATGCAAGCGGCACAGGCCAAAGGCTGAAGTCGGTTCGGCTCGATGTGGATAGGGAAGCCTTTTTCTTCTCCCTCGGCGTCTTCACCTCCGTCTTTGTCTTCGTCGTCGAGCTTCTTCTGCCCTCTTCTTATAATATCTCCATTTGCGCGTTTAAGGATGCTTACTTGGAATGGTTCCTTTGGCTTAGGTTTCTTCTTTTCCTGCTCGCGATATCGCGACATGCATGGGAGCTCCGTTGAGTAAGGCAGTGAACAGTTAATCCATCACCTCTTGCACCATTGAATCTCTTGGTGACCTTGTGTTCCTCTTTTTTCCAGATATCTTCTCGAGTATTCTTCTTGTCTCTGTTGAAAATCGCTCCGTCCATGCCCTCGTCTCGATACTAGATTAGGTGCTCAAGGAATCTGTCCAAGTAGCGGGTTGAATCAAGTCTGGAGGTTTGCGATGGAGGTTGTGGAAGCAGATGATGTCGGAGGCATGTCATTTCCAACCCCTTCCGATAAGAGATCTGAATAGGTCTTGACTGCCGTGAGCACTCGGACCTATCGATAGATGTTATTGAATTGGCAAAACTGGCGACCTGGCCCACCAACCGAAAGGCTTGCCAGAAAAGGTCTTGTTCTCTAGCAAGACATGCAGTGCGATGGTAAAGCCAATTGGGTACTCACGGCGATATTTGATATCGTGAGTATGAGTCCGGGAGCACAATAGATTGGCACACATCTTGGATTCGAGTGTCTTCGTTACATTGGTATGTTGATTCATTGTTTCGTTTTCTGAAGTATTGAATGCTGCACGGGAGAGATATCGAATATGTTCCATTCTCTGCCTTGTTTTCGACATAGAGTTATTTACATAAAGAGTCCTAGGGTCAAAATTATCAACAAGTCTTGGTCTAGGTCGTCGTATGGGTATCGGTGGTTCCTTCGGGTTATGATGTATAGGAAGCAAATCAAAAGAATCTTGAGATGAACATAGAAATTCTGGATCTGGCCGGTCGTCAGAAGAGCTGTCTGTCATGATTTCGGACTCAAAAGTGCAAAGTATTTCGTCATTGGATTTGTAGCAGGTCGTTCGAAATGGGTTCGTTAAACATCAGATCGTAATTCATAATGGAGCAGAATGATTGTCGGAGGTCCGGTAAGTATCAAAGGAGGCAGGAGACGCAAGAACATGCATCGGGATTTGCACGACAGCGTCAATGCTCTCGCAGTTGAGTTTATGAAAGGTTCAGCGTACCGAGTAATCACAGACCCGCGAAAGGGTTTGGCTGACCAGACAACGCCAGTCCGCCGATTCGAAACCAATTAAGTCCCCACGTAGCAGCCAACTCCTCAAGACAGGTCTCGAGATTATGTTTAATATCGACCAGGTGATCAGCATGGTCGGTGATGACGGGTCTCATATCTGGTCTGTAGACCCTGACATTATAGAATTCAAGTAAGTTCCGTACCCAGTCCGCTATGGAAAAGGTCAGACGAGAATTCGATACCAAAGAATGAGACAAACTTGCGATGGAACTGCAACTCCTTAAATTCCAGCACCGTTCTGGGAAAGTCAGGGTGAACTTCCCATAATTCCTCATCTCGCATATGCTTGGTAGGATCTTTATCGTCTTTCGTGGGGTTGGCCCCTCTTCTCGCAAGGAGACGCTTTTTCTGTCCGTCAACGATGGCCTTTGCCTCGGGTGTGAGGGCGGAAATGGGGGCGATGGCATGATAAGGTCTCCATATATGAGAGTTTTTCGTCTTTGCTTCGTGGTTTTTGATTCTCTCTTCGATGATGGCCAAACGAAAACCGAGGCCTAAGGTGGAGCGATTTCCCTCGCGCGAGAGAAGCTCATTTTGGATGACTTGGAAGACATTGAGACCAAACTCCATGGTCGAGGCTGAGATCCCGCATGAATGCGAATGCCGATCAAGCTGAAATAGGAGTTTCAGATCATGAAGGAGCCACCCGTCAGGGGGGCGAAAAAGAAAAAAGAAAGAGCTCATGTGATTAAGGGTAACTAACGGCAAGGCGGAGCAAATTGGGTATCCAATATTGGCAGACGTCATCCTCGACGCGGCATAAGTCAGCATCCAGACAGACATAGGGATGTGAGCATGTGCATACCAGCGCAATACGTGTGATACCAAGAGTGGTGTAGGCAAATCAAAAGAGGTGAATCATGGTTTCTCTTGTTTGGCATTGGGACGAGGTTAGCAACGTGGTACCGACAAGTTACCAGCATCTCGCAAGGTATAACTGTCAAAGATGAGTCCTGAGCCTGGCTACTCGTTGACCTTCAGGTCCTCCGGTGTATCCTCCTGGTTATTCCATCTGCCCTTTTTGAATGCCTCAACAACCTTCAAATTCTCCCAAACCTTCCAAACATGCGGGAACTCACCCGGGACATCGACCCCAAACCTCAAGGCTCCATCGATGGCCGGAGCCAGTGCACAATCCGCCAAGGTCAGCTCATCACCCACACTGTACTTCCCGGCATAGGATTTCAAGAGCTCCTCGTACGCGCGGAAGCCAAAGGCCATGAAATGCAGCTGCCAAGTCTTGGCCTCAATGTCCAAGGGCTTGATGAAATTCAAAACTCTCAGGTTCGTGACGGGCTGGATGTCACAAGCCACTATGTTCACTAGCTCCCTCACCCTTGCCCGGCCCACGGTGTCTTCAACTCCCGGAAGCAGTTTAGGTAGGTCTGGCCTGCTTTCTTCAAGGAATTCCAGAATGGCAACGGACTGACGGATTTTGGTGATGACTTGGCTCGTTTGTACGTCGGTCACGACGAGGGTGGGAACCGATTCACTGGGGTTCAGGGCTGTGTATTCGGCTCCATGTTGCTCTCCCTTGACCAAGTGGATGTACCTGTATTCGAGCGGGATGTTCTTGAGATGCGCAGCAATTCGAATTCTCGCCGAGCACGAGGATCGGAAGTAACTGTAGAGGGTGTATTTGTGCTGAGGGGAAGGCATGGTGATTCGAGATGCCTTTGACGTCTTGACCAGGATTCTCTAGTAGTGGAGTTGAACCAAGGCCAGAAATCAATTGACTTATTAACTTATGTTTCCAAGAGCTCTCGAAATCTCCTCGTTCTCCCCCACGCAGCTGACCCAAGCCCACCAACGCGGAACACTTTCATTTCCCCCGCCCTTTTTGGCCGGTCTTAGGCGGAGGGGATTCCGTTTCTTTCAAAAAGCCTCTCAAGGCCCCTGAACCTTGCCAAACAAGGTGAATATTGGGGGCATTTGATCTGCATGTGCTGAGCACTGACTCGAGGTAGCCAGAAAAGAGAGCTTCCTATTTCTTTCCCCCTAATGCCACGAAGACGTAATTAAGAAAGACGGGGGTTCTAGGGACTGATCACGTGATACCGGAAATGGCCCTCCTACAACCCCGGTGAGTCTACGCTGCGGGGGAGGGGCCCAAAAGCACCCTGATTTGGGTCAACGACAATGACACAAGGTGAGGTGTGTTTTTGTTCCGGGACTGCCATAAGCAACACACACAGAAAGATCAATTTCTCTTTTCAGATCCTTTCTGATCAATCTCCAATTTCTGTTCGACCACTTTGAGCCTTTGTCCATCCCCATACTTTCCCTGCTCGTAATGTCCTCCCGCGAGATCCGCGTGGGCTATGTCCCCGAACATTACCTTTTACCTCTGCATTTCTGCAAGAGAGGTGACCTATTCCCTCCGTCAATACGTATCACACTCGTTCCTTTTCCCTCGGGTACCGGACATATGATCACGTCGCTCCGTTCCCACGAGATTGACCTTGCAATTGGGCTGACAGAAGGCTGGGTGGCTGGGTTGCTGAATCCCAGTATGCACACCAAGTCCGCAGACGAAAAAGGATATTCCATAGTGGGTTCTTGGGTATCTACACCACTGCGCTGGGCGATTGTCACAGGGCGGAACCGCAGTGAGATCAACTCGGTGGACGATTTGAAGGCTCATCGTCGAGTCGGCGTAAGTAGGCTTGGAAGTGGAAGTCACGTCATGGCTTTTGTCCTGGCTCAACAAGAAGGTTGGTTGCGACCGACGGCAGACTCCAGGTCCGAGGCCCTCACGGCCGTGCCCTTGGGTCCATTCAAGGACCTCCGTGATGGAGTGACGGGTGCGAGCGCCGATTTCTTCATGTGGGAACATTTCACCACCAAACCGTATTTCCACGGTGATGATACCCCGCTCAAGAAGATCGGAGAGATCTACACACCTTGGCCGAGCTGGCAGATCGCAGCGTCAACCTCGACGTTCCCAGATCCTTCGTCGGACGCAACATTGAAGGAAATATTTGAGTCCTTCGACCGGGGGGTCAACATCTTCAATTCTGACCCTGACGTAGGGATTCGGATGCTAGGCACCGGTGAGGCTGGCTGCCATTATTCAGAAGAAGATGGGAGAGAATGGTTGAAAGATGTGCGCTTCGTGGAGGGAACCAGGGGAGTAGACCCGAGAGTCATGAGCGGGGTCGCGGACGTGCTGAAGACCGCGGGCGTGATCGGTGCAGACGTAGAGATTCAAAACGGGGACGGGGTAATTGGTATTGCGAGGGAGTGAACAAAGAAAAGGGTGCTCCGTGTGTAAATGCAAGCCTTCCGAGGACATGTACCCGCACCATAACCCAAAATGGCTCTCCGCAAACTGCTCCCTGACTATTAATGTTCCATGAAGGTGTCCTGCCCGACCCTATGAATGTATCAAACTCAAAAGCCCATCTCCACGATTCACTCGCCAAACCCCGAGTTTCGGCCTTGACTCCGCCAACGACGAAAGCCGGGGGAGCCAGCTGGTTCCCCTCCGGTTTCTTCCTTAAGTTGTGGCATTAGTCTTAGATCTGGGTCGAAACGGTATCATATTGATCAATCAAGGGGAAGACATCAGGGTCCTAGGCCGACAGAACAAATGAGGGTGAAAGTAGTCAGCCTTGTGCTAGAAGTGTAGGGTGTCCCTAGCCACAATTGCAGTGACTCGGTCAGATGACCCTTCAGGTCCTAGGAGGGAGCCTTGACGATGACAAAGATAATGGAGATGGTCATAAGCGGAATGGGTGACGATGGCCTCGTATCTGGAGGATGTCCCGGAGCAAGGAGAGTGAGATTCTAGGAGCAATACGGAAGAGGAAGTACTGTTGGTCCATTGCTATGCCGTACTGGGAGAATGGCAGTTAGAGTGTCTTTAGGGCGTCAATGCCACTGCTGCGGGAAATTTAGGCGGTAAGCCGCAGCCTTAAGTAGCCCAACGGGAGTCTTTATTACTGATGTTTTGTTAGACCGCACAATGTGCGTTGAAACTGACTCCCCGCCTTTGCCTGCCACACCAGCCCGTTACTAACCCATTCCTCGCATTCCTCCTCTCTACTACTTCGTGATCACGGCCTCTTCCACCTCTTCCGCCTCTTACTGTGCCTGGAGCTCCCTTACCCGGCTGCGTGCCTCTCCACTGACCTCCCCGTATCATCTCCTTCTTTTCCCCTATCATACATCGCATCAATCATCCAATCTTCCATCACGGACTCCGTCATGCTGACTCCCAATTTACATCTCAACTAAGTCAGCAACGGCAAACATTGCTTTTTCCTCCCTGCCAAAATGACTCCGCGGTCCAACGATCCCTCCCCTAGCGTGGGTCAACCAACACCCCCCGGGGTCCCTTCAACCACGACCGCTACTACTGCCAACACCAACGACTCCGACAGCGACAATCAACCCGAAGAACGTCCAACGCACACCTCAGAAATCGGTACCCTCAAAAAGCTTCCCAATCATGGCACCGCCTGGCTAGGAAGCTCGTCCGGAGTCTACTTTGTCAACACGGTCCGTCGTGCCTTTTCCGCCGCCTTCGCCTCGTCCAGTCTCGGAGGTCCCAATGCGGTCCCCGCCAGCGAAGACATTCTCACCGGTGAAGATGCCGAAGGTCGCTCCTACAATGGTCCGCTACACGATGGCCCGAGTGCAACGGACCAATTCCCCCAGCTTCTCGCCTCTGCGTTGGGGAAACCTCCCGAACGAAAGATTGCCGTTGAATTGGTCATGTCCTTTTTCACCGCATGGCATCCTCTGTTTCCCTTCCTTCACGGACCCACTTTTCTCAAGGACATGGAATCCATATACGTCCAACAACGTCGAGCGTCCAAACCCACCAAAGAAAATCCGGCCCCGACGGACCTCCGAAAACTTCTGACCTTTCAACTCATCATCAACATCGCCTCTCTGGATCGCAGTGATATTCATCTTCCCATGGAGTCACGGATCAAATCCACCGCCGACGTCTGCCGGGTGGCAGGTTGTCTTGCGCTCACCCACGACCTCTCCACCATCCAAGCCATTCTGGCCGCTGAATTATACCTCGTCGCCACCCTCGCTATTCGTCAAGCCAGCACCATTGCCGGTATCATTGTCAAATTGATCTACCACGCGGGACTTCATCGCTGTCCATTGCGTTACGCCCAATTCTCCCTGGATGATTGTGAAATCCGTAAACGGATCTTCTGGTCCGCATATGCCTTGGATCGACATTGTAATTTGAGTCTCGGAGACCCCAATATCATCCAAGATGACGACATTGACGTGTGCTTGTCGGGCCCGGAACTACACAAAGCCGTCGCGCGAGAGATGGTCCCCAATCCGGAGGGCGATATGGGAATGCACATGCCTCCGCCTCGAGTTGTCGCGGACGATCCTCGGGTGGCACAATCCAATAATGACGGGCCCGAGGCCAGAGAGAAACGGCTGAGAGAAGCGGCATTGACGGCCTATGTGCAATGGGGAAAATTGACGGGACAAATCATTGAAGTCTTTCACAAAAGCATCAATCACCGCTTCCCCAAGCATGAACAAATCCTCCGCCTGACCAGTGACATTGAAACATGGTGGAATGATCTTCCGGGCTTCCTGACCGGAGAAATAGACCAGCCTGCAATACAGAGTCTTCCCGAATCCGCCGAAAGCAATGGCATCACCAATTCACAGTCATCCAACAACACCGCCGGTGGCCCCCATCCCACCACTCACGCCTCATCCGGCCCAGCCTCCGAATCGGCCGCGGTTCTCACTCACCAGCAACACCTCTCTAGCTTCTTCAAGATCCTGTACCATCGATTGCTTCTCTTAGTCAATCGTCCACGACTCTCTCTCGACCAGTCGACGCCGGAATTCCAACACGGCCTCCAAGTTTGCATTCGAGCCTCACGCGGGATTGTTGCCGGTCTTAAATCCCACAAACGTCATGGCCAATCCATGTTCCTTCCTGGCCTTCTCTCGGCAGCGTGGATGTCGGGACTCATTATTGCCTTTGCTTGTCAGCTAGGGAAATATGCCAAAGCGCGGGCGCTAAGCGACATGCAAGCGTGCTTAACGTTGCTTGAGAGTATGAACATCAGGTGGTACACGGTACAGAACTGCCACAAGGTCCTGAGCCTGTTGCTCATCAACATTCAATCACGCAAGGCCTCTATAAATGGCTTCCTCACCGTCCCCAAACCAGATCAATCCCCCCAAAATCTCCCTCACGAACTCGATCAAATACAACCGTCAAGAAAGCGCCAACGGACAGGTGGACCTGAGGATGCCAGTCCCCGAAAATCCTCCACGACGGATTCTGCCACCAGCTCCCCCATCCAACAACATCCCTCCACCGCTGGTGGAAATGGAACACATCGAATGAAGCCCGCACCGTCCTCAACGTCAAATAGCACACCGACATGGACTTCTTCGGCGACATTCGATCCTACCAACCCGTCTGCACTCACCAATCCGACTGGTGCCGTCTCCAGCTTTGACTTCTCCAATTGGGACCGTGGGCAACCGACGACCCAGCCGCAATTTAATCCGGGAATCGGCAGCGCCGTATATGCCACCCCTCAAGACTTGGCATTTGCCCAATCGACCATGAACATGAACTTGCCCGGCATCGGATCAAACACCAGCTCCGGAGGGCTGGGCGGCGAGGGAGTAACCGGTTCAAATCTCCAGGAATATTCCGACCCCATGTTCTGGGGAAATATGGATTATAATGTCGCGGATATCTTTGGTTCCGCGACCTGGGAGAATATGACCGGCCCTTTTGCACCAAATGGTGGCGTTAATGGCGGATGGGAGATGTGACGCAATCGGCCAGATTTACCCCGCCCTTGACTTTGTTCGGAATCATGATTGACTTGGTAATCTTGCTAGGTGAGGAAAACGGGGAATTGGTGTCTCGGTCGACTGGGTTGGATTGAATTGGATGCCGTTCCGTCTTGGATACCATGGGGTTTAAACTTTGATCCCGTACAATAATGGATGATCGGATTGGGAACACATTCGACCCAGGGGGGGAAAGTTCATGGCATTGAACATTTGGCATTCGGATTCTTTGTTGGACCTGCAACATTTGGCATATTGGGGTTTTATGCTCGGCGTTTGGATCAAGATTCTTCGCGAATGGAATCATGATTGAGGCTTAACTGTTAAGTCTTGATTTGATTTGTTCTGATTTGTATGATACGGAACGATAGCGAACGGGACAGTGATACCTCCATAGCGCAGCAACCATCGCACAGCTATGGGGGCATTAAATGTGAGAGTGCTGGTGATCATCTGAAAGATTTCCATGCTAGGAGAATGTATTTTCCAAATCAGATAAAGTGTCAAAAGAATCAAATTCCGGGTACCCTGTCGCACGCCTCGGAAATCTCCTGTCGAAGTTAAAGTCGAGGCGAAATAACCACGGGACTTGCTTTCTCGCTAATAAGCAAGCATCCCATCCCCATCCATCAGGGTCCATATCTGAATTAGCCACCCACCCGGATATCATATCGGCTCTGTCCATTCCATCCACTACTCCAAGAACACTTCCAAGGTGAAAGTGCCAATGCCAATCCGCTCGCGCACCAGTAGCACCATGGTCATTCGTCAAGATCATCCCATCCAATAAAATTCAACAAGACAGTTGTATTCCAAACATCCGTCCGATTTTTCCGCCCGTTAATTACCAAAACAACCGTCTCTGCATATCATTCGTGAAGAATCCCGTGTCGATTTCCGTCGGTCCACTCTCGACGGCTATGCCTGATGCCATGCCGGAGCCGATGCCCGAGTTTAGTGATGGCGATGGAGCCCAATTCGAGTCAGCGAAGCTTTGAAGAAGGAGAGCCTCGGCGCCGGTGCCGACGTTGGGATTCGAGGTATGGGTATTATTGTGACCACTGGTGGGGGAAAGGGAGGAGAAGAGCGAGGGGTTTCGCCAGTTGGGTGGTTGGGATTGGGACGTGCCTTGCTGTCGGGTGCGGGAGGACGTGGGAATTGCAGAAGATTGAGATTGAGCATGTTGAGGGACATGGACGGGTGTGTGGGTTCCACTTCGATAAGGATCGGTGCTCATGGATCGGAAGGGGCCAGATTGTGAATGCGAGTGACTGTGACGGGAAAGATCCACCGATCCCGGTCGGGAATGGTGGAGAGCGTGGTGAACGTGCGCATTGTCCGACAGCGTATCGTCCGTCGATTGGCGAAATGAAGAGCATTGGGATTGAGTATGCATGGCACAATCTTGCTGCCATTTCCGGATGTTTTCGACAGTGTCAAGAGGAAAAGATTCCCAGTATTCGAGGCCCGTTTTTTTGTTCAGAACGGGTGGGCTGCTTCGCATGGTGAAAGGTGTGGGGGATTGAGAGTCTCGCGATTTCACGCCACGGATGCTCGATGATGGGTTCGACTTGAGGGAGTCGGTGGCGTAATTGAGTTGATCTGATGTGACAAGAGGAAGAAGAGCGAGGAGAAGGGACTCGGCTTCGTGCAACCGATGCTCGAGGCCCTCGATATATCCTTTTGCTGGCCCCCTAAAGAAATGAACTTAGTTCACCGCGAATCGATAAGAGGCGCAGAAGGCGGCGGTCAATTGTGATAGGGAAGTAGTATGTCGTGTAGAGGCGGTGGAAACGACGGAGAATTGCGGTCTAAAAAAGGAGCCAAAGGGTTGTTTATACCGGCGAGGAAGGTAAGGCTTACCGTTTTCTTTGCTCAGGCCATGTACATTGGATACCGATAGCGTGACATTGTGTACAGCCAGACCTGTTAGAGAAGAAAATCAGTCCATCCGCTTATGTGAACATGAGATGAACATGCAAAGTAACGCAAAGGTATTTCCCAAAGGTCGATTAGACAAACATGTATTGGATGTGGTGCTTTTGGCTGGTCACAGTCGACAAAACGGCGGACGGTTGGTGGAAGGGACAAAGTTTCGCTGTCGGTTAGGTCCCCCCATGTCCAAATCATTGTGCCAAAACGATTTAGCAAGGAGGTTCTCCACGAACATTGACTGGAGAATCCACCTGGGGTAACACGGATCTATAGTCTAGACCTAGGTATAAAAGTCGATGGCTACTCTAGAAAGTCTCTTTGCGTTCAGAAAGATGATGCAACTCAGACATACCGATCACCGCTACACTATTTAAAGTCAGTACACGCCGTGGGACAAAGTCTGGGACGAAGATGGCAGGTTTCGAACATTGAAAAGTACAGGATGAGGGCGATAGATATTGTCGTGGTTTGCTTGGGTGTTGACATACCTTTTGTTTCTTCGTTCGACACCCGTTACAAGCACCGCTTATTCGAGAAGGCATCTTCGATTCAAGACGATGATTGTGGAAAGATGTCTGGAGTTCGAGGGGATCGGCAAACCGTGGATTCTCACAGTTAAATGTAATGATGTGAAGGTGTCAAGTTAATGTGTTGGTTCGTGTTGTCAGCTGCTTCAACCAATATGATCCAACTTATGCCCAGTAGCATTGGGTATGGTTTAATTCGGAGAAGTTGCGGAGAAAGTTTGAATGACCTCGAATTTGCGTAAAGAATGCCGACGAATGAGAAGGTCCAGTTTCTTTTCCCAGAAAAGGATGAAGTCTGACTCACTATGCGTTATCGACCACGGATGATTGGATAGAGCGTCCAAGGAGTGAGTCTGGGCGAGAAAATAGTAGCTGCTCGCCAAGTGTCTTGTGACTGCGGGCCGGATTGTTTCTTTTGCTCTCAGTACACCAATATATTGGTTGCCATGAATGTAATAATATCCCTGGCGAGATCGTATCCTTCAAACACTGGGGTGAATAGCCGCAAGTGATGAACTATGTTTTGATGGGGGGATCCTCGAATTGGTATTTCACTTGGTTGGCAACAAAGAAACTCCGAAGCGGTGTTTGGGGTTGTCCAGGGTACATATAGAGAAAGTAATATCTGAAAGGGCGCGTCACAGTGTCAGTTGCACATGAAGAGAATGTGCTGTAGATTTCCGCATATCCGGGCGTAGATTTTGTAGAGAGCCAGTCTGGTTTATACGGCTCAGTCACGGGGCTGACTGGTTTGAGGTGGAATCGATTTGAGGTCCCCTGAGAAATCAGGGGCTTCGGGCAATAGTTCGGATGAGAACTCAGATTCGTGGCCCTTGTAGGCAGGGGAATTAGCTGACGCCAGACGCAAGATAGCCTTGGTGTCGAAGGGAGGAATTAAAACGCGGGTTTCGATCGGGCTGTGACGTTGGAAGAAGGGTCGTATGAGGGAGAGAAAGACGAGATCTATGGCGTCATAAGGCCTTCAAGATATCGAACCTGCGAGACAAAGGCCTCGGATATGGGCGTCGAAAACGCAATGGCTATGGAGGTTGAGTGAGAAAAGGGGAACATTCCACCAACCAGGTGCTGCTCGGAGTGAGACCTCCGAAGAAATTTCACCTCTCGATGGACTTGAAAAGTGGATTTCCTGAGGGGAAAACTGCGCCCGGAGAAACGTTCAGCCGGTCTCTAAAGACGAGTGAGGAACACATGGGTTGCAGGACCAAGGACCACCACCATCTTCTCTACATTCGGACGCCTCGCCAGTATATTTCTTTTTGATCTTCGTATCTCAGTCGTTCCTTGCGAATATCACCAGGTCCAGTCAAAACTACTCCAACTTGCCCAGGCATATAATGCTCGCCCTTCGTTCTTTATCCTGCGCCGACAAGATACACCAGTTCCATCTAAACGAAATCCGCGCTGCCGACGGTCAAGAATGCATCCTATCCAATGATTGAGCGGAAGCAACGGGAAACCTCGCCCTACAGCTAAGAATATCCTAATACAAGATGGATTGATAGTTTGGTGGCAATTCGGTTCTCAAGCTTCACATTGCGGATGCTACCAAACGAAAAAGAAAGGGCAACCAGAACAACACCAAATGGCGGCATCGTGACCCCTGGTAAACCTGGGCACCCGTGTTCGTTTTCCAGTGAAATCCACTTCCGCATCCCCACGTCGGATCCGCCAGATTTCTAATCCCAGGTCAGGACCTTTATCGCCAGCCAGAATATTCGAGAAGAGCACGAACTTCGATTCTCGCCTCGATTGATGGACTGAGAGACCTCTGCGCGGAAGGTAATTAATCGATTGGATTATTCCACGGTGTGGATTAGGATATCATCTGTTTCTGCTTCTATACTCTCGGAGAGTGTGGTGGAATGACGAGGTTGTAAAAGGACCACAGACACATTCGAACATGCCGGTTATGATTTCGTCGACGAAACCGTAAGCTTCTGAGATCCATTCAGATTCGATTGGATGGTAATGGATATGACGTTGCGAGGCCCTGCACTGTGATCACTATGTTGTTGACGAACAGATAGACGCGACACGCACTCAATGACTTTCTTGGGTGATGTTGGGCGTTGGGTCGGAAACAGGATATCCGTTCGATCGCTGATCGTCGCTTGCGTGGCTTCCAGGTGCAAAAGAACGGGGGGAGTGCCCAGGAACCTGCTAAACAGACCCCCAAAGATTGGTTGGCTAAACAATGAAGCGGTCGATCTTGGGGGAGGCTTCGTGGATAGGTCGGACTAAGCCACTGGATCGACTCATTCCGCCACAACCGACGTGTCAAGACTACGACGATGTCTGTCACTGTAGACTTTAGACACCACTATAGCCGTATCTGAGACCCGGTCTGTTGGAATAAGGCTGAGAGGCTGAACGTTGAGCCTCATGTTCTTTCCAGGACCGTACGACTGCATAATCTCCCAGTCCCCGAATTGTATTCACAGCATCCTCCTGATGATGTGGTCTTGATATCCTATTGTGCGAAGACGTCACCATGCGGAATGCGGGATCGTGGCTATCCTGATATGGACTTGTGACCAGCTGCGTTTTCTCTATCGTATGTTCAAAAAGGACGTCGCTCATTCCAGAACCAAAATGACGTCGTTCACCCGAGCGTGGCAGGTTTGCTTGCCGTGGTCATTGGAACATCGACACCTGCGGGGCCCTGGCCGTACATGAAAAATTGCACGCCCAGGTAGCAATCACAACACGCCTGGAAGATGCCGCACATTCGAAAGGGCCATGGGATGTATTCGCTACTCAAGAAGAAGTAGCTCATCTTCATTGCGTCACCTGCAAGCCAGTTGGCAATGACAGAAAACCGAAAGCCCGTGCAAGATCGCGCTCGATGGTTCTTCACGATTTGAGGAACGGGTAGTATAGCTTCCACCGCCAGACCGAAATACCCGAGAAAGGATATGTACGCGGGAGACCCGGACACCACCGGGAGCAAAACATGGACGGCCAGAAGCGTAGCAGCAAAATATGCCAAAAACTGAAAGTAGCTGCAAGCCAGAAATCAGCACGTGAGGCACATGAACCCCGTTTTGCCTGAACATACGGTTTGGCACTGTTCCATTGCCAAAAGTCGTACGGCCGTCGACCCGACAACAGATCCCGCAGCCCGTTCTCGGCCGTATATCCATGGAAAGGGGCGTGTTCTATCCCGTCTCTTATTCCGGCCGGCGCTCTATTGTCGAGGGCAACCTTCAACAATATGAGTTGTACCACGATCATCAATGACGCTTGTATAAGAAGTGACTTGTCATAATATGCGCCGAACCAGTAGAACACTCTTGTAGTATGTAAGTTCTGGGGTCTTGAATTCAAAGGAGAGAGCCCACTTTAAAATCGATGCAGCAAGCATGATCAGGGGAATGTCGAGGGAGAAGCCATCGCTACTCTTCTTACGATGCATTGAGGCTATTTGATCGCCATAGGACATGATCGGTGACAAAATAATGCTGCAGACAGTCGTCAGGGAAGAACGCTCAGTACATCATCTTGTGATACGTACAAAACAGGCGCAAAGTAGTCGATAATAACGGAGAGAAACGCCAACATTGTGTCCGACTTGTATTATGCCCCCAACGCGGAGAAGGCTCGCAGGTAAACAAAGGAAAGGCCCTCACAACGAATGTTCTCCCAACTCTAGGAGATGAAGCATCAGAGGAGCTGAAAACAGAACAAACACCGTTCAGTGAGCGCAACCAAACCCACCGCCCTGCGCTCACTCCGACGAGCTCCGGGAAGACAGTTGTGATTGGCCTTCTTGGTTGACCGTCACTGCGTTCGGGATAGCGCCCGCGGGACGTACGCGGCCGGGCTGGCTTCGTTCGGCACGCTTTACCTGGACAGGTGAAATGGGCTTCAATGCGCAGCAGCCAAACTAACGTCACCATCTACTTCTAAGCCTTCTGGTGACTTCTCAATAAACCTTCTCTCGATGAAGAGAATTTACTAGTGCTAAGATCGAGTCACGTAGTATATTGTACAGATGCGCGCAATTGGTCACCGTCATGAATTACTCTGTTGTACAGTCTACAGATCCGTCTTTCGACTAGATCCTTCAGGAAATTCAATAGTCCACACCCCTCCAATGCTTGTCCCAGGACTCCTGACCACTGCCCATGCAGCCTTGTTCCCTGTAGCTGAATGATAATTCAACTCTGCTGTTGAGGTCCCTTTGACTCCTTCTTCTATCACCGTCACCTTGTCCTTGGTCGACCATTCGGCTGGGGCATTGACCACAATGATCTTTTCAATCTTGACATCTTTCATCGTCTTGAGATAATTTTGTGTCTTTGCTCCCCTGGTGCCAATGTCGCTACTCTTCAGCAATCCATTGACCAGGGAATACTTACGGTGAATGTAAGCACCTTGCTGGTAGTCAAATGTTTCGCCATCATCAACATAAACTGTCCCTTCAGCTTCACCTTTCTTGTCGAGGACGATCACCAGGGTGAAGGGATCCCATTTCATCAAGCCGGAACTTTTTCGTGGTCGATCTTTTCTGGGAACGATGTGGCCGCCTTGCATAAGCAGAGGCAATTTTTCCAGCGGCGCATCAATCTTGTGCGTCTTTGAGCCTCCATCGTAAACTGTGTAGTCAAAATAATCATAGTAGTTCTCGTCATCGGACAGATAGATTTCGACGCTTTCGGCGCCCTCGGTAACCACCGGCTTGACCAGCAGGCCAGTGGAGCCCAGGTAGAATTGATCATCTATCGTATAACCGTTCTCGTCTTCGGGGTGCACAAAGTATTGTGATCGGACGATGGGATAGCCATCGGTGGAAGCTTCATGAAAAGCGGTATACCAAGCCGGAAGCAGAGCATATCGCAATCGGAGGGCTCGGGTCATGATACTGGTGTACGGTTCACCGAGCATATACGGCTCACGTCGGCGAGTATCGATGTGAGCATGCCCGCGGAAGAATGGGTAGAATGCGCCTGCTTGGTACCATCGGGTCTGTAACTCTTTGCTGGGGTTGCCAAAGAAGCCACCAACGTCGGCCCCTGCAAAAGGGAATCCACTGACCCCCTGGTTGAGAACCATCGGAAGAGAAGCCGCAAGATGACCCCAACTGGCCTGGTTGTCGCCAGTCCACATGGCCGCGGTTCTCTGCGACCCGGCATAGAAGGATCGTGTCAGAACAAAGGGGCGTCGGACTTCGCCCTTCTTGCGTTCCAGAAGAGCATGATATGTGGCATTGTGGAATGTCATTCCATTAATGTTGTGCACATCACGATGTTCCCAATTACCGTGATGAATGTTGTCTCGAGGCATGGTGATCTCTGGGCCGTTGAAGACGGAAGGCTCATTCATGTCGTTCCAAAGCCAAACGTTAGACATCGTGCCTTTGAATCTGTCGTAAGTGAAAAGTGACTTCCACCAGGCCCTTGCAGCGGGGTTGAATGTGTCGATCCAGTGAGAACTTCCAGGCCAACACCACCCTTCAAAGATATTGTTGTCCTTGTTCTTGACCGCCAAGCCCTTCCCTTTGAGCTCCTCTCCCACGGAATATCCGGCCTTGTTCTTGATATGTGGATCAATGATGACCACGAGCTTGCGTTCAGTCTCGTCAAGCTGCCTCTCCATGGATATGGGATTCGGGAAGTTGAGAGGATCCCAGGTAAAATATTGCTTGTCGTCCGTGTATTCGATATCGAGCCAAATGACGTCGTATGGGATGTTGAACTTGTCAAACTTGCGGTCGACATCCTTCACATCTTCATCGCTCACGTAATTCCATCTGCATTGGTGGTAGGCCATGGCAAATGTGGCTGGTAATTGGGTATAACCAGTCAACTCGCCAAAGGACCGCGCCAGGTCTTGGGGTTTGGGTCCGAGCATAACAAATACGTCCAGAAGACCGCTCTCCGACATCCAATGTGTATGGGTGTCGACAACATCGCCACCAAGACCGAGCGTTGGGGGATTGGCTCCATGTTGCGACTTGACAATATCCACCCACGTTTCTGCGGCATTGAGCCAAAAGACACCAACTGTGGAATCTTTCTTGTGTGCTTGCATGAATGGAATGGATCCATACAGGGTCATTGGGCTGTCCAGCTCGTATTCAAAGATGTCGCTGTTATACATCCGGTATGGCTGATCATAATGGCCCTCTCCGCCACGAGTCTCCTTCAACGACAACGGTCCAGCATGCTCTGCCAGACCGTAGACGTGACCATAACCAGGGAAAGTTATGTCCATTGCAACACTCTCCGGGCCTTTGGGTTTCGAGTCGGTATTGCCCCCAAAACTCTCTTCCCACCATGTACTCTCGTCTTCCGCCGGTTCGATGATTTCCTGTTCGATTTGGTTCTCATCTGCCGCTGGTTTGTCGATCTTGGGCCGCCAATGCTCGACATTCATGAATCCACGGCCATTGAGCACAACCTGCTTCTCATCGCCGGACCAGAATTCCATCCCAAAGGGAGCATGACGAATGACAGCCTTGAGGTGGCCATCAGGTCCCCACGACACTTCGGTGGCATCTTTGGACACTTGTTTCAATGTTGCCGTCCTCTGACTCTGGAGGCCGGCTCCAGTCAAGGCCCAAGCGCCAGCTTCATCGTATCTCTCCTTGCGCGCCACGCTCCCATGTCGAAGTTCGATTTCGCCCTTCCTCCTCTTCTCCTCATCAATGGTGACGCGAGCATTTCCACGATCAAGAAACGCGATCGTCAATGGCAACTTGACGGCATCGTTGCCTGGTATCGGTTTGACAATGGAGCCTTGTAATTGTCCGTCTTTGAACTTGATGGAGGAAACATCTAACCGGTAGGGCGAGGAGGCGGGACTCCCTTTCTCGATCATCGAGTCGGCAAGAGCTCGATTTCTCTTGCAGAAGCCCGACTGATCACATCTTTTGAAATCGTGATGTTTGACCGGGACTGGAACATGTCAGCATCCGGGCATCATGTCTCTCCTTAGCTTGTTTACCTGCGGGTGAGACAAAGAACAGGAGAAGCAGAATTGAAAGACAGGAAATTGTCCATCGAGGCATTCTCCCCGATGACCAGGCCATCTTTGGCACTTCTGCCCATGCGCAAATAGACGTATCAAGTTCGGGTCAAATGTGTCCTTGCTGTCCTATAACAGTACGGGATTGAATTGGGTACAAAGAGAGCTGCTACTGGCTGACCGACTCATTCAGCGGGCCCCTGCATAAGGCGCTGCTGCCCCTCCACCGCACCCCACCAATAAAGCGCTTCAAAATATTTTGTCTCATCCCAATTCATTGACCGCAACTGTCCTTCCTTTGGTTGCAAAATTATTTGAGGCCAAAAATTGCCATATCCCCCCCCAGTATCTCCCTTCCACTCATCAAAATGTCTACCGAGCAAACGTAAGCATTCAAAGTGCGACTCTGTGGTTTTGTTCGGACACTAATATTGGTTGCAGCTTTATTGCTGTGAAGCCCGACGGCGTCCAAGTATGCTTCTCCCCCGTTAGGCATCGGTCCTATCTTGTGTCGGTTCTGACGAGAATCATAGCGGGGTCTTGTTGGCGACATCATCTGCCGTTTCGAAAAGCGAGGGTGAGCCTATGAGAGGGAAAAAAAAAAAGGTTCATGACTAAGTGGTGAAGATACAAATTGGTGGCCCTGAAGATGGTCTCTCCCTCCAAGGAGCATCTTGAGCAGCACTATGCAGACCTTTCGGAGAAGCCATTTTTCAAAGGACTCGTCACCTGTACGAGCGTCATATTGGGAGGAACCATGGATTAAGCTGATGGGAATTTAGACATGTTGAGTGGTCCAATCGTTGCCATGGTTTGGGAAGGACGTGATGCGTGCAAGACCGGTCGTTGTACGTCTATTAGATCCCATCATCCGAAGAATAAGGGAACTAATCTAATGTCAGCTATCCTCGGTGCCACGAACCCACTTGCCTCTGCCCCCGGTACCATCCGCGGTGACTATGCCATTGATGTTGGTCGCAATGTCTGCCACGGCTCCGATGGTGTTGAGAGTGCAAAGAAGGAGATTGCTCTGTGGTTCAAGCCAGAAGAGATTCAGAGCTGGAAGTCCGCCCAATTCGACTGGATCTACGAGAAGCCATAAATGACTCGAGAGCGTACTTGATGGCTCGGCATGAAAGGCCGCATCAATCCAATTCATCACCATGAGTTCGAAAGATGTGCAAAGCAGATAGACGTCCCAAAGAGCATAAATTGATGACCATGGAAATTTTCTTGCCTTGTCTGTACTTTCAAAAACACCTCATGACCTCGAGCCGACCCAAGCCAGGAGTGATCGGAAGACGGCTTTGGTGGCATTGCCCACGGGGATGACAGCGAATCGGGCACACCATGGAGAACCCCATACACTGGCGACGATGCGGACAGGCAGCAACACCTTGACCATCGCATAGGCGGTCGCGAATTCCACAACCCATCTGGTAGCGTCTTCCCCGCGGTTGAACCATTTTGACATGCCTTGTTTGAGTTGTGAAGTTCTTGGTTCCTCCATACTTTCGACCTCTTTCTCGTCCCTTTCGCTAATCCAGCCTTTCTTTCGAAAATATCGGCCAAATTTCTCAACGCCGGCAGAGATCCACTCCCCCTCAGCGAAATATGGGGGAAGCCAACGCCAGTAGTGAAATGCCCCTGCGAGGCCAAACAACGGAATGACCGCCGTCAATTCATGAAGAATGATGAATGCCGTCATATGGGATACCGGGGCATTTCGTAATCCTGTGACTGTCGGTCGGAGGAAACGAGGAGTTCGTTCCATGAATCGATCGAATCGACTTCGGGCAGATGCTTCAGGTTTGCTATCCGACAGCCAGCGTCTTGTAGCACGAGCCTTTGCAGGGACGCCGGCAGCTCTAAAGATTGAGCGCCGCATAATGATGGTTGACTCAGATCATGTCGAAGTGTTCGTTCGTAAGGAGAGTCTTCAATGTGCAATAACCAAAGGCTCGCCCCTTTAAAACGGCCAGCAAATGATACGGTGGATTATTGGCGCTCTTCTTGTAGCTTACAAGCCATCTCTTCTCTCTCGATGCTTTCCTGGAGAAGATCTTCCCAGTAGGCAGTCCTGATTTGAATCGAAAGCTGACGCAACGTATAGTCTTAGAGGATAGGCCGCACGTTATTGATAGAAACCCCGCCTGTCCGAGTCTATCAGGCTGACACGATATTGCCGTATATCTTCACCACACCACCGCCGCCACTACCACCACCACGCACATCTTCGCCTTCCTATTTGTGTGTTGTTTGCATTCATCTGATCCAGTCGTAGGAGTGTGACAACATGGATCAGCTTCCCACGGAATTGGTTACTAACCTTTGTCTGTTTCTTGACAAACCATCTTTACGCTCCTTTCGTCTTACCTGCAAAGCTTTCTCTGTCATTGGTGGGAAGCATCTATTCCAGAATTTCGAGTTTCGGCTCTATCCAAACCACCATAGATTGTACCAGCTCGAACAATTAGCCGCCGCCCCTTCGATAGCCGCCGACTTGAGCTGCGTGTCTCTCGAGTCCGGTGTACAGCTCGAGTATGCCGATTATAGATATTGGCAAGCGCAAGTGTACCAAGACAAGAGCAGCTCTTGGGAAAGAAGTTTGGCGACCAAAGGGGCTTCACGCAATGAATACAATGCCTTTCATGAGACACTTCAGGCCAGATTCACAACCGATCTTCCACGTCGATACGACCTCTACCGGTGGCACATGGACCAGCAAGCCGGATCCATGGCTGAACAACGAGTGCGGGATAGTCTGGTGCGGATCATGGGCACGTTGGGCCAGTCTCGGCCCAATTTGAAGTTCAAGCTAGTAATGGCGGAGCCTGAGATCCAACTGGAAGAGCTTGAGGCCTTCAATGCTGAGCAATATGCAAATGAGAAGCCATTCGATCCTGACCCGCGTCGCAGAATCGCGAACCGCCGAAGACATGTTCTGGACCACTTCATCAACTTTCTCGATGCCGCAAACACGTCGGGTTGTGAGTGGAGCGACCTCACAGCTACCGACATGCCTCATCAATTGTTTATCGCCGGAAGTTACCGTGACTCTCAAGTCCTCACGGAGGCTTTTCGGCGATTGAAAAAGCTTGATCTGAAGATCAACGCATTCCCGCACAGCGACTGGCTTTTTCGAAGCCCTTTGTCGAGAATGTATTTCGGAGGACGACATCTGGCAGCGAGGAAGTTGAGGGAATTGTTGAATCATCCCTCTCAACTTGAAGAATTGAGCCTACAGTTCCCGCCGGATACAACGGCGCAGTATTCATTCGAACTGTTTGACCAAACGAACATCGACCGGTTCCCTCGGTTGTGGATGCCACGTCTCAAGTCGCTCGCATTGTGTGAATTTCGATGCACTTGGGACGACTTGGAGGCGCTGCTTGGTGAAGGTAGGAGCATTCACTCGTTGAGCTTGAAAAGCTGTCGACTAGAGAGAGGTTCGATGATAGATCTTCTGGAATATCTCTCTCGTAGGCGTTTTCCAGTTACACGTGTTCTCGGGGACTGGCATGTGGATGAGGACTCAGGAGTGTGGCATTCCCATAGTGAAGAGGACTTCACCCATTGCTTTGCCGCGACATCCTACGAAGGTCCGTATGCCCGGGCAGGTATGCGATCGAAAGTTGAACGGTTCATACATGGAAAAGGGGAATGCCCGTTACCACGCTGGACATGGGAGAATAATACCCAAGATCAATGGGAGACGATGGGGGACACAAGCTGGCACTATATTCGGGGGCTGCTTCGACAATGAAGCGCTGGCAGCCTTTCGAGCGGTGCCGGTGCTGCCTTCTACTCCATCAGACTGAACACGACAGGAGAACCGTAGCGCCATCAACTTTCATAAGTCTAGACGAGAGAATACATTCAACTGCCATTCCACCAACCCCATCATGTCGCTACTCACACCTGCCTCGACAATGCCGTGGGTCAACGCCATACAGGATATGAGATTCTAACCTCGACAGACGCACCGTAGCATCGCCCCTCGTGCTTTGGCCAAGTCGGCTCCAAGATCGCCGTCAATTACCAAGTGGGCCATAAGCTCAACGGACATCCAACAGTGCCAGTGGAAAAATGTCGATGGGCAATGTCAATATTCTTCCCTCCCCACAATCACACCCACACACCGTCATGAGCTTTCTCCTCGCCATTATCTCACATTACTAACCCAATCTAGTGCGTCGATCCTACAAGCCATCACCGTTCCAAATCCAATTTCTAGTCGCGGTCATCGGCGGCACCGGCTCAATTATATTCCAATTACCAGGTATGCTTGAAGAAGATACCAAAATGGACGAAGCAAACAAGGAAGAGAATGGACCTAGGAAGTTGGGTAGAAGATGCAACAAGGATGGAAGTGAAAATGATGGAGCCCTAGCTGAGCACCAAAGGTACCTTCTCCTCGACGGGAGGTTACAGCGCTAACAACTGATAGGGCTGAATCAAAGTTGGTGCTGACGTTCCGTTGTCCAATGAGCCATGGTGGTCGCGGAGGTGACGGTCTTGAGCCACGAACAACCCTGCCTATTTGATCTTACAGCCTCCAATCGCACAGCAAGGCGTGGGAGAGCGCGTCAAATATTCGGCCAGGACAAGATACTAGACGAGCTGCAACGTCGCCCTTTCAGAGGAATCCCATATAACAGCTACATCCCCTCTCCGAATATTTTTCTCTCGCCTTGTTTCACTGCTTCTTTGGGTGCAGACGCGGTCAAAACCTGTCCCGGGTCGGTGCTCGCTTTTGCATATCGAGTCTAAGCAATTCTTGGATTCACGGCCCTGTTGATGCCATAATCCATTCCGAGCTTAACTTGAAAAAGAATCTGTTTCATGCCAATGATCCCATCGACCCATTCTCAGCTTTGTCTTGACCCTGGGACACCCACCTCGAGAACATATCCCTTGGCCATCCAGGTCGCCGAATTGTGGAATCGTGCATGGGCATGACATGAGGGCTTAAAAGATCAGAAGATTACTAGCTGTGTTGCCTTCTCCGACTCGTTGCTATCTTTGTGGGGCCGGGGACATGTCCAACAAATCACCCAACAAATCACCGACCTGGCTGTCGAAACTCGTCAAGTCTCCTAGTGAGTAAATTCCTTCCGAGCCACACCGGCCGGCCTCTTCAGATGTTGGGACTAAGTTGAATTCTATACTCGGATCCCAAACCTTCGGAGGGAGATGGCGAAACAGATGCCCGTGCGCGTCGACGTGAGCAGGTCAGGCGCGCTCAAAGGTGAGGCTATTGTGGTAGTGGGAAGGAGAAAGACACCTTCGCAAGGCGTATACAAATACACCAAGCTTTAGCTAACGCATCTCGTCAGAACCCATCGAGATCGCAAAGCAACCTATGTTAAAACTTTGGAGTCAGAAGTTGCAAAGCTCCGTGCCCGAGATGCAGCACATGATGCGGAGATCCAAGCTTGCAGGGAGACCATCCGGCGTCTCAAGGAGTTGATCAAGTATCACCACATCCCATTGCCATCGGATTTGGCATCAGATCCGAGGATATCCAGTCCCCAGGCAACCATCGAGTTGCTTGGACTCTCCGATCATTCTCAGGCCATTCGAGCCCAGCTGCCTGACACCTACACCCTCGCATCATCCTCAAATATATCTTCCACCTTCCCACCCGCCTCTGAGTCTATGATTTCTTCGAGCGAATTTCAAGCTGGCATGAACATCAGCGACGCTCCAAGTCTCCATCAAGCTCCGAGTATTTATTCGACAACCAGTATCTCAGACTCTATGCCGCACCCTCAGGGACTAGGGGCTACTCAAGTCGGTGTCGACTTCGTGCTCGCCCTCGAACATGTCTGTCTGGGCCATCATGCACGACACAGCGTCAACACCGAGGGCAGTGGCCACGAAATGATGCTCATGAGTCCCATCATGTCCCGGTCGCCGCCTTTTGCACAAAGCACGCAGACAGATTCAGGTCTCCCGGATGGGACCAGATGGAGCGTCCCGGCCGTGGAACTGGAAAAATTACTGGAATTTTCCGATCGACTTAGTCTCGATGGTGAGGTGACGCCGGTAGAAGCATGGCAACGAATACGACAGCATCCCAACTTTTCGAATCTGACTCGGGATGGCCTGGAAGCTTTGAAAGCTACTCTCATTCCCGAAGTCAAGTGCTATGGGTAGGAATACATGCATGCGTATGAGAGATGAAGGCTAACGACTTTGGCCAGATTTGGTGCTGTCGTCGATGAGGAGTATTTCGAGTCGCTCCTTCAGCAAGCCCTGGGTGGACCTGGTCCGCGAGCTTTGTGAGACATCAAACGCGACATTCTGATACGACTTGTCTCACCAATCGTTGCCATCCACCGACATACTCGACGATGAAGGTTTTGCATCTTTGGATGATTAGTGGTTCCCGATCAAATCACATCCGGATGGTCACGGCGTGCTGACACGATCAGATCCTCCCCCCGGTCCGATCAGCGAGCTTGGGATTTTCTGATATCAGCCACCACGTGATCCAGAATGCATTCAGATATGAACATGTTTCGCGTTGGTGGAGTTTTCGGTCTTTTGATTCGGTTATTTCCCGAATATCTCGACGGTGCGATCTCGTGGCAGGTGCCAAAAGAATACAAGCAAGCAAGGTTTATCTCAAATGTCAAATTTAGCCGTCTGACAAAGTAGACGTACGATCTCAATATATTATAGTTGGAAGTGATGGCCACGAGGTTTGTAGGAGTCTGAATGAAAGCACACCGACGGCTCAGGGATTGTCCAGAGCTCTTTTGGTATACAATCAGAGAATCTCAATAGCCTTTCGCCGAAGCGGGGCCAAAAAGGGCCGAGCGCTGCTTGGGAAATCCGAGTACGAAAGTGCATTCCCAGCCACCGGTAACCATCACCACCCGTTCATGCTGGACAGGGAAGATTGGCCAGATAATCGCACTCGCTTAGCAGCAAAAGAGACGAGGGGACACGCCCCTCCGCGTCTCACGTTTCCATCAGCCTTGTCCTGCTCGAGAGCAGGATACCCTGAAGCCGAGGACAACTATCTGCGGCCTCTGATTTCCAATGAACTATGCCACCAAAGAAGCGCCCAGGACGTTCATCCAGAAGCGGAGCTATGGAAGAGAGACAGACACCTGACCACACCCTCCCCTCCGCCAGGGAGCCTCCCGACAATGGATCCGTCCAGTTTATCTCCAGTGGACCTAAAGGCAAAACGACGTCTCCCCCAACGTTCACATCCTTCCAAGTCCCTGCCGGCTCAAAATCCATCCCGTGTTTACGCAGCTATCCGCCATCCTCGTCTCCCATGTCACTGGTCTTCACGCACGGCGCAGGTGGAGGACTCTCGGCCCCAGCGATGATGAATTTCATGCACGGCTTTGCGTCGACCGGCTCCACCATTACCTGCTTCCAAGGAAACATGAATCTCAAGGGCCGAGTGGCCATGTTCGCGACAGTCTTGGACTACGAGAAAGAAGAGGCAATGAAGAAAAACGCAACCATGGATGTCGCAGGTCTAGCTTTCGGTGGTCGGAGCATGGGTTCTCGTGCCGCTGTCATCGCGTCTCATACCCACGAATCCATCAACCTCCTGGTGCTCGCTTCCTATCCACTTGTCGGGCCTGGTGGAGACGTCAGAGACCAGATCTTATTGGACATCAGACCGGAGGTGCAAGTTTTGTTCATCTCTGGCGACGGGGACTCGATGTGTGACTTGGCGCAGTTGGCGAAGCTGAGGGGAAAAATGAAAGCGAAGACCTGGATGGTGGTGGTGAAAGGGGCAGATCATGGGATGAATTTGAAGAAGGGCACTGAGGAAGTTGGAAAGGAGACCGGACGCATTGCGGCAAGATGGATTCGAGAAAGAGATGAGGGCCTCACGGAAATGGTCCTGAGATGGGATGGGCCGAGTGAACAAGTGGTTGGCGCATGGGGGGACAATGATGCTCAGGCAGGAGAAGGCCAATCGGCGCCTGTGAAAGGTGGAATCAAAAGATACTTCGCGAAGACAGAAGATAAGCAGTCGTCCTCTGAAGCGAAGCGGAAACGGACAATGAAGTGACTCCTCGACATCAACGCTCTCGTGAGGGATGGGCAGGGATGTGAAGCGCCACAAATTACAGGGGTATCAAGTCTATATACAAAATTTGATGAGCCTGAATCCATTAAACAAGGCTTGCTTGGTTTTAGTCCTCTCACCCGCCACAGTCGCGGAGTAGTCCGTGGAGCCCGAAGATTGAAAATACCTCAACCATAAATCCTGTATCTCATCTAGAAGGACAGGAGGGGAGATGGTATGAACCATCACCTGATTTGGATGGAAAACTCAGCCCGCAGACGGTCAAGTCTCTTCACCTTCAGATATAACCGCCACTAATTTTCCGGCAGTCCTTCATCGGAGACAACCATTGTCTCGATATCTTTGTCCAAACACTCTGACGTCATTTGGAAACGAAAAAAATTGGGCCGACTTCGGTCCAAAGACCTTCGGCCTCGATGGGTGACGCAGGGCCAAGTCCCTCAATCTCGAGGATCGCAATTATAGGAGCCGGCCCCGTCGGCGTATCATGCGCAAAGTGAGTATGTTCCACTGAATGGTATGACACCGCGGCCTTGAGACTCGAACTAAAGCATCGGTAGATACCTGCTGGCCGAAAAAGCGTTCGAGAAGATTGACATATACGAACAGCGCGATCGTGTTGGCGGAATCTGGAACATCTCTGCCCCGGTCCGATCAAAAGAAATTCCTATCCCACAAGTCGACCCTCGCTATGGCCAGGCAGGTAACGCATCAGAGTCATTGGAGTTTGAGTCTCCGCTCTATGATTATCTAGAGACGAATATCCCGAAACAGCTCATGGCATTCTCGGATAGGCCGTTTCCAGATGAGGCGCCGCTTTTTCCAGGTCATCAAACAGTCTTGAGATACCTTGAGGACTATGCGAACGACGTTCAGCATCTGATTCGGTTTCGCACCGCAGTGCGAGACGTGATCTTAAAGATCGACGAATCTTCTAGCCGGAAAGAATGGGACTTGGTCGCGGAAAACCTCGGCACAAAAGAGACCACGAAGCAGGCGTATGACGCCGTTGTCGTCGCTAATGGGCATTACACGGTTCCTTACGTGCCAGATATCAAAGGCATTGCCGGGTGGAACGCCGCCTACCCCGGTGCCATTATTCACTCCAAAGCGTACCGCAATCCAGAAGACTTCAAGGACAAGAAAGTCATCGTCGTTGGGAATTCGGCTTCGGGATTGGACATCGTCGCGCAAATTGGCAAGTATTGCCAGACGCCAATTCTGCTGTCTTCTCGCTCGGTGTCCGCTTTGGGAACAATGCCGCCGGCGCCCTGGCGAGAAGATGTTGATGAGCTGGCTGACTTCCTACCGAGCGACGATGGCGAGAGAGCTGTGAGGTTCAAGAGTGGCAGAATCGAGAAAAACGTCGATGCCATGGTCTTCGCGACAGGCTATTTCTACTCTTACCCGTTCCTGTCAAACCTGTCCCCTCAACGTGTCACCGACGGCTTCCGGACGAGAGGAGTATATCAGCACATTTTCGACATTGACCACCCCACCCTCGCGTTTCCCGTCATCAACCTCAAAGTCGTTCCGTTCCCACTGTCTCAGAACCAGGCAGCCGTCATAGCCCGAGTCTGGAGCGGTCGGCTCGACCTACCTTCCACAGCCGATATGAGACAGTGGGAAATCGACACGATACAGCAGAAGGGTGATGGGAGGTATTTTCACCTCCAGAAATTCCCCGAGGATGCAGCGCAGATTAATGAACTGTATGCATGGGCGGAAATGGCGAGGAAGAGGGATGGCCTGGAAAATGATGGCGTGGGACGATTAGGGACAAGATGGGATGAGAGACAGGTTTGGATGAGGTCGAGGTTTCCTGACATCAAGGCGGCCTATGCTCCAAGGGGCGAAGCCAGGGTTAATGTTCGAAGCATGGAGGAGTTGGGGTTTGACTTTGATGCCTGGAGGAAGACGGCTGCGGAGAAGGACCTAGATATGTTTCGAAAGAGCAAGTGTTGATTCAGTTCAAGGCTGGATAGATGAATAGACAGCATAAATGATAAACGTCAAGGGTTCCATGGTGATGAGACAGGTGTGAGCCCTGGACATGGTGCCAATAACCGTGAATTTTCCCCCAGATTTTTCAGCCTCGTGCGAAGTGAGGAAAGGAGGAACGACAACGACCACAGCGTCAGCAACATCAAATTCGCTCCTCGATATTGTTTACATCATTGGCTACCCTCTCCAACTTCCAGCAATGCTTCTAAAACAAATCAGTCGCCGATATCGTCTTCCATCGAGGCCTCTTTCGCCACAGCCATCTTTTGCCGTCTGGTGTCTGACATCTGTTCGGCTAACCTGCCCCCCATCGCCCCCCAGTCAACCACCGCCACAACTACGGTAGAAGGGCCATAAACAATCTTCCTAGATGAGTCCTTCCTACACTTCTCCTCGTGCGTGCTCGTCAGAAACCTTTTTTTACTCGCCATGAATGTCGCGCTGACCATGAAGATCTCCAGCATTTGCATTTATCCTTACGGCGGACGATGAATAATTCTACCCGCAACAACTTCAGCCACGTCGAATACAACTCTACCAAGCGCAAGAAGCCCGCGGAGGGCCCTACGGTCCATTCCAAGCGAGCCAGTGTACCCTTGGCGAAGCCACGCAGATCAAAGAAGAGCTCTGAAGATTCGTCCGACGAAGATAAAGAATATCCTGCCCTAGCTATTATTGGAGAGAGATTCGTCGGCAAAGACAAAAGGGAGAAGCAATATTTGGTGGATTGGGTACCTCGCCAAAACGGTAAACCCTACCCGCCGAGTTGGGTATGTATGCGACGTTATATGTGTTTGGTGACGCGGCTGACAGCATCTAAAGGAGCCGGCGAGCTTCGTCAACGAGGCCCTCCTCGAAGACTGGGAACGAACGAAGAAAGAGAGGGCAACTAGTGGGACTCATTCGCATGGACAGCCTATAGTTCAAGGAGGGAGACGGACAAAACATATTCGCGGCTTACCGGATTCTTCGAGCGAAGCTGCATCACCGCACAGTGCCAAATCGTCATCTGGTCAAGTGGCGAACAGCTCCAAACCTCGCGCGTCGAGTAGGTTGCCTTCGGTCAACCCAGATCGGCGCGCGTCATCTCCCATCGAGATAGCAGAGACACAGCAAGACGTATCGCAACCCTTGTTAATTCCTGTGAGCATCCCTCCCGCCAATATCAGCAAGGCAGATCACGGGCCCCTGCATCGCAGTCCCATTAATTCCGACGGTGGCTTGAAAGGGTGTTCTTCTCCATCCCAAAGGCAAAATTATACAAACTCCTCCCCCTCCTCCCAGCCCGGACCTGATCAGTCTCCGTCCAGGAGAAGAGGCCCAGTCCCGATCAGCTCGACTCCTCTCCAGGAATCATCATTGCCGGGACGAAGTAACACACCTCGCAGAACTCATCGAACCGAGTCGTCGACAAGCAGACAAGCACGTTCCCCTCACAGAACAAAGGGGTGGCACGCCGGTGTCGACTCTACTCCACTGACCTTACGAAGTCAAAAGGCCAGAAGTGCTGGAACCCCTGCAAACTATCCACCACCTCTCCCTAGGGGAACACCGAGCTCAGACATATCTTCCGGCACAACAAGATACGTTACTCCTGAATTTCCAATTCCAACAACCCAGGACTTATCCACTCGAACACGGGAACCTAGCGTGGAGTTCGGTTCCGACCAAGGGCGTGGAATATTTACCAACACCGTCTTGACAGAAAATCCAGTTCAAGACCCATATCCCCAAAATACTTTTGCTCAATTCCCAGACGCGGCTGGGCCTTCGCCGTGGAATTTCCGGACACAGGCTGAAGCTCCAGCGAGCTCTTTCGGAACATCGGCACCTGGTACTCCACACACCAACAAACGATATCTCGAAGCCTTCTTATCTCCCAATCGCCTGAAGAAAGTCCATCATTCCGTCCAGCAGAACATGAGTCCATCGCCTGTGCCTTCAGCTGGACCCGGCGGTTCCACGCAAGGATCAACACTGTCACCCCAGACATGGGGAGAGCGAATAAAGGCGGCAAGAGCTTCGGCACAAGATGTATCCTGCAATGTTCCACAAGTTACCGATTCGGACTCAAAAATGATGGACCATGATGGTAGAGGACCAAACGCACACGAAATGGATCTTTCCGGAAATTCAGCGACGACATCACCCGTGGAAAGTCGTCATTATGACTCGAGAGGAATTCCAGAGTCGACGGATGCTCCACAATCTCAAATGGATGACGTGGGAGGAAGTGCCTTTCCAATCCAGAGGTCGATAGAGGAGGAACAACAATCTTCCAATGGTGAACAGTCTTCCACCGATTCCAAGGCCAGTTCGAGTCAACAGTCTGTCGATAACGAACGGGATATTCCATTAGTGGATGGATTGGTGATACCGAGTCTACCTATTCTAGGTCCGGACGAGTATGCCATCGCTCTTCCCGCAGAGGGGAAAATCCAGTCGGCATATTTCGACATCATCAAATCCAAGCGCAAATCCATTTTGAAGTTCATCAGCAGACACGATTCGGTTGGCTCCTCTAATGGATCTCCCCATCGGGCGCATGAGAGAAATGAAATGACGGATATGATTCAACAATTGCACAATACAACAACGCACTTTGATCTCGGCCTTCCGGGATTCTCTGCCCAAGACTCGATGCAATCGGACAAAGGGGCGGCGTATGCAAATTATGCGGGATCCAAATTTTCATTTCTGGGCCATCTGGTCGATATTTTCAAGCATACCGACCACTCTATTGTCATTGTGTCTCGAGCGGGACCGATTCAGGACCTTCTGGAGCAATACTTGACGATGAACCACGTCAAGGTCAGAAGGCAAGATCGTCTGGCGGCATCACGATCTCCCCCTCCCGACCGGCCCAATACAGAATTCCAAGTCGAGCTCGTCAGTTCTATGTCGACACACCAGGTTTCATTTCCTCGAAAGCCGGTGCTGATGATTGCATTTGATGCTTCTTTTGACTCTCAGGACCCTCAGGTTGCTCGAATTCGCACCCACTTCTCACCTAAGCCTCCGGCACTTATCCCGGTGGTGCATCTTTTGGTGTCCAATTCGTCAGAACATGTCGATCGATGCATTCCCAGGAGTGTGCCATCACCGAAGAGATTGAAAATGCTCGTTCGAGCCACATACCAAGCCCGACCGAACCTCGGAGGCAAACCCACCTACGTTCCCGATGCTTCGGATGAGCCCGAGGGGAGACCAATGGATTTTTCCGATCTTCAGAGGGCCCTCAGAAAAAGACCGGAGCGAAAACTGAGGAGGCTGGCCCAAATAGTGGTGGCTGCGTCGATGGCGGACGTTTTTGCCACACGCTGGACACTAGGGTCGATGCCTGGATTGCAATTGACAGAACTGGAAGAACCTCTACCGAAAGCTAGCGGGACATCCACTGTGGCCGAGACCCCCAAGGAATCTCTCCTTCGGTCAGCAACGCCCATTTCCCGTGCTGATACTCCATCGGGCCGGAAACGTTTGTTGGAGGTGGATGGCATTCTCCCCGCCCTGAACAAACGCCAACGACTTACCCCTTTGAGGGATTCGGTGGAAATTAACAACTCCAACAATGATTCCAACAATCACCTCGCACAGCTTCAGGAACTTGTACGGAAACTACAAGCGGAACTTACGACAGAAAGAGAAGCGCGGCAAAAATCCGAACACGATCGAGACCGTCTCCAAGAACAATTGGACCAGTGGAAAAAGGATCATGCCGATCTTCAACGACGTTATGAGAAACGAATGACGAAATGCCATGAATTAGACAAGGCGAATCAGAAACTACTCAAGACTATTGAAAATAATCAATCAAGACATGAGAAAACCGGGGAGGATAATGTTGCTCTCAAAAAGAAAGTCGCCGAGTTACAAGCGGAATTGGAGACAGTTCGCACAGAAGTCAAATCGGGTGGCGGAGATGCGGCCGCGGTAGAGGTTGCGAGAGAGGAGGCTCGAATGCTCCTGGCTAAGAATATCCATTTGGAAAGGTCTCTGGAAAACACCCGCAAAGATTTCGAGTTCACCCGATCCCAATATCAAGACGCGTCGAACAAAGCAGCCGAGTTCGCCACACAAGTCAGAGAATTGGAGGAGATCGTCACGGATTTGACCAAGCAGGCGGCCGATGAGAAGCGACGTCTTAAGGAGACGAACTTTGAAGACAGCGTCAAGAAACATCTTGCGAAGATTTCTGAGCTGGAACTGGAAAAGAAGTCAAGGGATATGCTACTTCGCAAACTCGAGGAGGAGAATCGCAGCTTGAAGCGCAATCGGGGCGTGCAGACTCGTGGATCCAGTGTTCAGCCCCCGGGCAGTCCGGGCTTGGACGGACATGGCACTCGTGGCCCGAGAAGTCGTCAGGGAAGTCCAGCCCCCGGGTTATTTGCGGGTCCACACCACGCCTCTGGCGCCAATAGGGGTAGTTTGTTGAGGCATGAGCGATGAGGGTGAGGATAGGAGAGCAAGAAATAGGCCTGTATTTGGCACAGGACAGTGGCAGCTGATATGATGCGTATCGTTAGGCAAGAGGACGGTTTTGGGTAGGGGCGGGCGAATACAGTATCTGAATCTATTTGATCAATGGCGCAACGAACGAGATGATGACGTTTTACCTCTGCTTCTTATTGTATGGCAATGGATGTCTTTTCGGCCTTTTTTGTGCTCACTGAGAAACGTCAACCCAATCACCAATCACCAGTCCCCCTGAGTCTTGCCTCTTGTGCCACAACGAGAGACACGTGCATGTGTGACGTGTCATGCTGGTGATACTCGCCAACTCAAATCCAGCTCGCCTAAGTACTTACACAGACCAGTAAGTGCAGCGCATGGCTTTGCTGGTGAGTAGTGTGTTACTCAGACCAGTAATTCAACTTACCTCTTTGGGAACCAGGGCAAAAATTCGATGCAACGACAAAGTCCTTTGTCCCCGCACAACGGAGTGTGATATGTCACATCGAACGCGAGTTGATTTGGTTCTGTGTGACAGTGTCGGGGCTACGTTTTTGATTCGGCCCACTGTGTTCGGTATCACTGAAAATATTCTTCTAGATAAGGAGGGAATGAGGACGGAGGTAACCAGAAGAGAGACGGAGATGAGACGGCGAAATTGAATATATTATGCCTATTACGGTCCGTGAGCACAGACAGTATCCAGGTAGGGTTATCCTCCTGGTCAATTAGACTAGTCATCTACTACCTTCAACAATGTACACGTCCTCATTCTTATCCGGTTCAAACCGCACACACAGACACAGACGAGCGTGACCCGGGCGCATATATAGGTTGCTAGCTCGGCTCTCTCCGGATATAGTGAAGCTGAATAATTGTACTCGGCCTGTCTTGACCAGTACGGTTCGGTTTCGCCACAAACAATCTAAACGGACACGTCAGACTTGCTGCTAGTCGAGCTGGTCTTCTTCTCAGACACCGGTACTGGTGCTACGACGGGAAGAGTTTGATGAGCCGTCTTCTTGCGTCGGGACAGAAGCCAGGCCAATGCAACGACGTTGGCCACGACGCCGAGAGTTACGCCTGCGCCGATTCCGCCGGCCGCTGCATTGGAGAGGCCGGAATCGCTGTCGTCTTCGGTCGAAGATGGACTTGTAGTGCTGCTATCGCCGCCGGTGTCATCACCATGTCGTGCGGCATAGCAGAACTCGGCATCAGACTCGCATCGAATGCACCATTCGTCGACTTCGATGATGGCACGATTTCCTAGTTCATTGACAAAGTCCCCGTAAGACATGGTCAGCTCCTCGCGTCCGAAGAGAGGAAACGCCGTCAACTCTGCGTCTTCGGTGCCGTTCTTGAAGAGGAAGCGCACACGTAGGTCCAATTCGGGATTTTCCGGGAACGCGATTCTGTCGTCTTCCTCGCTGAACAGCTCAAACGCAATGCTGCTGGCATAATTGGGTAGGCCATAGAAATCATCACTCGCAGTTGTCAGATTCGTTAGGCCGTAGAACGCCATCTGCGTATCGTAGCTGCCTGCCATCAGGGAGAATTTGACTTGTGCCTGGCTGTCGACGACGTCGGCGAGTTGGCGTAAGATACCGCCTGCGAGCGTCATGCCGCCGATACTGCGGTCTGGCTGGGTCGCGTTGAAGTTGTGGTTCCATTCCCATTGGTCGGCTAGATACCTCAACTGGTCGAGGTCGGAAGGGGACAGAACTTCGGCAACGCTGGCATTATGGATTGAGCCGACGTTGAGAAGGTCGAAGACGTCGTAGGCGTGCGCGTACGTGACGTTCTCTGGCCCCATGATGTCGCCTAGCAAGGGGACGAATCTCGAGTAGAAGGGTGCCGTTTCGTCGAAGGTCAATTTGTATTCGGCACTGTCGGCGTATGAATCGTATGCCTCGTCGTAGGTGGGGCATTGGTCGTCACCCTTGATCCAGATCGTGTCCGGAGTCATGGTGTCCTCACCGTGGATTAGGATGAATTGGTATCCGTTCAGGGGGTCAGTGGTGTCCGTCCCGTTGGTCAGGGTTTCCGTTGCGAGTTGCGTATTCAGCGTGTTCAGCGGTGGATACAAGCCTTGCAGGAAGTTGGTTGCTGTTTGGAATAGAATGCCTTGATCTGGTGCCGACGCCCATAGTTGACTGGTCACCGCGGCGTCGGCCGAGATATTCAAGATCTGATGGGAGGCTCCTTCTTCCACATAGCGTTGTCGATGGTATGTTCCTGAGTCGTAGATCTGTGTGGCTCCCAAATTGGTCATGTGGTAGCCTTTGTAGAATTTGGCGGTGCCTAGATTGGTGGTTTGTTAGTGATTCGAGTTTCACACAAGATGGTCCAGCCTTACGGTCGCCATGTCTGGTGAAGACAAGGACACTGTAAAGTGTTTCTGCTGAAGCTGGAGTGGCGGCGAAGGCTGCCAGAGCTAAGGTTGAGAAACGCATGGTTACGTCTGAGCCTCTCAATGGAGTCGACGACTCCCTCCTGGTTTCACAAGTTGAAGAAAGACAGGGTGGACGGAGATGGGAAAAGAGAGCTGACGAAAGACAAGTTCGCAGACTCTTAACTCTACCTCTTATCAGATATTCGAGCCATGTGCTCTTTGATCTCGTGGTCGCTGGTCATACTCTGCGCTAAGCCGACGGCTCCTCCACCGTTACAGTTTGCTTGCAGAACTGTGTCCCAATCATCTTCAGAGATCCAAGCGCTAGGATAAGATGCCAATAACGCCCAGCCAGGGACTCGGGCTGGGCAGCCTTTTGTGCGAAATAATCAGAACCAATCAGACCGATCATTGTTCTTTCTGGCGTTGATGTCCGCGGAGCGGCGTTAGAAGTTTCAGAAGTTCTCAGAGAAAAGGATGGAAGACAGGTAAAATCGCTTTGAAGTTCGTTTCCCATCACGTGATATCAAGGTCTCTCCGGTCACGTGGACAAACAGTCGAGAGCGAGCGGCAGCGAGGTGTTTGATACCGACAAGTTGGAGAAGGTACGTTCTTCTTCTAGAGTGATCCAATGTCATCTAGGTATCCTCAGTTTGTCTCCATACCCCCAACATTGTCCCCTTCTCAGCTCTTTTCATCAAGAGGAGCAACTACATTGAATTGCTCTTTGGAATCTTGGTACATCACCACAATATTTCTTTTCAATCTCTTCATTCCAGTCCCAGTGGTCTTTGAACGGATTGAGACTCATTTCCATAACTCCGTTCAAGATATCCCTTTCTTTCTTGTTCTGGACGCGGTCGATGACGTCGTCTAGAACCCAACCTCGAGGAAAGAAATTAGGATTCACGGCTTTCATGGCCGTCTCCCTTTCCTCATCAACAGAAGGCTCAGTGCCCCAGTCTTCTATAATTCGTTCACGCCATGAATCAAGCCATTTGCCCACTTTCTCACGCCCGGATTCTTTGGTTTCGTTCAAACCGGTAATCCCCTCCTCATGGAAGAATCGTTCTGCCGTATTTTCACGTTTCTCCTTGGTGCTAACATGATCCAGTTTCACCGAAGAAAGGCGGCGGAAGAAGTGATTGAAATCCAGTTCCAGGGACTCCATCGTGTCCAGGAGTTCTGAGAATAGGACATCAAAATCATTGTCCTTTTGAGTCTTCAACCCGACACGCAGTGTCATCAGACGACGGTACTCGCTGAGAAAGACTGCCTTGTATTCGTCCGCGATCTGGTCAATGATGGTTTCGGCACGTTTAATGAGGACGGGAGCGAAATCTTCTTCCACACCTTTTTCGACAAACACGTGATCGTCAACACGATCACCCGCACCAATCAGCTCCCCAAGTGACTCCCCGAGACGAACAAGATTCCACCAAATGATACTCGGTTGAGCTCGATAACTGTACCGAAGCATGTAATCATCATGATTCGGTGTATACGCAGGGTCGAAATTGTCCATAAATGCGAATGGACCGTAATCGAGCGAAAGACCGTAGATGGAGGTGTTATCGGTGTTCAGGACGCCGTTCATGAAGCCATACGCCTGCCACATTCCCACAACTTTGGCATTGCGTCGGACAATTTCCCGGTAGAGTCGGGCAAACCGATTTTCTTCGGCACCTTCTTTGCCTTGGACTTCATCTTTGGGAACTCCTCTGGCTGGATCCATGTGGCTGTCGGTGATATCTGCGGGCAGGACGGCCGGTAATGATTCCCAGCCACCAAAGACTTCTTGCGCGATATACGTCGCCAGCTGGCGGATCAAATCCCGATCGCCCCTGGATCGCAGAAGATCGAATGTTCCCAGTCGCAGCCAGGATTGCGCAAAGCGACAAACAATTGCTCCGGGTTCGAGCCGCTCTCTGACGACCTCGGAGTGCGGACACAAAGTGAGTGATAGTGCACGTGTTGTGGGGATACCAATCGCGTGGAGGTACTCTGAAACGACAAATTCTCGGATACTGGATCGTAGAACGGCCTTCCCGTCGGCGAAACGTGAATACGGTGTCTTGCCGGCGCCTTTCAACTGCAGTTCATAGCGGACCTGAGTCTCTGGGTTGGTGCTTTCAAAGAGGGATATGGCTCGCCCATCACCTAGCTGGCCCGCCCAAGACCCAAATTGGAAGCCGCCATAACATTGTGCCCAAGGGTAAATGCCGCCTTTTCCCTCATCCCAGTAGAATTTGTTCCCGGCCACCACTTGTTTCATTTCTTCTGAGGAGGCTTCATCCTCGGCAAGCCCAATATCTCGTAGAGCGGCTTTGCTCACGGCTAAGAGTTCAGGATCTTCTGTCGGCTCGGGTCTGACAAAGGTATACAATGCGCCGCGGACCAGACGAGGCCCCAATTTCTGTCGAGGGGCTGAATGGGAGTCTGCTGGGGTGGGAAATTGGGGATCTGGAGGAAGATTGGATGTGAAATTGTTGGATTTTGGTATATCGGCTAGGGTCGAGTGGGCATTGTGATGGCCATTACTGATATGAGAAGACATTTGGGCAAGTCTCACGCGCGCAACCGGAGGGTCTGGTAGAGAGGGCCGATGAAACCGAGGGAGATGTCTGAAGAACATGCAGGAAACGCAAATGAAAGTGGCGAGGAGAAAGGTGATGAAAGAAAGAGATGGATGATAATTGGGGTCATTCAATCTGTCTTCCATCATCCCTTCATCGCGGCCAAACGTCGACGCGGACCAGAGATGACAAAACCTCGAATTGGAGGGCTGATGTCATTCCGGGTATGGCAGGGACTACGGTGAACCTTTAATCCTCAGTAAGCAGTATCAATCACGGTGGATCATTAGCTAAGTAGTGCATTTCAACACCCCCAATCAGATCTCAAGCAATAGAATATCAAAGCGTGATCATGACTCTGACAGAATTCTTCCATGACTCTGACTTTGGGCATATGATCAGTGACGGCGTGGGGAATTCTGCCCCCGCTTGGGCATATGAGGATGTCGGTAGATATTGATTGGGTGCAAGAAGGAATTTCAGCCATAAATGTAGTAGATGGAAGCGTCTCCTCGTGACCAGTAACAAAAGCATTTGAGAGCTTTGCCACCATGCTTTCACTAAGACTCCAGCAGAGGATTTACAACGCCAACGCAGGGATCGCGGAGGCACCCGTTGAGCTCGTCACCCCACCCGCTGCCAGCAACTCACTTGTCTGTTCTCATGTGAAGCATCCTATCGGATGCGGAATACTCCCTTGGCGAGCCTTTGACAGTGTGCGACGTGTCCAGCGCTGCTGGTCCCTTACCCGTAACCTACCGCACCGTTTCCTTTGTTTGTTGTCTGCTGCCCGATGAATGGATCCCAACTATGAAAAAAATCGCTACGGTCCCATCACCGTCGGACCACCTGCATAATGTTCATGCTCGCCAAAATCAACTCTTAAAAAGAGAGGAGGATTCCTTTCTTATTTCATCTCAAAACTTCAGCCCTGCGCTTGGAGAAGATCGTCTCTTTTGTTCATCGGCGCTTAATCCATTTCCCCACAGACGTGAAACGGTCACAGCGTCACCGCAAATTCGCATGTGCGTGAACTTACAATAGCATTTCTCCATTGTCTAGAACGTGCAAAGTCGTCCGACATCATGGCATCAGAAAAGCGTTTACGGCAAATATCCCAATCAAAACCTCGTCCTCCCACGGTCCCAAAACGGTCTACCAGCCTGCGCCGGGCTTACAACTACTTCTTCCACCCCGACTCTCCACAGAAACCCGTGCCTCAAAAGAAACCTCCGGGAGGACGGCAGTCTGATCCATCCGACTCCACTCGAGCCAAGAGCCTCGAGGAGGAACTGATACAATGTCGTCAAGATCTCGCAGAGGCCCGAGAGATGGTCATCAGTCAAGACAAAGAATTGACCATTCTCGAGCAAAACGCCCAGAGATTGGAAGCCGAGTACAGAGAGAAGGAGGCATCGTTACGACGACAAAAAGCTTCCTTGGAGGAGAGCATGGTTACTGAAATCGTCCAACAGATCAAGGATGCACAAAAGGCTGAAGGTGATGCGGTCAGAGAGGAATGCAACCGAGAGCATCAAGCTGCATTGGACGGTGTCCACCACAAATACAGGTCAAGAGTAGCCATTCTGGAAAAGGAGCTGCAAGATTCTCGGGCGGGAAATGAGCAACTCAAGGCCGACCATGAGAACCAAATCACGTCTCTTCGCACAGAGGCCGAGACTCTCGCGGCCAACCTGGAGGCCGCCAAAGCCTCCATCGCCGACACCACCGAAGCGTTGAAGAATGTCCAAAACGTGTCAGCAGCAGCTCTGGAAGAGTCTGAAAAAGCACACACCACCCTCCGAGCGGACCTCGAAGCCCAGATTCTCTCTCTCGGCCAGCAGTTGACAGAGGCTCGTGATGGATGGCAAAATGCACAGGAGAGCTTTGATGATGCTACCAAACGACATGAAAGTCTCCAGGAGACTTCATCAAAAGCTCTCGAAGAAGCCAATCAGTCGCTGGCATCGATTCGGGCAGAAATGGAGGCTCGAATGGAGGCACACACAGCTGAGCTCACCGAGGTCAAGAATGCTCTTGACGCTGCATCTCAAGATCGGGAAACCGAAAAGTCGGCCCAAATGATCCTTCAAGGTGATTTGACGACGGCGAGAAACCAGATTGCGGAGCTTACCGCCCGTCTCGAGGGCTACGAAGAGTCTAAGGAAGCTTTGTCCGCTGCAGAAGCAAAAGCTACAGAACTGACAAATGATCTCGAAGACTATTCAGCCACCAAGACCGCTCTAGCGACATCTGAAGCCAAGGTTGCTCAACTCTCTGCAGATCTGGAGGCGTATGCTCAGCTCAAAGCAGAACTCGAAAGCGAAAAGGAACGCACGGCTGGACTCTCGAAAGACATAGAAGATCATTGCGCCACATTGACGGAGCTGCAACAAAAACATCAGGACGCGGAAACACGTGCCATTGAAGCAGAGGGAAAACATCAGTCTTTGATGGACGAAATTCAGTCATTGAAAGACGGCTTGACCCTGGAAACTTCTAACCTCGAAGCTGTCAGGAAAGAACATGAGCAACTCAAGCAGCATCTCGAAGCTACTTCAGCATCTTATCAAGAATCCCAAGCTGCTTTAGAACAGGCACGAGAGAAGGTGTCACATTTGGAAGAGAGGAACCGCAAGTTAGAATCTGAAATTGCTGCTCTCGACCAGACGAAGCAGGCTGTCAACGATCTTGAAGCGGACAAAGCTAAGCTGATTGAAGAACTCGAGGCTTTGCGGACTGAATCAGGCTCATCGGGAGAACGGATCTCTTCATTGCTGACCGAAAATGCCACCCTGACACAGGAGGTGGAGACCCTCAAGGCTGAGACAGCGAAACTATCCGAGCTTGATGCCGAGAAGGCGAAGCTAGCGGAAGAGCTCGACGTGGCCGAGACAGCGAAGAAGGAACTTGAAGAGAAGCTCGTTCCATTGGAAGCGGAGAATTCGAAGCTTGCTTCTGAGCTCGAAGAGGTCAAGCAATCTGCACATACTTATGATGAAGAGCTTTCCCGGGCGACAACAGCTAAAGCCGAGGCCGAGAAGAAACTTGAAGAAGCGGAGACAGCCCAACATGCCGCAGAAGAAAAATTTGCGCAGCTTGAGGAACAGATACACACCCTCGATGGAAAACTGGAAACTGCCGAGAATGCAAAGGTGGCAGCTGAAAGCCTGGTCAAAGAGCTCCAGGATGCGGATGAGTTGTCCAAGGATAAGGTAGAGAAGGAACTTGCGTCCGCTCACGATGCTCTCGAGAAAGTCAAGGAAGAATCTCAACATACCGTGGCGGAATTGGAGGAGAAACTTGCCGAATCCCAAGACGCCCAAAAGGCTGCTGAGGAGGCCTTGGTCAAGGCCAGGCAAGCGTCTGAGGCATCGACGGATCTCGAGACGAAACTCGCTGAAGCAGTGGCTGCCCAGGAAACCGCCCAGGAGGCGCTCGAGAAGATGCGAGAGGAAGTCAAATCGGCCAAAGAGACTCAAAGCACCCTGGAGTCGAAATTAAGACTTGCGGAGGGCATTAGAGCCGAAGCTGAAAACAGTGTCAAAGAGGCAGAGGACGTCAAAGCCGATCTGGAGGACAAACTGAAAGCCGCCGAGGTCGAAAAGTCCGAAGCTGAGCAGAATCTCCACCGCTCGACGGAAAAGCTCCAACAGATACAAGTTGAGCTGGAGTCGGCGAATCAGGAAAAGAATAGTATCATGGAGAAGTCTTCCAATGAACTGGAGTCTAAAGGGGCTGAACTCAAAGCCGCGCTTGAGTCGAAGTCGGAAGCTGAAGCCCGTGTCCAAGAAATCGAAGCTCAGCTCGAAGCATCTAAGGCCGAAGATGAGACTTCGCAACATCATCTAAAGGAGCTGGAGTTGGAGCTTGAATCCATGAAGGCGAAAGCCCTCGATATCAACCAAATCTCGGAGGATCTGGACGCCAAAGACCAAACAATCAAGGCCCTCACTTCTGACAAGGAGGAAGCCGAAGGTCAACTCAAGGACGTGGAGACGAAGCTTGACTCTCTGCACACCGAACTGGAGTCTCTCAGGGCTTCTCATGAGAAGGCTACTGGTGATGTTGATGCGAAGGAGCAAGAAATAAAACGGCTATCTCAGCGGAATGCAGAAGAAGTCGAGGCTCTCCAAGCACAGATCAAGGCCAAAGATGATGAACTCAAAGCTTGGAAGCAGAAGATGGCGGACGATTCGGACACAGACAAGGTCAAACCAGATACAACGGCGGCACATGGTCCGGAAGATGATGACACGACTTCTGCAGTGGCCATCGTAAATGGTGGAAGTGGTGAGAAGGGACAGGAGAAAGACAATGAGGCCAAAACATCAGCGGGCGGCGAGCCTGAGCCTGTCAAGACGGAGGGAAAAGAACCGGCAAAAGCAGAGGCTGATGATTGAATGATGCACAGATGCAAAAGGGTTATGAGATACGGCAATGGCTGTCAAGAATCGAGACGAGGCTGAAATCATGGATCTGGACCCTGACTTTGCTTTTTTGTTACTCGGTACATAAGCAAATACCCCTGTTACATAACCCCACCCCTTTTGGGGTACACACCTGGGTCTCTTTCTCCTGACACGTGCGCGTATCATCGTTCTCAATTTAAGATTAGCTATGAGAAAGGGCTAGGAAGAATGCTAACCCGACCAATATCCTCCGCCCACGATCATGATCTGGATGACCAACTTTGGGGGTCATGGCCATTGACCGAGCCGCTCGCGTGTTCATAAGAGCGGGCACATGCCATCATCAACTTCGAATCTCTCGTCTCATTAAGGAACATCATTCATTCCATCATGAAGTACAAATTGAACCAATGGGAGCAACAAATCGAAGACGAATTTCAACGTGCTCAACAAACACCCGGCACTGCGGAATATCTCAGTACACTCTTGACCGGACCAGATCACACCTGTCCACATGCGAACAAAGAGAAAACCCGCGGCACGCCTAAACGACTAGGTTTCTTCCGTGCAACAGATGGGTCAACGACATACCTCGACACAGACAAAGTATGCCAATCATGCTACGATGCCGCCGTCCCAGAAGGCTTCAACGTCTGGTCCACGGCATACAATCCGTCAACGCGACCTATGACGCCCAAGTCCCAGGCCAGGTTCAACAATGAAGGCGGCGACAAGCTCAACAACTGGGCCGCCCTCAACGTGCCAGACTTCTACCCGCCCATGTGGCAAGCAGGGACCGAAGACGACTTTGACTCTGTGCCGGTCACGGACAAACACATGCCGACAAACGCGGAAGTCAAGGAACTCTGGCGTGCACTTGTGACGGCCGGGCAACCCTTTTATATCGATCAACTGCATCTCTCCGAGCCGTGGAACCCGCGAGCTCCAGACCAAAAGGCCGAAGACGCCCGGGTCTCGCGTGAAAATCACCTTGCGTACGCTAACGCGGCGAGGGGCTTTATTGCCACAGGAATCGGTGGTGCGGGTTGTAATACCATTATCGAACAGCGTGTGTTGGGCGAGCGAGCCGTCGAGATTCCAGCTCGATTTGGCGAGAATTGGAAGATGGCGACCCATGATGAAAGTGAGGTGCCCGACGCCTCGGAGTCTTCGCCTCACCCTCCCCGGGTGCGTTCCCTTTGAGATAAATTTCCTTCCTTTTTTCCTCTTCAAGTGAATCTGATGAAAAGGGGCAGATCCATCCTGACGTCAAAGCAGTCGAGATCCCCTCGAACTGGCCAGAGATGTACACCATGCCAACGCAGGAAGAGATTGACGCGGGCGAATTTGAGATGAGAGGCTTCATCACGCAGCCAACGGAGAATGAGAGGTATAGGAGGGAGAATCTTGAGTAGTTTGACTAGCCATCACTTCTCGATAGATCGTTCAAGTTTGATACGATGAATGGTGAACCGGATAGTTGAGACAGGATTGTGATTGGTGATGTTGGCACGGATGAGCGTTATTATAAAGAAACCTCCGACACTTATTACGGTCTTTGGGTCTCCCTGAATGTTGTGAGAGCTTCTCGGTGGTGGCGCTGCTGAAGGATACAAGTACGACTGGGAACGGGTCTGTCGCACCATCGAGTTCTTTCAGATCCTGTGCTTGCGTCTACCTCCATTCCATGCCTATCGGAGAATTCAGAGCGGACAGAGATGGTTTTTCGATCGGCACCTCTCCATCACTACCTTTGTTATCCTTGTTCTCCTCCATATTGTTCCTTCTCCACCGGAGCCCCCAGTCCATCATTCCCCGTCCTAGTTTCGCTCTCACTCTCAAGGGAACTGTGAGTGACGGTACCGGCGAGAATTTTGTCCCAACTTGCCCACTGCTTGTTACCACCACTCCTTTCATCGATCGCGGCTCGATACCTCTCCCACCACCTTGTATTGCTCCGATGTGGGAACAAATTCCAGAGGACCATCGATTGCTCTTCTTTCTCCGACAGATTCAGGGCCGCGTACGCGGCGGCGCGAAACTCGTTGGCGCTCCTGCACGAGACATCAATGTACAACCTCTCCCCGAGCAGGTGTGGCATGTCGCCTACGCCTCGAATCGCGAGAATCGTGCTCACTGCCAGTACAGCCACGGAGAGGAGCTGGTTGAAGAGACTCGTCATGCCGAGCGCGACGATGTGGATGGCGAAGGAAGCCCAGCCGGTCATGCGCGTGGCGGAGTACAAGGCTGGATTTAGGGGCGTGGTGTTTGTAAGCAGAACATTGATAACGATGCGGCGTGGCGCGTAGATCGTTACGGCTTTTCCCGAGGGAGTCGTTAAAAAGGCTTTGACGACTTCATCTTGGGGCAAAGATGGGGATGTTGAAAGTAGAACTGCTCGATCAATGGCGGCGCGGTTCTGCAAAAGAATAACCTTGCGCACGATCACCGACGCTGTCATCGAGAGCGCGTTGGCAAGCCCCCACCAATCACCCATCAGGCACGCGAGGACGATTAGCGGGGAACACACGCAGATTCCCAACGACGGACTCGCAAGCCACCGTGGATGCGGTAACGGGTTGGCGTCCGTCTTAAATTCGAGCACGGTCGATGTGTATGTCAAAGGGTAGAGTGTCAGCCAGCGCGTGAACCAGCTTGAGAGATCCGTCGCCATGATGCCATCGGAAATGTTATACAGGACAAAGCCGGGAATAGGCTCGAGGATCTGGTTGCTCGCGACGGTGAAGGCGCCGAGGAACGGAAGGCACTCGGTGATCCAACTGTGTAAGAAGCGGCCAACAGAGAGATTGATTTCGTGGAAGCCGAGGATGGTGACGAGGCCGAGGGCGTCGATGCGAAATGGGGACCAGGACTTGAGGGTTGAGAGAAGCATTGTTCTGTCGTGATTGTGGTTGCATTTGGGCTTGAAGGTTTCAAATTTGCAGGTGATGGATCTGAAGAGGTTTTAACAAGTCATGATTCGTTCATTTTCTTAGGGAATTTTTCTTTGGTCATTCTTTTTCGGCCTCATCCACACTGTTCGGTGACGAAACAGTTGGTGAGGGTGAAAGCGAGGCCGGGTGGGTAGCCTGGATGGAAATCAGCCCTAGTAGACTGCCCTGCACAGCTTGCATGGATAGGCGAGGATTGAACCCGGACTAACGCACCATGGGTGTTTGAGCCCCTTGTGTCAGCCTTGGAGCCTACATGAGAGGATTCGGGAATATCACTGCCATAAGACACGACTGTAGCTCAGGTATCAGTGGTCGAAAAGTCATGCATTCATTCACGTGGCCATAATATATTAGCCGTACAAAACTTCACATACACCTCCTATGGGCACATCCATGACGGCATCGGTGCCCTCGTTCCAAATGAGCTTCCAATTCGGATCAGCAGGATGTGATCCCTGAGATTGGACTTCATGCTGAATTTGACTCGGATGAGTGTTGCTCGTGAGAAAGGGATATGTCGAAGGGAAAGAGTAAGGATATGTGGTATGGCTGAATGGTGAAGAGTGTGCATTGGGATTGGAAGACGATGAATACTGATAATCTCGAGTTGGGATTTCTGGTGGAGGTGATTCAACATGCTCCGAGTTGGTGCGGGAGGATCTCTGTTTTCTTTTGTCTTTGCTTCGATGCGTCCCCTTGGAGTATTTCCTCCCTTTTCCACCTTTGATCTTCGCCGTTTCCATCTCCCTGTGCTTCTCCATTTTGGCCCGTTCCTCGAGCTCTTTGACGAGTCGTTTGCTTCCTCCCTTCATGACTCGGCCCGATTCGTCAAGGACAGCCACATTCCCCGCTTCGTCTACCATGCATTCTAGGCTCGACAATGGTAGGGTCAGGTATTCGACATTGTAGCTGAGGAGTGCTACATAGATGAAAATCAACAATACCACGATCCAGGCCGGGATAGCGAGAGACCACCATCGGTTGGGGTAATATGTTATTCCCAGTGCGTGGAGGAAGGGGGATGGCAGATATGACCACAGGATGTATATCAAGAAGGCAAGGGAGGAGGCCAAGTACAGGACGAAACCATAGTATTCGTACGTCGGTACTTTAGGAGAAGTCGGGGGCAGAGGGTGAGCTCGTCGAGCGGAGTGAGCCACAGCAGCCTCGGTGTCATTTGGAGTTTCGACGTCTGAGCTATCCGGAGTGGTTGGGCGGGTAGAGGTGGCAGACCGGTTGAGCAACGAGGGGGGGCGAAGAAGGGATGTTAGGCTCGGTGAAGGGGGGAGAGGAGTCGGTGGTCGATTGTAGAAAGGAGGATAGAGTGGTGGAGGAGGTGGAGGGGGCAGCGAAGTCGTGGATTGTGAAGTGTGAAGACCGCTGAAGGGCGGGTGAGGATGAGAAGGCCCTTGTGCTTGTCCATTTGCGTCAGATGGCGGCGGACGGGCAGGCAATGACCGTACGCGAGAGAGCGAGTCTGGTCGGTCGGCGGATGATGGGAAATAACTTCCTCCCTCAGCAGCGGTGCCATTTTGGTGTTGTTCGTCGACGTCTCCATCTTCCTCGGAGCCCTCCTCCTCCGACGCTGAAGATTCCTGACGTGAATAATGGGATTCGAAATCGTCGTCGTCGAGAGTCACGCCCGCGACCTCCCCGTCGGATTCTTCTTGAACATTCTCTCCTCGCCCATCTTCTCCAGGTATTTCTTCGCCTTCTATGCCCAGTTCGAACGTCGCGGCAATGTTGGACCTCACGATTTTCGGAGACGGAGTCGGCGTAGCGATATCTCGGTCTGGTGTGACCATACGTGGACCAGTGGGGGTGCGTTGATCCGGGATCAACGGGTTCGGACACGGGAGGTTTTCGAGATATGGACGCAGAGTTGGTGGAAGGGATTCGGATTGGGAGAATGGTCTCTGACCTGGTTCGGGTGATCCGCCTCTGGTTTGAGGTGGCATTTCTGGCTCGGTGAGAGTGAGGTGAAGGGAGAGAATTAAATTCGTGTCATGATCGAGTCTGGGGAATGGAGCACATGCCTAATGCACCAAGGTTCTAGATCCATTCCGGCTGTCGTTCACGAAACACACACACATATATATCTCGATCAGAGAAGACTTTATTATGATTGGCACTCTCGGCCAGACAATCCCAAGAGGCCTCGATACTAGACTACACTTTTGTACAATCCCGCTAAGAAACCAATTCATAAATCGTCAAAGAGCATTTATCCCTTGCTCTTGTATCTGGAATATGTTTTCCTCCCCTCATTCAATGTCCGAGTCTTTGGTACATCATCTTCCCAACAGTCCTTCCACACTTCGCAACCCCAACCCAATGTTGACTGCACTACTCCTCGTCCGGGTAGAAGAAATCGATCCAGCACTACTTTTGCCCGTCCGTGGTGAAGGTAGAGGAGGCGTGGGGAAATTGGAGAGATCAGGGGGCGGCTGCTGTTTCTTCGGTGTCATCACAGCTGGTGCTGTTGGTATTGGAACGTCATGTTTCGTCGTAATCTTGCCCAGTCCTTTGATGGCTTGTCCCAGGCTCTCACTTCGTCTGCGTAGTGTCGAGAGAGATTTCTTTCTTTGCATATTTGGTTTGTTGCCCCCGAGAGGATCAGAAACGCTTTCATCCGTAGGTGGTGTGGGTAGGGAAGGTAAGGCCGTCATGTTGGCGTGATTCAATCCCGCCGTCGTGCTGGACGGACTTGTTGATGTAGGAGGTCGTTGCATCGATGGAATATTGGTGGTGCTGTTGGAGGAAATCGGGTTCTTCATGATATGGAGAGTGTCCATTCCTGACAAACTCGCCGTCGAAGGTCTGCTTGCGCGACTTGAAAGCGATCGCTGGTGTGTTGCGGATGTGGGTGTTTTGATCAGACTTTTGATGCTGCTCATGCGTGTGTGACTAAGATTAGTCGACAGTCGAGGCACACTCGATTTTCGGTCTGCCTTAGATTTGCGCTCCTTGGTAGATAGAAGAGATTCCTGACTCGCATTGGCAATGAGCTCAAACGCATTCGCAGGCAAATCTGGGACCTCGAAGACCGTCGCTTCCGCCGCAGGGAAACAAGAGTATGTACTACTCGTCGATTGACGTTTGTGAGGTCGTTCTGATGTGCGTGGCACGGTTGGCGAGAGAGGACTTTGCACGGAAGTGGTTCGTCGCTTGCTTCTCCGAGGGCCGCTGACAATGGAAATCAGTGACGGCCTCGATTTGGGTTGCTGGAAAGAAACTGGGGTGGCAGTCTCGATCGGTGAGAAGGTCTCGTCGGTATCGAGATCTGGACTCAAGGCTTCCGATACCGGTGAATCTAGGATGCAAGAATATCGATCGTACCGGAAGTCTGACAACGTAGCGAGTGAGGCTTGCAGGACAGGTCGCGGTGAAGGGGGGACAACAACACGGTCCTCATCCAATTCCAATTGCAAGACCTCTTCCTCGGCTGGAATATCGATCTTGAGAGGCATGGCGGTACTCGTCTGGGGCTGGGTCGATTTGACAAATGCGGTTCCATTCAAGAGCGTGTCGTCTGGCGTTAGAACGCTGCCCTCAGAAGGTGTTTCAACGGAGGATTCTCGATCGAACCGTTCCACGTCCAATTCCATGTCGTCCGCTGAAGCATCGTCCGGCTCCTCCGCATGTTCTGCCGTATGGCCATACCTCACAACCTGGCTCTTGTGTTCTTGAAGCTTCTCTTTCTCCACAGCATGCTGTTGTTGTCTCTCTTGAAACTTTTTCCTCCGCACAGACACAGAGCTCAATTTTCGGGTTTTCAAGGCTTGATCCATTGTTGGTGACGCATGCACTTCGGTGGAGGGTGGTGTGTCAAGGTTGGGAGAAGGTACGAATGAATCCATTATCAGAACAATGGCAAGAGGCTGAAGAAGTCTAGAGGCTTCCTGGGAGGGACTGGAGTCACCTGTCATCTGGAACTCTGACAGTAGCACGATCCTTCTGATGGAACAGAGGCTGTGACAGAGTTCAAAAGTAACGGGGACAACCTGGATGGGCAGATCGGAACATGATGGTCCTTGTCCCTGTCCGCTCGGTTACCTGAGTGAACAAAAGGGAAAAGCGCAAGCCACAAAGGACCACTCTTGCTAAAAATGTCGGCTGTGAACTGGGGATTCTGACAAGCCAACGAAATTTCCGACCCAATGGATGTGACGATTGTTACCGGATTAAGAACCATGAACGAGTCAATCTTGCAGAAGAGAAAAAGCGGAGAAAAGAAAGAGGCGGTCCTAGGACTGAAAATGAGATTGCAAGCTCTGGGAAACGCTTTTCGGCGGAGCTTTTTGATGAGTGTCGGAGGTTGCCAACTTGCTGCAGGTCCGAGGGGGAAAAGTGGGGCAAGTAGGAAGCATGACCGAAAGGCCAACGTTTCATCGCTGGCGCACACACGCCCGGAAGAGGGGGGCGACAATGAGCACGGGGGCACTGCCGAATTGGCAGGTCGTCGATGAGATGGTTGGCTGCTTTTGTCTTCAACTCGTTTTCTCACGAGAGAACAACGGTATCGGCGTAGAGTACTGACGAGAGCGGGTGGCGGTCAAGAGGCCAACCCACATGCCCGTCAGCAAATCGCGATCTCCAGTGTCAGGTACTATGATGTATCCTTCTGGGGAAAGTGGAGGTACCAATGACAGAGACCCTGGAACAAAGGTTGCAGGTACCACAAAAGTCAAAACGCTCAAGCTAATTAAGGCGTGAAAATTGAGGACGATGGCGAATGTGACGAGCCTTGGACATCAACCAACCAGGACCTGCTCTGAGCGCCCAGACTGCAATATCGATTGGCCGGGACGGGAAACAGACAAGCGAAGCTGGACAGACGAATGAAATGGCAGTTCATAGTCCCCACCCTCCTCTGGACTTCCGACTTTGGCTTCTGGGGAGTTTGCTGTTGATGCTGGGGCCGCTGGGTTTTTGTGCAGATTATGAACCATCTGACTATGAACAGATGAGACGGTCTGTTCTTGTCCGGAAGAATCCATGGAAAACACAAAAACACGTGCCCAGCCACGCCCATGTGAGACGTCGACATCCTCTGGGCCCGTTACCGGGTACGTAACCATAGGCCTTGCCCCTTATTGATCTCCGTAATCCTCGTGCTAGCACCCACACTCACGATCCTAAAGTACACACAACCGTGCGCTCATCCTCCTCTGGGGCATACAGCTAATGCAAAGCGATGATTGCTTCATTTGCTTTCTTCACGTAATGAATCCAGTGCACGCCATTACTTCTATATATATGTATCTAAAACTCGATAGTACGTACTTCAGGTTCGCCTATCCAGGCGCTTTGTCCATGTCTGTTGCTCGCTTCTTCAGTTCAAGCAGGTTTTGTCTTACGTTGAGGTACACTTGCGTAGCACAAAGCTGGGCAAGCTGACTCCACTGTTTGACTCAGGTCGCACAGCTTTCTCCCGAATTCCGATCAGCTAGCATGCTCACACAAGCCGAGTTAAGCTCTTTTTATGGTATGATCTTCTCCGGGGGTGTGCACATGCGACCAAGAAATTTTGTATTTCGACCCTACCGCTCGCCCCTCTCCTCAAAGTGAGACCGGCACACTTTACAGTTGCGATTGTGCCCATTCCATCATCCATTCTTGTGCTGCTTGCACCAGTTGGTTTTGAGCATCAGCCACTGACGGAGGAGGCAACTCGGGACTTGTTTCATTGGGGAACAACCCATTTTCATCCCAGTGGTGGATCGCGCCGGGGATCAGAATAATCGGCTCGCTTGCTGTGCTCGTATCATTCAATCGATCGGGAATGTCCAGCGTCGCCAGTGGTGTCGCCGGACGCCATGGGTCGGCCTCTCCTCCTATGATGGCCAATCGTGGATATGAGATATTGAAGCCTCCATACTTATTGACTGCGTCGACATCAGGCCGGGAAGTAATGTTGAAAGCATACCGGCAGACTTGTGTCAAGTATTCCAGAGTGAGCAGGCGAGATATCAAGGGGAGTCGGTCGGCCGGCACCCCGGATCCAGTCTGAATGTAACCCCATTCAGTGCAGTATTGATAGGACCAAGACAAAGCATTATAGTTGGAAATGTCCTTGTCGGTGTACATGGCGGCTGACGCATTGTTGTAGCTATAGCACTCATCCAACGTGTCCTCGCAGTCTCCAACATAGCTGTCACTGATCCACGCCATCCAATTTAGCATGCGGTTTGTCCATACCGTGCTTTCGTTACCCCAGCCGCCGGCTTCGATGAGCGATACAGCCGTTGACTCCTTTCCAACGTAGCCGGGCCAGAGGATGGAATCCGAGGTAATGTTGCCGCAATAATAGTCGAACTCGGGACTGTTTTCGTCCGGGGACCAATTTCTGGACTGCCACCAGCCAATTCCAGCCGATGCCAAATTCGCAAAGTCATTGCTGTACGTCAATGATTCCATCCCGAAACCGGCTTTGAGCTCTGCCACGGTGTTCGAGTCGTTTTTCAACAAAATATTGTCAATGATGTTGATGAGCTTGACTTGTGTCGCAATGCACTCGGCCGGAGCGTACTCCCTTAGCGGCTCATAATATTCCCAATAATCATAGATGGCCTTTGTCACTCCGCTCGAACTGATCGCGCCCCAGGTGAGGTCAGGATACAGGAGGCGGAGGAACGCCACGACACCGCCGGCATAAGAGCCACCATATGCGAGGTAGGGAGTGCCCGGAGCGGTCAGGTTCAAGTGCTCAAGGCCGGGGAAAACGATATGTGAGGCAAAATAGGCTTGATCGGCGACCGCCTGATCGGTGGAGAGGAAGCGCATATTTTCCGTGGACAGATCTGGGACGGGAAAACTTGTACCATAGTATCGGTGTTCGAGAACCACTCCGATTCCATGAAGTGCTGAAGCCAATTGGTAGACTATGCCTTTCTGCAAAAAAGGCAAACGACCGGTGGCATCGGTTTCGCCACTCTGGAGGACTATGACAGGGCCTCCTGGCCGGTAGTAGGTCGCATCGAAGAAATAACGCAGATTGAAATACTCATCCGAGTGAGGCTCGTATCGGGAGTCATTATGGAAATGGTCCACGGGAACTGATATGTTGTGTGCCGGATAGAGATCCTCTGGGTCAACATCGCGCACGCGCAAGCCATGAGGAGCCGGCGCCAGATTCCTGCGTCCATTAGAGCGGTCTCTTCGAATCCGATTCTCGTGGACGAACCTGGCCCACACCAAACCGCACAGCGAACTGGCACTGAGAAACAGAGCTCCTCTCATGGTGGAAACGTGACGGATTTGCCGGAGCAGAAGAGGAGGATCGAGAGGAAATAAATGGCAACGACCTATGCATCCGGTCCATGGTTCTCTCGTATGACCAACCCATCTTGAACCGGCATGAAAGTACCTCTTTGTCGCCAAACAAACGATCAATGATACCTTGGGGGGTGGTAGCTATGTAGCTTTCGGTAGCTAAGTAGGAAGGAAGCTGGAAGCTCGGCGGCCGATAATGACGTTGGGAACACAGCGATGCAACGCTGTAGAATTGATATCTTGAACTCAACAGGAAGGTGGAAGATGATCAACGGGGGCTCTGCAAGGTACAGAGAGCTGTGCAGGTTCTAGCCGTGGGAACGAAGAGAAGGCTCGAGAAGTCAGCATCGGCAGCTGGACGAAGTCAGTAATGCATGCGATTGGGAGATAAGGTCAACCAGCAACCCGCGAAAGCCCGCGCCACCCGGACGATTACCTGCATATCCACATCCTGCATCACTGTTCGTATTCGCCGTATCCCAGGGCTTGATGTCGTTGGTACCAGATGTTAAATGAGCTTCGATTTCTTATCCCGTCAATAGAGCTCTGTTCTGTAGTACCTCTCCCAACTCGGCCGGCGGTCTTGGTCACGTGGTTACGTGGGTCTTGAGGCTTCCACCTCAACCCACACACAGGTGGTCTTCATCGTACTAGAAAATTACGAAATCTCATCCTCTTTGCGCCTCTTCCAGTACCAGCGGCAACTGTTGCGGTGAAATTTATATTTCGTCGACGTCCCTTCGGTTCAATATCTCTCCTTCCTAATTGAACCGTATGCAGCCAAGAGAAAGGGGGAACTAACCCCAATTGAGAAGACTTATATTTCAAGGGCTTCCCGAGGAGTCATCTCTGTTTTCCTCGTCTTCCCTCATTTCATCATCTGGCCGGATATAAATGGATGCTATATGCTCTACTGGCCATTCGCCAACAGCACTCGGCCTCCATCCACACAGAGACACCGTCCGTCCACATATGCCTGTGTGGCCCCCCATATCAGTACTTCTGCCTCTCGCTTCCGGAAAGGATGGACTTACTCCGGCTTGACTGCTCAAGTATATGATGGCTCCGGCGATGTCTTCCATTCTTCCAATCCGTGCTGCTGGCATTGCTTTGAACAGTTCTGCAAATTGATTGTTGCCTTCCTCCACCGGGTTCATTTTGCTCGGGACAACTGCGATGGGCTTTCAGCCTGACGGCATCAAATTCTTTCAGGTTTCGACTCACAGCCTGGATTGATGGCATTTACTCGAACATACCCTGCCGATTTGCGATGATCAGCTTGATTTTGGGGGAGAGATGAGGTCCCACCAGACTTACACTTGGCAAACTTGCTTCCCAACAATGCCACTAAATGATCGATGGCTGCTTTACTGGCTGCGTAACTGGTCAAGTCAATGTTGGTGCAGTTGTGCATACTGGCACAGCTACTGGTGATGATCATGACTCCCCGTCCTTCGTCTTTCCCCTGTCGACCGTCCCCCAAGTCGAGGCTGCTGGCTGCCACCAACAATTTCAGCAATGCAACGGATAAGAAGTAGTGTGCCGTCACATTGACACGAAAAGTGTCATCCCAGTCAGAATGTTTGGATGACCATAAGGATGTTTGCAGTTCCTCTAGTGAAGCAGCCTTCACATTGCACATCTTCGGAGGATCTCGTCGAATACCGGCGTTCGAACACAGGATGTCCAGGTGAGTCTCATGTTTTTCGAGCTCTTGGGCCACGGCAGCGATTCCTTCTTTCGATGACAGGTCACTGGCAAACCTGTCACATTTTCTAATCAGTGAATGGCCGAAAGGACAATCTTGCCTTTTTTTTTTTTTTTACCCTATGGCAGTCCCACCAGACGATTTTCCTAGATCTGTGAGCTCGGCCACGGCTCCTCTAATGTCATCTGTTGGCAAAGCAGTCACATAGACTTTTGCCCCATTTGAGACCAGACCCTACCTCACGTCAACGTTTGGGGATGCTCGGAGGCAGATCAATTTACCTTTGCAATCATCAGGCCAATCCCGCTGCATCCCCCCGTGACCAAGGCTACTCGACCGTTGACTCCAAACAAATCACTGACAGAAAGAGAAGACATGTTGGTCACCAAGTCTCCAGGCACCCACAACCTCCGTCTAAATGCGTTGTCATGTGGAGGCTCTAATACCGCGGCTCTGTCCGCCACGACTCGAACTTCTGCCGTCCTTCTCCGTCTAAGCTTTCTCGCTCAAGTCCGCCCAGTCGGTTCCCCCATACTCCCTTGACGTTTGCTCCCAGGGCAGAGAATTCTGCAATATAAATTTTGCTTTTCGATCTTCAAATAGGTTTCAGAAGAACTCTGGGAGGGATCCTACAAGCACGGAAACATCAAGCCTTGCCCGAGAGACTGCAAGGACGGATGGCTCTAACGGTGAATGGCCTTTTCCAGGCGATCGACCATGACTACGCGTTGTGGCTTGCTGCCGCAACCCTGTTTGCCTTTGGGTTGTATTGGGTAAGTTCACATCTTCCTAGGAGATCTTGAAACTGACACCTGTAGTGGTCGACACTCACAGACATCCCCAAGATCAAAGGCATCCCGGAAATACCAGGCGCTTTACCTATCCTCGGCCATCTACTACAGCTCGGTCCCGATCACGCAACGGTTTGCGAAGGATGGTGGCGTAAGTACCGTCAGTCCGTCTTCCAAATTCGTCTCGGCAACACTCGAGCCGTTGTGGTGAATTCATTCGAAGACGCAAAGCAGATGTTGATCGGCCATCAAACCGCTGTCATTGACAGGCCAACACTGTACACTTTCCATGGAGTGATATCATCAACTCAAGGCTTCACCATTGGCTCGAGTCCGTGGGATGCATCGTGCAAGAACAAACGAAAGGCCGCCGGTCAAGCTCTGGGGCGACCTGCTATGAGAGGGTATTTCGACATGTTCGACCTCGAATCGTACTGCATCATTCGCGACCTCTTCCGTGATAGCATGAATGGCAAACAAGAGATTGCGGTTCGACCATATATCCAGCGCTATGCCCTCAACACGACCTTGACCCTCTGTTATGGTATCCGAATGGACAATGTTTATGATGAAATGCTCAGAGAAATTCTGCATGTCGGCTCGGCCATTTCCCTCCTGCGATCTGCCTCAGAAAACTATCAAGATTACGTTCCTATCCTGCGCTACTTCCCCAGCAACGAAAAGAACCGACGATCCAAGGAACTTCGCGATCGTCGTGATCGATACCTGAATTTCCTCCTCAACAAAGTCCGGGACATGATCAAAAAGGGCACCGATAAGCCCTGCATCAGCGCCGCCATCCTCAAAGACCAAGAAACAAAACTGACCGGCGTGGAAGTCTCATCCATTTGTCTCTCGTTGGTGTCGGGCGGCTTTGAAACCATTCCAGGCACCTTGACGTCGTGTATCGGTTCACTGTCAACCAAAGAAGGCCAAATTTTCCAGGACCGTGCGTACGAGGACATCAAGCGATACTACCCCGACATCCGCTCGGTGTGGTCCCACAGTTTCCAAGAGGAGAAAGTCCCCTACGTCAACGCCATCATCAAGGAAGCTGCGCGCTACTATACGGTCAGCGCCATGTCCTTGCCCCGCAAGACCGTGACTGAAATCGACTGGAACGGCGCCAAAATCCCCGCCAAGACCATGATCCTCATCAACGCGCAAGCGGCGAACCACGACATCGACCACTTCGGCCCTGATGGCGGCGTCTTCAATCCCGAACGATGGCTGAATGACGAATTCGTCATGAAACCATCAAGCGTTGCACCAGAAGAAAAGCCCGGCCAGGGAATTCAGCATTTCTCGTTTGGAGCTGGATCAAGAGCTTGTTCCGGCCAATTCATCGCCAGCCGGCTTCTGTACACGGCGCTCATAAGATTGCTGACGTGTTACAAGATTGTAGCGAGCGAGACGGAGCCTCCTAATACAGACTACGTGGACTACAATCAATTCAAGTCCGCATTGGTGGCGATCCCGAGGGATTTCAAGGTCATGCTTGTCCCCAGACATGCGGAGAGCGCGATTAAAGAGGTAATGGCCGATGCGGCAGAAAGGACGAAAGACTATTATGTGGAGGATAACTGAAGCTGAAACACACACAATGGGAGAACTACATGAGCAGGATATTCTCAGCCTCGTATCATGTCGTCATGCGACCGAACTTATTTTACCTTGGTCTGATCTGATCTTACCTGGTCTTGCCCCTTCACTGCCCCGTGTGCAGTCTGAACTCCAAAATTTTCACTGTGCAATTTCTTTAAATCTTTAAAGGCACGGCGAAATCCATGGCTCCACAGTCATCCGAAAAAGTCACCCCTTGTGTTAATCTGAAAAGTATCGAAACCTAACTCACCCGAAGGCGGTGTTTTCCGCCCTCATGGATCCAGTCCCCCACATCTTCGTATTGTAAATGGATGGGTCGGAGAAGATCGTTCTTCTCACATCAGTCTGTATACATCTGCTCCAGTCGGTAGTTGGTATGACAGTGGAAATCAGAGGCCAGTAATGTAACCTACTAAGGAGTAATGGGATGGAAGACAGGCCCATGTGTTAGGTGCTTGGGGGGAGAGACTGTCGCTTATCTTATCGCAGCCTCGCCCGCCCTCTCAGGGTTGGCGATAAGGGGCCGTTAACCAACCACAAGCGGCATCGAGTTGACGACCATCGGACGCGGACATGTGCATTATTCTTGTGGCGAGCATCTTCAATTCTCACCATGGTGTTCTCGTCGCCCATGATCTATGGACCATGACATATCCTCCCAGGCTGGAATAGTTCATTGATCGTATTTGCAGCTGAAGAGAAAGGAAAGCGCCGATCGATTCGAAATCGAACCGACTGTGTGGCAGAGTCAGCCTATTTATTCGGCCGCTGTCAATACAGAACGTCTCATAAACCACTCTCCACGAGAGTCGAGAGGAGTAAAGGTTGAAAGGGAAATTCAAGATTCGCGCAGAGCGCTGAGGAACGCTTTTCGTTGGCAGCGACTTCCTGAAGCTGTGCAACCGCTGAGCTGTCGAGCTTGAAGTATCCCACAGGAGAAACGACAACGAGCCCAAATGTCGTCCCCGGTTGAAGTGGACGTGGACGTGCTCATCGTTGGTGCGGGCCCCGTCGGTCTGAATCTGGCATACCAACTTCGACGATTCTCGTCACCGCCCATCTCTCCACGTCCAGAATCAGCACCTATAACGATCCACATTGTGGAAACACACCCCAAACCAGTGCAAGAAACATTTGGGCGTGCCGTGACTTTCTGGCCACGATCAATGGAGATCCTGTCCCAGATGGGGCTTGCGGAACAGATCACACAGCAGTGCGTCGCCGTACGGTCGTCCGCGGCGTACGACTCTACCGGCACCGAGGTATTTGGACGAGGATGGAGCTTTTTGGAGGGTATTGAAGATACGAGATTTAAGTTTGCCAGTGTGCTGCGGCAGAAATTCGTCGAGGACAGTTTTCGGGCCGAGCTGCGGAAACTGGGTGTTGAGGTCAGTGAGATGAGGAAGTTTGTCGGACTCGAAGTTGATGATTCTGTGGGAGTCGGTGGAAAGGGGAGAGTCAAGGCTAGGATCTTCGACAGCAGTGCTGGTGAGGGTAACGAGAGGGAATATATGGTGAAGTGTCGTTATTTGATCGGGTGTGACGGATCAAGAACCCTCGTACGTGGCGCCGCAGGAATAGAGTCTGACGGAGACAGGACGGAAGATAAATGGGTGAGGATTGACGGTGTCTTGAAAAGCACGACAATGCCGAAACCTCGATCGTACGGTGCCATTGAGAGCCCCATCTACGGCAACGTACTTTGGATTCCCCTCGACCATGGAGCGACCAGAATTGGATTTGCGCTGAACGAGGAGCGAAGGAAGATGTACAAAGAGTTGAATCAAGAGGCTTTTGTTCAGGAGGCCCAACTCTCGGTCAAGCCGTTCGACATTGAATACGAGAGAGTGGATTGGGCAAGCGTGTACAGTGTCGGCCAACGTGTCGCAAAGAATTTCTGGGCCAAAGAATCTGTCTTCATTGCGGGCGATGCAGCTCACAGCCACAGTTCGGGCGCTGGACAAGGCATGAATGCTGGTATGCATGATGCCGTTAATCTCGGTTGGAAGCTGGCGCTCGTGTTGATCGGCGTATTGAAACGGGAAATCCTGGAGACCTATGAGCTCGAGAGGAGACCAAACGCAAGGAAACTGATCAAGTATGATGAGGATATCAGCGTCCTTGTCTCAGGGAGGTTACCTAAGGACCGGGCAGGTGACAAGAGCGAGGATCCGAATGTTGTACTTGGAAGGATTTTGCAAGAAGCTAAAGGATTCAACACCGGCCTCACGATTGGATTTGATCCCAATATCGCCGTTTCGAGAGAGGACGACGGCGACGAAGGTGCCGAAATTCTTGCTAAACGGTCCATCATCCCCGCTCCGGCCATTCCAGGTTACCGTGCGCCAGATGTTCAATTGTTAACGCCGGCGTTATGGGAGCCCGTTTGGTTGCAGACTCTCTTGACCAACGTAGCGAGATTCTACGTGCTTGTTTTTATTGGAAAGTCACCACAAGGAAAGGACTCATTTATGGCAATGAAGTCCGACGTTGGGAAGAACAAATACCTGCAGGACCAGAGGACCTCAACTCCAAAAGCAGAGACAAATGGTGTTCATTTGAATGGCTCTTCTGCTCCCATGCGACCTTGGCCCGTGGACTTTATCACCATTCTGCCCGAAAAGGTCGGCAATGCTTGGTTTGAGCTGGGAACCGATCCTCTGGGGAAGGTGTACTATGACAGGGACGGCGAGGCGAACCAGAGGTACGGCGTTGAAATTGACTCAGGGGTCGTGTTCGTTGTCAGACCAGACGGCTGGATCGGGGCGAGGTTTCCTATGGCCCAAAAGGGCCTTGTGGACGAGATTGATGCGTACTTGGGTAGATTACTTCATCGATAAAAGCCTAGGCCCAATGGGGTGCTGATAGAAGTGCAGATCTGGAGAAAGACGCAGTTGCCCACTTGAACAATCCGGAGATAGACGATTCTTCTTATCGAAGCCGTGTTGGCTCTTGTCTGGAATCATTCCTCCAATCGAACCGGCATCCGTCCCAGGAACTATTGATAGACCCCGCAAAAGTCGGACTCTGCCGAGTTCGAAGCGTGATGTACTCATCTCTTCAAGCTTGCCGGCCTCACTGGCTTGTCGTTGTAGATCTAAGATGGATGACTTCGACCTTCTCGTCATCAACGGCCTCGTGGTGACGGCCTCCGATACTGCCCAATATGATATTGCGATCAAAGATGGGAAGATCGCGCTGTTGACCCCTCCCGGTGTGCTGGGCGTGAGCAGTGCGAAGAAAGTGATCGATGCCGAGGGCGGATATGTCATGGTACGGCCGAATGGTGGCTGAGATATCGAGGACGAGGCTGATCTGTTCATAGCCAGGCGGCATTGACTGCCATGTCCATCTCGAGGAACCTGCGCTGTTTGGAGGGAAAGGAAGGAGTTCGGATAATTTTGAAACGGGTCAGCAAAAATGTCACACAAGACGTGGGTATTAGCTGAGAAATTGGATAGGCACACGAAGCAGCATTTGCGGAGGAACAACGACCATCGTGTTCGTCGATATTATGCTCCTTGTTGACGACGAATACTCACAATCCTTTGCAGAGCCTTCGCCCCTCAAGCGAAAACAATGCCTTCTCTCCTCAAGGTCCTCGAAGACACTCACATGCGTGCCAAAGACAACTGCTATAGCGACTACTCATTCCACATGCTGGTTGGCCACCCAGGTGAGCAAGCTTTGTCGGAATTTCCTCGTCTGCGCGAGCTCGGTATTTCGTCGTTGAAGATCTATATGACCTACGCGGCCCTGCAATTGAGAGATGATGAGATACTGGACGTAATGTTGGCGTCTAGGAAAGAGGGGATCACAACAATGATCCACGCTGAAAATGGAGACGTGTTGAACTGGATGACGAAGAAGTTGGAGGAGAGGCAACTTTTCGCACCCAAATACCATGCCACATCCAGACCGCAACTTGTTGAGACGGAAGCAACGAACCGTGCCATTGCCCTGGCTGAATTGATGGATACCCCAATGTAAGTTTGTTCCCAGTAGATCTGTTGGAATCAACTAATTCCGACGACCCATAGCCTCGTCGTCCACGTCTCTTCACCTAGCGCAGCAGCTCACCTTCGCCATGCTCAAACCCGTGGTCTTCCCGTCTACGCTGAGACTTGTCCACAGTATCTCTTCCTCACTCGCTCGGATCTGGACAAACCAGACTTCGAAGGCGCGAAATGTGTCTGTTCTCCCCCACCTCGCGAGTCCTCCCATGACCACGACGCTATTTGGCTTGGTCTCGCAAACGGGACCTTTACCGTCCTCTCATCCGATCACTGCCCGTTCATGTACGATGATTATGAGAAAGGCAAGAAGTCCATCATTAGCGCAGGGTATCCTGAAGGGAGATTCAGCGGGATTCCCAACGGCTGTCCGGGCATCGAGACCCGACTTGCTCTGACCCTGAGTGCGAATAGACTTCCTCTACAGAAGTTTGTGGAGGTTACCAGCACCAATGCGGCGCGATTGTATGGCTTGTATCCTCAGAAGGGAACTATCTTACCTGGAGTCAGTGATGCTGATTTGACCATCTGGTATCCGCCGGGGAAGTTGGGTACATTCAAACTCACCAACTCCATGCTCCACCATAATGTAGACTACACGCCCTTCGAAGGCATGGAGCTCAATCAATGGCCGCGGTACACCATCCTCAGAGGCGAGATAGTCTGGAATAGAGATGGCGGTGGACTATTGGGCAAGAAGGGATATGGGAAATTTGTAGAAAGAGGGAAGAGCACCCTCCCGGGACCTAGACGGGAGGGAGAATGGGATGTGAGTGTCTTCTAGTACACGACGCCGAAAAAGACCGTTCAATGCATTTATTGGGTCCATGGGCCTTGCTGCTCCCGTGGCCATCTCAGATCTTTCGATCAGGAGGCTTATCCGTGGATATGCCCCCCTGCCCCTTCTCCTGATCCCTGGAGGACGCGAGTCATCAACAACCGACAAGACCGTCCAAGTCACTACGACGTCCTCCCTATGCCGCCCGCTGTGAGAACCGACGGCGCAGGGAGTGACGCGTAGATGATTCACCAAAGGCCCTTACCAGGCATCCTTGGCGGTTTTGTAGGACGCTAGATGATGTTAGCATTTTTGCCAGGTAGGACGAACATTACTGACCATGTTGGAACCATGGCCCGACACGCTGTAGTGCGGGTTGAATGTGACAGAATGTGCTGCGTCGTTGCCGGCAGTGGAGGGCTGGTATAGGTAGAGCGGGTTGTTGGACACCGTTCCACCACGTCGCAGCTTTTCAGCGCTGGCGTCTCGTCGATTGCTAGCCCGTTTGAGGAGGACGTTGCTGCCAGAACCTACAAAAAGTTTGAGAAAAGAGCCAAAGACCCCGTATTTGGACCATTTCGTACCTTTGCCGAAGTCGACCGCACCACGACGAACATAGTTCAGATTCTGTGTCACGGAGAACTGGTCGTTTGCTGCTCTTCCATAACTGTTGACAGCACCACCCAAGCCATCGACGATGCCAACGTATTGAGTTCTTCAAGGTTTCCATATCGCGATTCTCAGTTTTCATCTTCTCGCTGGCATCTGCGAGAATACAGGAGTGACAGGGGTCTGAGAGTCGGATGTCATCGTTTCGCTGTCCTGGTTGTGAGGCTGAGGGAGATACGGGCCTCCTTGAGGATTTAAGGGTCAGCATACACCGGATTCGGATGTCAAAGAATGAAAGTAGACTTACTTGTTCGTATTGGTCTTGCTGAAGTCAGGGACAGAGCACTTCTTGGTTACATGGCCGCGAGACCAGAGCAATTTTTGACACATTTTGAGAGAACAGAGGAACTCGTTGCGATGATTTGTAAAATGACAGGGCAAGACAGACACGAAGAATTAACACAAAGCGATTGATACAAGCATGGTGCTGTTGCCGATGACTGAGATGGAGGTAGGTGGCGGAAAGGAATTTTTGCATCGAGAAGATGTCCTAGGCACATGTTTATGGATCAGACGGGGACTAAATCTTGGCGGTAGGCCACGATGTTATTCACATGATTGTCTGTACCTTGAAGAGTCTTGTAAGGAGAATGGTTGTTGATGGAAAGGTGCGCAATGAAAAAGGGGTTAGGGGAGTATGCAAACACACAACATGACGGCAGCCAATTTTTCCGTCTGCCTGCACAGTATCGTGGGGGTCATTCAGTTTCCCTTGGGCATGTGATAGAGAGCTCTTGGACGTGTCTTAGAGCTCAATCATAGGTCGAATATCTCTCTTGATGGTCTGCAGAGCCCGATAGGTTGATGTTGCCTTTATTCTTACCCAAAGAAATCATCCTGTTCATGCTTTCACACCTGGGGCTCCTATGTTGGCCTCGTTTCCGATTCTCTCACAACAGTGAGACCCAACTCATGTTCTGAGCAAGTCAGCACGGTCATTTTGCGTTGCTAATTGGAACGGACCTCAATCTACTCCTCTTGCCATTCCCGGCGCCGAAATGCAACTTGCAGAGACCAAAGTTTCATGAATGAAGTCAGCAACATAGCCTCCGTACAGAGGATGCCCTTCTTCCGATGGGTATCTCTCAATTCTGGATAATGAGAGGGGGTGTTGCGAAGGAAGAAAGATGTCAACGCCCGGAAGATTCATTGTCGAATTCCCACCCAACAGTACTTCTCGCCATGTGACCCAGAGCTGCAATCGTTTACATCAGGTGGTGGATTGACATCTTGTCTCAACTTGATTCATTCCACACGATTCATTGACAAGTACATTGGCCAGAGCAACAGGATTGCCAGGACTCTGGCTGGGTCTGTAACGCAGATGCGACCCTTAACCCCGTCCACAACTCCACCACCTCCATCTGTTTCTTCTACAGTCCCAGGTTCAAGAAGATGCCTCTGGAGCAAACAAACCGCCGCGATGGTCGGTCGACTATGAATGGGTCACGAAGCAAATGGAAGACGCTGGGCTCTTGAATGGGAACAGTCCCCCCGCGAGGGTAGACCAAGCCTATCATTACGACAGCCCGAAGGATCGGGATGTGAAGGAGCTTCCAGCGCTGAGGTCCAACAATTGTGGTGACGTGGTGCCTTCCTCATGCGAAACCTTTCCCCACACCACCGATGCAAATTCCGGTGGCGCCATCGCAGGAGGGTCGACATTGGACGGCATACCGCCGTCGACTTCAGAAACCGCAGATTCGTTCGAGATCCCTGAAACACCGTCAGCTACAGAGCAAACGCGGTGTCCTGCCGATCCAGAAGTCGTAAGGGTCATGGGGAAAAGGTCAGATACTTGCCCTGCCGGCTACCTTGTTTTGTGCTGGGTGTATCCCCACGAAGGCGAGGCGGTGGCTTCAAACAGCAACCGCTGCTTTCGAGACTATGACCAAAAGATCTTACAAGACGCCGCACGACACGAACGTATGTCTTCTCTGCGGCCACGGAAACGGTCCAGATCACCGGAGAGCCAGGGCTCCAGGCCGACGCGAAAGAAGCCCCGAAGGAATGGGAGGGTCTCTGCATCCCAGAGTCAGGTCCATCCCTCTCGCCAGGTGGAAGAGCATCTTTTTGTTGACTCGGACGTCTGTTCCCTTGATCTTAAGCTAATTTGAATCACGGTCCTCGCCAGTGACAATCCCCTTTGCAGCGATATCTTGTTCAAGTGACAGATCTTCGTCGAACTCAACTATCACCTTAGGGATCTGGCCGCTTAGCTGTCTAGCTCTCCTTGACATAACTTCAAATTCGAGAAACAACACATGCGGCCTTTGGGGTGACGGAATGCTTGTCCAGAGGAGCATGAGTTCTGACCGTCCTGTGCCATTGTATTGTCCGTTGACAAAAAGACTCGGAATTTCTTCCCCAACATCAGAGCGACTCGTCCCAGCTGGACATGCCTTTGACAGGGATGTAAGCGGTGACCATGATCCTTGCGGTTGGTGGTGGTAGTGGACGAATTCACGCCCAGTGACTACTCGATCACGGCCGCAACCAGCTTCGATTCCTCCGCCGCCATACAAATTTCGGCATCATCGAGACTATCCATTCCGGCCATCCTCAAAATACCCAATGCCTCCAGAATTCCTCGTTAGTCGCGTTTGGATAATGAGTGTAGCACTCGTTCGTCTCAGATCGAGCAGGTAAGGGTTACTAGGTGCCAGGACGCACAAACCAGAAGGCCGGCGATTCGCGTAGCCTCTGAAACAAGAGGTGGACACAGGGGGAAATAAATGCGCGACTGAACCTCGGCATGGCGGTCAATCAAATAGGCTAGCTTAAGGACCGCCACCAACAATACTAATGACTTTTACTAGACAACACAGACTGTGGGATTTGTCTGTGTATGTACCATTGCCAATGCCTTCTTTACGTCGGAGAGCCGCAGTTGTATCTGGGGACCTGCTTTACTTTCAACAAAGACGTATGTTTTCCTGCTTTAGTTTAACCTCAATTCGTGCGGTTTCTAGATTTCCTCCTTGCTGTTTATTTCTCTGGGTCGAAACGCGGCCGATAGATCCCAGTATGCTGACCAGCGCGTAATCTAAACCGGCGTAGAGGGATGGGATTATTTAAATCTTGATGTATACCACCCTCTTACTCTAATTCCGTAGGTATATACGTATCAAAGTACTCCTTTCCTTCTGCACTGCCTCCAATTGTTCCTTTACATTCCTCTTCTCAAATCCCAAGCATGCCTCTCCAAACCGTCCAATACATCCCTGCTTCGCGCAAAGACGTCATTCGGCAACAGCAAGTCACTATGATTCGTGCTGTCGCCCATGAGCGCAAACCTTGGGACAACAGCAGATCCACGAACCACTGGTGCTTATACCTCCAAACTAGCCCGACCTCCTCAGTCCGTGTCGATATGACTCCAAGTTACAGCTATCCAAGCACCCGCCTTCCTGGTGGCTCAAAAGGAAACCTTATAGTTTCAGAGTTGCCCTATGTCGTTACCAACCATGCCAAGAAGATCGTTCAGATTCGACCGATGCAAGGACTTCGTGTACACCACATTGTCGATGCTCTCATACAGGCTGGCCGCGATAAATATGAGTTCGACCGTGATGGCGTCGGATGCCGCATGTGGACGAGCAATACCTTATCCCTACTTCAGAGTAATGGATATGGGAACTCGGGACAGATCCAGGAAGCTCAAGCCGCGATACTCAAAGTTTGGCCGGATGGGACTTCTCTTGAGCTTGATCGTGGTGCATACTACTGAGAGTCTGGTTCTGAGTATGAAAAGGTTACCAGGGTGATCTTAAGATGGATTCGCCAGAGCGAATACCTTTTACCTTCTGCATAGGTATATCTTCCGTCGAGCACGTTGAGACGTGACTGTTGGCTTATTGAAATCGAGCTGGATCATATGTGTTGTGTGAAATCGGGATCGGGTCGTTCGTGTTTGCGAATTTGACACTGAGCCATATGTATTGGTCTGGAGTTGGGACTGCGTTGTTCATATGGTCTAGGCGCGAGATCAGGCGCTTGTTTTGTTTGGAGTCGGAAATCGATCACTTACTTTATCAATAGGCTTTGTCTGCCGACTCTTCATCCATACTTCTAGCTTCTCGACCTTAAAATCCCATGAATTAGTGAGTTATATAGAAACCATGAGATTATGTTACAGAAACTTACATCAGTTTCATTGAAAAAATGTAGGACTGCACGAATACCCATAAGTTGCTGAAGCGCTTGCTGGTTATATTCAAGCCTCTGGAGAACTGAATGGCTGAATCCATCATCGTCTGACTCGCGAGCGATTGCAGCCGCTTCGAAAATTGGAGGATATGCACCCGCACATCCCCAGTCGATAAGATATAGCCGCCCAGAAGGATGTAGAAGTAGATTTCGAGGTGCAATATCTTGATGGATCATGACGAAACTCGAGAATTTGAAAGGAGGGGTACAGGTCGGCGTGTTTCCGGTCGTTTTTGCCATCTCAAGTCTTCCATTACAATACTCTTCAAAATCCGAAACACCAGTAAACGGTCCGGAGCCGTATATTGAGAACCATTTTCCGTGGCTAGGTCCGCCACCAATTGGGCCCACGAAAGGGAGGTGAAGGGACTGTAATTCTCGTATCATATCCACGACTTGACGAATAACATCTTCGCGTTCGTTGGGAAGGAGCTTCTCCCAACATTCTGAAAGACAAATACCGTCGATATAATCCATAATAATATATCCAGTGGAGTCGTAGATCCCGCCAGTCCCGTAGACAGTAAACGATCTGTAAACCCGAGGAAGATGAATAGATGTCCTTTGAGAAACTAATTTCATGGCTTCGGCTTCGGAAGGGAGGGTCAACATCGATTTCTTGATCACAAGGTTTCGTGAGATTCGAGCTACTCGTGCACCGCTAAGAGTATGAAGTGATGGAGCGGTGTCAGCAATAGCAGCCAGCTCTGATTCCGACACTTTAAATATGTCTCGGCCCTCTAATGGGAAAGTTGTGTTCGGATTTGAGGCTGAGGGCTAGATGTGTCGTTAATTCCCGTGCCAGAAATTGGGATTCAAAAACATACATCGCTAGTTACCTCGAACGGATCTTTTACATGATCTTCGGCCATTGTGAAAGAGTAAATTTAAATTGATGGTACTACTTGACAATTCCTTACAGTAATGATGGAAGCGAAGAATGAAAAAATTCCTGGAGGCTGGTCATCACATGAAGAGTATTTGGCACCAATAGCCAGGCGGAGACAACAGTGGAACAACACTTGTGGATACCGGGGTGCCTCTACAGGCAGCAGCGTGACCGGCGGTCTGTAGAGTTGTGTCGTCTAACTCGGTCAACCTTCCGTCTCCATTAAGACCAGAATTCGGCCCCTTCCATGCTGACAACCACTCCACACATGAATTCGCCGCTGAGGGGGTTGAATTTTTATTGATTTACTACTGGTTCGACTCGCTTTCTGCTACGTGGAATTGTCCAAAGAAAGCGCCCATCCTCTTTTCGTGTGCTGTCGCATGTTATCTAGCCCTGGCGCTTCAGGTACGAGCGTGAGGGCACTTTCGCTTGCAATTACATGAAGCTACCCATTCCTCTCTCCCTCATCTCGAGTGACCATGGCACGTCGAGGCAGTGTAACCGCCCGGAAGACCACACGGCAGTCCCTGAAGCTGCCATCCCAGGGTCATTTATCCCCTTCCATCTTCAGTGCTCGACTGACCGGCAAAGGGAAACGCCCTCAAGGCATCAAGAAGGGAGAAAAGCGAAATCCTATTCAACGGAGCGCATGTTTAGACTGCTTGATTGAGATCAATGGGACTCAACCAAAAATCAGCCACCAGCCTCTACCATCTTAGTTCTACGGTGCATCGGTACGGCCTATTTTTGTGTGTTCTGTGGATGCCAATAATGGCCACCGCACAGCAGCTAATTCTCCCTTCAGACCTCAAACCCCCTTCACAAATTTGATCCTGTCAGTGACAGGACCATCTAACCAATCACACTATCGACTTGGATAGAGAGAGATTTTCGACTGTATTCTGCGTGATTTTGAAACATAGCAAGAGGGAAATGAGCCGATATTCAATCCTTGGAAGTGAGCGAAGGGAGGACCGCATGTAATTAGAAATAACCACTTCTGGGGTATCTCAACTGTCTTCCTCGAGAATTTGTCATAGTCTGGTGTTCCTCTACTGTACAAGTCACGATCTTCCCTCTGAAAGAAAGTCCTCGATAGCACCCGGTCGATCTCAAGCTTTCAATTTAATAAAACATGTGAATTTGCCATGATACCTGAGTCTCTCTGTGCTTCACAGAGTATCTCGATCATTTTAAAGGCCAGGCCTTCGTCTTCCTCTTTTCTCAACCTCCCATTTGGAAACACCACCCTCCGGAGCCTGTTTATCCATGGTCGCAGTGGCTGATAACTAGGGGTCGCGGACAGGATATTCCACGAGGGGTGAAAGCGTAGCTTTTGTCTTTTGGGGGCAAGCTCCCAAACCCCCGGCCTCGCTGCGCTCGAGAGATCACGTGACTGAGCCGGCCACATTGGGCTTGGCAACTCTTGGCGGCGCACACATGCGGCCGTACGACGATTCACGTAATTGCGACCCTTCGGGATCCGGAAAATCTATAATCCGAGGATTACGTAATCCTGTAGTTGACCTCATCGGATCCAATCCACGGCCCACTCAGGAGAGTGCGTGGGAGCCCGGAAAATCTATAATCCGACACCCAATCACGTGCTCTAGTTGGCCAACCCCATCGGATCCAATCCACGGCCCACCCAGGAATGGGTAGAATGCCGCCTTTGCCTGCCAGACCTCCCTGATCGGATCCAGTCTATGGATCACGTGTGGACGATGTTGACCACGGTGTCCTGTGCCCGTACGATATCCCTCGTCGGATCCAGTCCATGGCCCATGAAGTAGACGACGGTATACCCAATTAGGAAAGCCGACAACGATATCGGGAATGTCTCGGGAGAGCGACAACCCACAGCGACCTGCGTACCACAGCGACATCACTAAACACCAATCGGGCCTAGTTGTGCGAGTGTTGTCCGCATAATGGAAAGGTACCTGAAACCCCCCATTTTTCCCTGGGGATTTGAAGTACCTTTCTTTCAACGACGTCGTTGACCCCTTTTAATGGAGTCCTTTGCATTCGCCTTTCCACGCCTTTTTGCACTCGATTTTGGTGTTGTGGCGTGTCAGACCCTCTCTGCCACCCCTGTGGCCTGTCTGTCGCCTGTGTAGTCCTCCTGGCGAGCCCTCAGGAGAGGGCGATCGACGCGGTCGGGGTCTTTCAGGAGTGCGAATCGGTAGACGCCGTGAAAGAGGAGTAATCTGAGGCGAAGAAGGAGGAGTTTCAAGGACAGGAGGGGTCTCGGGGCGAGAAGGAGTAGTTGGTCTTGCTGTTGGGGCATTTGAGGTTAGATCGATCCGAAAGGTGGACGTCATTTTGGAGCGCACCTTGAGGGCGCTTGCCAGAGGTCGCCGACAAAGAAAGTGGCCATTGAGGCTGCAGCAACAAGAGGTCAAAAAGGGTCAAACAGGACTCTGCAACACCAGGAAGTCTATACAAGTCGCGAATCGAGCAACAATGAGGCAAAGAGCTCGCAAATACCAAAAGTATGTGAATGCCTCAATTTTGATGTTTTGGTACCTCGATTTGTGCGATTTTACTAGGGTTTGGGTGGGGTTTCCAGGTACCTTTCCATCATGCGGACAACGCTCGCACAAGCTAGGCCTGATTTGCGTTTAGCAATATCGCTGTGGTACGCGAGTCGCTGTGGGTTGTCGCTCTCCCGAGACATTCCCGATAATTTCTCGCGGGCGCAGGGGGGTCGGAGTCTAGAAAAAGCTCCGCTAACGCTCCGCTTTAATAAATGGGATAGTTCTCGACGAGGCAGAGATGAAGAGACCATTCCCGCACTGTGCCCAGAGGGAGGAGTCGTGTATTTCATCAGCACATTGTGGCATGGCGGCGGTGCCAATGTGTCCGACCGTCCACGACAAAGCGCAACAGTTCAGTACTGTAATCCATACATTCGGCCGATCGAGAACCAGATTCTAGCGGTCGATCCACGAAAGCTGGATAGGATACATCCTCGAATCGTCGAAATGATGGGTTACAAACACATGGAACCATTTATGGGATATGCGGATGGCCTGGGACCTCGTCGAGCCGCGACGAGGATGGTTCGATGGCTTCAGCAGGAAGTGGATGACAATCCTCCTACCTTTGCTCACGAGGCCCGAGAGTCCAAGTTGTAGGAGCCGGAATGGACCCAGGGCGAAAAGGGCATCAGCATCACGACGTTTGCGGTGGGTGATTTGCCACATTGGATGAGAAATTCAATTCGCGGTCGGATGGTGATTGTCGCCGCCTTTATTTGAGGGTAATCGTACTGCTGACGGCATGCGGAGGGCAAATGGAGGGGAAGGAGGCCTCAACAGCATCATCAGTATGCTCATCCTTATGGTTCAGCACCTGTTTCCGAGCCCAAAGCTGGAACCAGGCTTTCTGTCTCGAACCCTTTCCTTTCTCTTGGATTCTTGGGGGAGTAGGGGGGCCCATCGGGTTATTCGCCAGGAGCAAGTCATTTAGGGGCCGGCTTTCCGATTTGAATTACGTATTTCAGTCTTGCTGTGGTCCTTGGACAGAGTTGGCTATGATTCCTGTGTTCCACGCGCAGCGATGTACCGTTGTCCATACTCTGCGCGTCTCTCCGGCAAAAGATTGTCTTGGAACCCGACTCTCTGGTAATTGGAAACTCGCAGGGTGGTAGTGTGTAGCAGGTTGGCAATGAAGAAGATGAGGAGATTGGTTCGGCTGCGTTCGTTTGTCATCCTACGAGGCTGACTCAGCTGAGTGTCAATGAAAGGAATAAAAAGTAGAATGGAGCCATCGACGTAACTAAGGTCCCCTCTCGCTGTCCATTGCTGGGTGGCGATTTGAGTAGAAACGGGTAAATGGTGATCCACCGACCGCAGACCGTACCCGCGCCCACGTCCTTGGCGCTCTCTTTCTCCTCCAGCCGCTCGTTACTCCTCACGCCCCAAGTGCTTTTTGCCTCTCATCTTGAGGGCTTTTTTCGCCTTCTATCATCTCATGAGTTGCTAGGCCACAGGCTGGTCTCTTGTTTGGACTCGTTGACTTTGACCACGTTGCTGTGCGGTGTCTCCTTCGAACCGTCTCGACGTCTGACTGCTGGCCTGCGACTATTCTCGACTCCGATCCGCTAAGTCAAACCGAAGTCTCTCTATCCTCAGCTTCGCTTCCAACTTTCTTCTGGCCTCCTCCTCCCATCTCTGATGCCGTCTCTGTGAGAATTGCAGCCTTCTTCGCGCCGATTCAATGGCTTCATCGCGGCCAGACTCGCGCCGCATTGGCCACGACAATGGGGCGGAAACCGAACCTTTCCCATCGATGCCCTATTCATCGGCGGATCCTAGCTCAGATCAACCGTCCAACGACAACGACAACACGGCGACGACCACGACCACGACGACCACGACGACCACGACATTCCCTTCCCGTGGCAGACCTTACACCATCACATCAACCCAGTCATCACCCCAAGTTCCCGTGACCGTTGTGAGCCATCCTCCGGAATCTGTCAACGTTCCAAATACCACAACGACCGTATCCACCCCTCCTCAAGTTAATAGAACGCGGCCGATTGGAATCAGGAGACTGCCGTCAACAAATTTGCGACAGGCATATGAAGCAAGCACAACGGCGGGCGATGCGAGCGGCAATGTGAGCCGGTCCTCTTCTGGCCGTGGCCGCAGCAGCTCAGCGCCCCAACATCTAAACCCCACAGGCCCCGGTTCGGCGGTTTTGACGAGGCAAAATACAAGACAATCTCTCCTTCCCACGGTGGCCGAGAACACCGCCGTGAATCGAGAGGCCATGAATGATACCATCACGGGCCGAGTGAGCAGAAGACGAAGTGTCAGTAACGCTGCCCGTTCCATCATCAGCAGATTCAGTGATCACTCTGCCGAACGTCAGGAGCCTGAATACGAATCAGAAGTCGTTGATCTTCTGGATGTGCTCGGTGGGGTCCATCGCTGTGTTGTTGAGGCATATCGGACTAACGAATCTCTCTTAGACCCTGAAGTTTCAACGCTGACTACTCTTACCAACGTTCAGAACTCATTGTTCGTACCTGATCTTGGTAGATGGTTGAATAGAAGACCGACGTATGAGCTGAGTCGCCGATCGACAGTGGGCCGGCGTCCTCCTACGATAGAAGAAAAGGAGACTCCCGGCATGACTCCGGTCGTCAGCGAGCCAACACCAACCGAGACAGGTCAAGAAGAAGAACAACCGGTTGAGACCACCCCAGCCATGCAACGAACGTGGTCCTGGCAGCGGAGACCACAGATCGAACGCTCTCACAGTATTTCCTCGGTTATGACCGCATCCCATTATGCTGTCCTGCCTCATGGTGTCAGGTTGGAAGGATGGAGCGATGAGGACAAAGAGGCATTGGACGATCATGTTCGGCACATGCTACACTCTAAACGATCGAAGTTCAAGCAGAGAATGGTTGCGTTTGGAAAGTATGTTCGAAAACGTAAGTCGAAGAGTGTCCTTTGTCTCCCGATCAGCAATGCTCACGATTATGGACAGCTCTTGGGTTTTTCGTGACATTATACGCGACTTTGATCACGCTTTTCGGTTTGGCTTGGGTACTTTTCTTAATTGGCTGGATTTATGTTGGAGATCGACAACTGTATATTATCAATGTTATTGATAATGTCCTGGTCGCCCTTTTCGCCATTGTCGGTGATGGTCTGGCCCCATTTCGGGCTGTGGACACGTACCACATGATCTTCATTGCACACTACCACCAACTGACCTGGAGGTTAAGACGAGAAAAAGCTTTGCCGGAATTGCATGATCACAACGACCTCCCTGCTCAAACGGAAAAAGAGGTGGATCCAGAGGCCTCAAAGCCTGAGGAATATGAGTTCTCAGTTCTGACACCCAAACAACAGCAGAAGCTCGTTCACCATCAGGCCAAATTTTCCAAGTCGCACTCTTTTTACAAGCCACACGAAACCGCGACCCATTACGCCTTTCCCTTGCGGCTGCTCGTTGCAATCGTCGTGTTGCTCGATTGTCACTCACTGCTCCAGATCTCTCTGGGTGCCTGTACATGGGGTATCAGCTACCATACGCGGCCTCAGGCTTTGACGGCCACAATTCTCGCCTGTTCCATCACGGTCAACATCACAGCGGGTATTCTTATCACGATTGGGGATCGAAAGACACGAAAGAAAGATGTGGCTTTGAGGATGGCCAGACAAGAGTTGACATCGACGGCCATCAAGAAGGTTGAGAAGCACAAGAAGGAACGTGCCGAGCATTTGCGTCAGGATCAAACACCGAGGAGCTTTGAGGACATTGACGAGGAGACGGCCGATCAAGTGAGAACGCGTTCTCGATAGGCCGTTGATTCGAGTTAGCCATGGGGAATTTTCCTCCAGCAGGACGTTGGAACCTGTGGTTCATCTGGGGAGGGGATTTGATATCTTTGGACATTTACGCTACCATCGACTTGCACAATTGTGAATAATGGAAATGGCCAATTAATCACAATATCATGTTGTCCAGAACAGTCATCATTCGGAGAGCGTGAATAGTGCCTGAATATGCACCGTACATATCCCCAAAGGGAAAGCCGTGGGTGGTAGCAGCCATTTTATAATATTGCATGGCCACTGGTGGATCTTGAAGAGAGTTATGGGTGGTTGGGACAACGAGGAAAATCATTCGTGGGATATGACAACATTGTTATTTCACTTGGTCAGTAAGTCTCCACATTTCATCGATAACGACAGGACAAGGGGTAGATGAATGCAATTCTCCAGATGGACATCCCTGCGACTCAACTTGGTATATCAGGTTACCATTGGATGGGAAGAGAATCCGACCAGAAGCCTCCACTTCCTTTGTCGATAACAGCAGCTGATCCAGACCCCAGTTGTAAGCGGCGGTTGCAATGCCGAAACCCCTCCCCACACACATCCGACTTCTTCCACAGGTGAAGATTGCCATATAAACTCGTCCCTGCTTGCTTCTCTCACCCGTCTTCCACCAATCCTGCTGAGGACCTCCTCTCATTCATCCCGCCTTAAGACGAACGACTCTGTTTGAAGTAAACTATATCACACCTCTTCACGGTGCCTGAGTATACCAGGACTAACAATGACAGGAATCAGCCAAAACATCCCATCAAGTAAAGCTCACTCGACAGAAAGATGGAGGGCGCCATGTTATCCCCTCGCTGGGTTGAGAGACATCATGGTCAAGGTACTTCTAGTATAAGATCAGACAGACACACTCGAGAAGTGTCTGCGCATGAACCGGTGTTCGCACAATTTTCTCCCAGCATACCGTATTCGCCATCCACCCACTCCACTCAGAGCTGGAGATGGTAATTCGTTTGTTGGAGAGTTGAAAGTGCGTTCTGAGATCATACGGTTGAACTTGACTCTGGATAATACCAGCGGAAGGATCATGCTCTTTCTCCCTCTTCCCCTGTCTGCCCCATGAATTCGCCCTAACCAAGATCTGCAGGACTACGGCCGGCAAGATGTCTCCTCCAATCGCCACTTTCAACGAATCCGACAGTTTCGCTGCCACCAAGGAGGTGAAGGCTGCTCTTGAGTCCAACAAGCGATTGGTTCTCAATGCCGATAACGTGGAGACCAAACTTCTGGACCATTTCGCCGGAAAATGGGATGCGTTCAAATTCGATCCGATTCGCGAATCTCAGGTTTCTCGTGCCATGACCCGGCGATACTTTGCCGACCTCGACCGATACGCGGAGTCGGATGTTGTCATTGTCGGTGCGGGCTCCTGTGGACTTTCCACGGCCTACACATTGGCAAAGGCACGACCCGACCTCAAGATCGCCATCATCGAGGCCTCTGTTTCACCGGGTGGTGGATGCTGGTTGGGTGGTCAACTCTTTTCGGCCATGGTGTTGCGCAAGCCGGCCGATGAGTTTTTGAACGACATCGGCGTGCCTTACGACGACGAGGGTCGCTATGTCGTCGTAAAGCACGCGGCTTTGTTCATGAGTACCTTGATGAGCAAGGTTTTGGCCATGCCCAACGTCAAACTCTTCAATGCCACCTGTGTGGAAGACCTGGTTACTCGGACCTCGGCCGACGGTGGGGTCAGAGTCGTCGGTGTCGTGACCAACTGGACTCTGGTGACTTTGCACCATGATAATCACAGCTGCATGGATCCAAAGTAAAGTTGGAACCGTCTGCTAGCCCCGTGGCAAGACTAACTGATCATTTCCAGTACCATCAACGCACCTGTCGTCATCAGCACCACAGGCCACGACGGTCCATTCGGAGCCTTCTGCGCCAAACGACTCGTCAGTATGAATGCCATTGAGAAATTGGGTGGCATGCGTGCTCTGGATATGAACAGTGCGGAAGATGCCATCGTCAAGGGCACTCGTGAAGTCTCTCCAGGTTTGATCATGGGAGGAATGGAGCTCAGTGAACTTGATGGAGCCAATCGGATGGGACCCACTTTTGGTGCCATGGTCTTGAGTGGCGTCAAGGCTGCAGAGGAAGCTTTGAAGGTCTTTGAGACCAGAAGGGCCGAGTGCGCCGAGTAGATCTGATTACCGCCATCTTTCTCGGGTGATACAGGCCCATATGTCGCTCATTTACATAGTCCATTCAACAAGGAAAGGAACAGAAATTTGAATTGCCCAAAACATTTCCCACAACAAGCTCCTGTGTCAGAGAAGGGGTGAAGGGCTTTCCCCTGACCACTCCTCCAGTCCACTTCCATGGTCGGGACACATTCTTCCTCGACAGTGAAAAGGAGGGTTCTATCCACCAGGCCACTTGGATTTTCGTAGTGGGTTTCTCTGAGGGAGGTCAGGAGATCTGCAGATTCAATAAATCATCAAAAACTAGGGGCCGTGGACAGGATATTCCCCGGGGGGCAAAAGCGTAGGTGGTCACCACGGTCGATATTGCCAAGCCTTCGAGATCATGTGATTGTGGAAAGGTCACGTGGTTTGCTTTTTTTTGAAGTCACGTGAACAAAATTGATCCCTAGGTGGTCTCGAGCTTCGCTAAACGCTACGCTTTTTAACTTCCGCTTTCGTCTGACCTTCCTAATTGGGACATACTTCAGTATAACTGCTTTTGTCAGCAAAATCTATCCCCATGACAGACAGCTGCTTGATTCTCTTGGGATTCATCATTCACCTCCATGGAAACTCGAACTAAAGTGATTCTAGGAGAATAAGAGGCTACGAAGCAACAGCCATGACTGGCAATACCATCCACTCGGAGAGGACGCCTCTACTGGCCTCCCTCCCGAACAATTCTCCTGCCCTGGATGACAGGAGAGGAGAACCACGGTCACATTCACATTCTCGAGTGGTCGAAGATGACAAGATCTCCGGACTTCGCGGGACTCTGATCTGCCTTTCCGTCTGGATGCTGATCTTCATCTTGACCAACAACGTCTCACTCATCACCACGATCCAATCCCCCATTGCCATAGATCTCGGGGCATCCACTGAAGTCAGCTGGTTTACATCAGCCTATCTGATTGCCGTTACCAGCATCACCCCCGTCGCAGGTCGACTGTGTGCTATTTTCACTCCGAGAGTCTATCTCCTCGCCTCCATCGTCGTGCAGGCATGTGGACTCTTCATCACCTCGCAGGCCCGATCCCTCCCGGTCTTCTTGGTCGGCCGAGCCGTGACGGGCATGGGAAGTGCCTCCGTCACACCCGTGGCGTTCATTCTCGTCACCGAACTGACCAGCCAGCGACGAAGAGGTTTGTTGTTCGGCTGTATCAACACCGGTTACACGTCCGGGGTGGCCTGTGGGGCCATCATAGCTGGCGCTCTTGAACCACTGGTGGGATGGCGAGCTGTCTTCGGGCTCCAAATTCCTTTTGCCCTGTCTGCAGGAACCGTGGCATTCTTCGCGATTCCCAAACCGAGAGAAACCCTCCAATCGGATTCTGAACAAGCATCACTAGGCAAGAAGCTTTCTCAAATCGACTACTTCGGTGTCATCACCATCATCATGTCCGTCGTCCTTCTTCTTTACAGCTTGTCGTTACCCGAGATTCAAATCACTCCTATCATCCTATCATTCACATCTCTTGTCCTTTTCGTCCTCGTGGAAGCGAACTGGGCCAATCAACCCATCGTCCCAGTCTCGGTTCTAAAGTCCCGAGGCAATATCCTCACCGGCCTAGCCACGATCGGCGTCATGACCGCTCGTTGGGGTATCTTATTCTACACTCCCACATACGTCCTCACTCTCCGAGGCTGGTCCCAAGCGGGCGCCGGACTGACACTCATCCCGACGAATCTGGGCTTTGGTCTCGGCGGTCTTCTTGCCGGATGGCTCCATATCCGACGGGCGGGCTCGTTCTACATTTCCTGTCTCGTCACCTTCATCCTGTTCTCCTTGTCCATGTTCACCGTCTCGGGGATATCCACGCCCGCCTCGAACATCTATCTGTACATTATCGTCTTATTCCTCAACGGCTTCATCGTCGGCTCGTTGCTCAACTACTCGCTCGCCCACGTCCTACATTTAACACTCCCGTCGTCGCACATCATCGTGATTCCCTTGAACGCCATGTTCCGCAGTCTCTCAGGATCTTTCGGCTCGTCTGTCTCCGGCGGCCTGTTCCTCAGGACCCTGCAACAGACGCTGAAACAGGGATTCCAAGACCGTGGAATCACGGGCAAAGACCAATTGATCAGACAGTTGGTGGGCACGCCGATTCTGGTCCAGAAACTTACAGGCGTGGATAAAGAAGTCGCGATGTTCGGCTATGAGGTGGCATTGAGGACGATTTATTCCGCAGGCGGCTGTTTGGCGATCGTCATGCTGCTGGTCCAAGCCGGTACGGGGTGGACGGCTCCGGAGGTATTCAAAGACGAGGAGGGCGGTGTTGTTGCTGGTCGTCATCTTGAAGAAGAAGCTGTTGGGCAGGATGTTCTTTCCGCGGTTGTTTCGAGAGAGCCAGTTCCGAATTGAGTTGAGCTGAACTGGGAGTGTTTCTTCATACATTCGACGTGGAAAACGGACAAACTCTGTCGATGATACAAAACGATGGGCGGTTGGATGATGAATGGGTCAGAATAGAATTGTTCCCTGGCACAACTACATCTAGAAATATGTGTGCATACTACGGTTTGGAACGTTGTCCACAAGCATTACCCGCTTTCATACCCGTCAATAGCAGCATTCCACGAGACACTCGTATTCGACTGACAATCATGGACTTGTCTGTTAAAGGATATATGTGTGGAACCCCGCACCATCTACATGTATCCTTTACGTTTCGTCCTCCGTGCAACCGTGGAAATCGTCACCAGGACTAATTCATAGTCAGAGGCTCATTTTTTTCCAGTCCTGTTCACAAATGGAGTTTGCTGAAATTCCTGTAATCGACTTCTCGCCTTTCCTCGAAGCCAATCAAGAACAAGTTGCTCGCCAAGTCGACGAGGCGCTGTGTAAACATGGGTTTCTCTACCTGACAAACCATGGAATCTCGAAGGAGAAGATTGAGGAGGCATTTCAATGGGTGAGCTTGATGTGGAATTTCACAATGACCTATGTCCTTCTTCCGATGACATAGCACTACGAGGAATCGGAGAACGACCTCGTGCTTCGTCTTCATTCATTTCAACAAGTGCGAAACTCATCGAACCGATTATAGTCCCGAAAATTCTACACGCTTCCCTTATCTGAACGACTCAAGCTTGTTGCTCCCAATCCCACCACCTCATACGGCTACACAGCATTGAACACGGAGATTGTCCGCGGCCGGCCCTGTATGAAAGAGAGCTTTGAATTCGGAAATCCAGATTTCCTGAACCGGCCGAGTATGTGGCCATCTGAGGAGCTCCTGCCAGGTTTCAAGGAAGGCTTGATGGCTTTCTACGAGGTACGTTGCCACACTTGTCTCATGCCATGCCTGAGAATGAGGCGGAAAGAACGTCAGATTTTGGGTTTTTGGTGGGGGGGGGAAGGGGAAGGAAACAATGGATTCATAACTGAAAACAGGACTGTTCACGCCTCACCCGCCGTTTACTGGACTGCCTATCTCTCGCGCTCCATCTTCCTCCCGACTATGCGCTGATTAACTACCACATTCGCTCCCTTTTCAGCATGGATCTGATCCGTTACCCAGCCGTCCCTGTCCAGGCATTGAGATCAGGGAGCCAAGTCCGATTACCCGCACACTCGGACCCAAACGCCTTGACGATTCTGTTCCAAGAAGACATACCCAAGTCCGGCAACGAAGGAGATGGCATTATAGGGTCCGGGTTAGAAATCGCTGTTGTCGGATCAAGCGAACGCGGGACGAGTGAGAGCTACGAGAAGACGGGGACGTGGAGAGCTGTGGCGCCGAAGCCGGGGACGGTGATTGTCAACGTCGGATACTTGCTGAAGCGGTGGACGAATTCCAGGTGGAAGAGCGCCGTGCATAGAGTCGGTGAGCCAGTAAAGTTGAGTGCTAGTATCGCTGAGAAATCTCAACCGGGGGGTGAGAAACAGGGACAAAAGACCATTGAAGAAGATGAAAAGGATGCGGAAATTGAAGCGGAAATGGCGCCCGAGAGATATAGTATTCCATTCTTCTCAGCGCCGGATCCCGAGACGGTGATCGAGGCTTTGCCGGGAACCTGGGGAGAAGAGAAGCCGAAGAAATGGGGACCCTTGCCTGTTGCTGATTATTGGGCGAAGAAGAGAAGGGATATCAAACTGGATCAGCATCAGGACTAGGGGTCTGCTGGTGGTTAGGAATTGGGAATGGCGAGGTCGGTATTGCAGTCTGATTGACGCTTTGTGTAGCTGGAATTCTCACGCATTCGGCCCCTTGTTCTCTCCGAATGTCTTGGGTTCGTGGCCTCCTTTCCCACTTCCAGTATATCTTGGGACCGTTCTACTCGAGCCTCCACCGCGTACTTTGTTGTCCATCTCATTCAGGCCTTCAGGTAACGGTGCGTTCTTGTTGACTCTTCCAATTTCGGACTGTGTTGTTGGCTGCAGAAAGAGAACGCATAGGTCAGTAGAGGGACAATGAAACCAGGGATCACTGATCGCGGGAGAAATGGTGATGAATCTTTGATCCTCCGTGGACTTTATCTCGTCCTGCTTCAATGGGATTGTCAGATTGAGGAACTCCGTTATCGTATTCTGCTCCCCGAGGCATTTTGAACTTTTGACGAAGATTTGTAAGTGGTTGATTTTATGGGATGGAGGTCGTCTTCCTGTACGTGAGAGATTCCAAGAATGAGGAAAGAAGTAGTATGGTCAAATGGAGAAGTGGTTTTATTGTCGACAAGGATCAGCAGGGTACGTAGATATGGATGGACAAGGTATCCGCAGATTCACGTCAGGATGAGGTCACGTCTGCAAAATAGGGAATGTAATATTGCCCTAGGCATGTCTGAGAAGCTGTGTGAACTTGACGTGGGACGGCCTGGTGGGTTTCGTCTTAACCCAGATTCCTTACCTTTGCCCTCGTTGTATATAATCACAGTTCAACGCAGGTTGCAGGGAAATCTCCCGCCAAATTTGGCGGTTGGTGCCGCCGCTTTTGGAGGCGTTTTTCCCTCGATGTCAAGAACGCTAACCTGGTCTTTCCCCATCCCAGACCGACTTCCCACTCACGTATCATCACCGGGACCAGAAACAGTTAGGGAACTGTCAGCTCCTCGAAAGAATGGGTACCTTCGACCGCACCGCCCCAAACATGGCGCCTCGAGGACGTGGAGAGAGAGTCCCTTGGGGCTCCCTCATAATGCCACGGAGAAAGAAGCCCTGCGTGGCCAACAGTCAATTAACTGACATAATCGCCAGCCTGCCTGATTGACTGACGTCGAGTTGCTTGCCTGATTGACTGGACTGATGAAATTCGCGGCCTGATTAAAAGTTAACTGACATAAAATCCTAGGAGACAAGATTTCCAGCTATCCAGTGCTTCTGGCACTCAGTAGCTTCCAACGCCTCCTCCCCTAGCTGGTTCCGATTATCCGTAACCAGATTTCTTGTCGATGAGAAGGGGAATGTCTCGGGAGAGCGAGTCGGGAGAGCGAGTTTCGAACAACAGCGAGTGGGTCTAGAGCTGTCTAAGCACCAATTGAGCCTAGTTGTGCGAGAGTTGTCCGGTGGATGGCGAGGTACCTGGAAAACCCCCCCGAAACCCTAGTAAAATCGCCCAAATCAAGGTGCCAAAACATCAAAATTGAGGTACTGACACACCTGTGGCATTTGCGGGCTCTCTCACGGCGCCTACCGATTCGCACTCCTGAAAGACCCCGACCGCGTCGATCGCCCTCTCCTGAGGCTTCGCCAATCGAGATTCCGGCATCTACAGCACCTCCAGCACTGGCCGGGATGAGAGGCAAGAGAGTGCGCCCTCACACTACGAGATACAACCAGGAAAAAGAGCAGGGATTCATTCAAGACTCACAAGAGGCTCACAGAGCATCAAGAAGGTTCGGAAGGGGTTCGACGGCGACGTCAAGAGGCGGCAGAGAGCCCACAGAGGCGATAGAAGTGACAACATGGTCAGAAGGTAGAAGGGCGGGCTGCACGAGCGATAGAAAACCTTCAGAGACAACAGAGACGCTCTGATCACGCAACGACGCCAAAAGAAGCACCAAAAGGGCCAATTATGCGAGCGAGGCAAAGTGGATGGAAAGGTACCTGAAAACCCCCCATTTTACTAGGGATTTGAGGTACCGCGCCATCCACCGGACAACGCTCGCACAACTAGGTTCAATTGTGCTTAGACAGCTCCAGACCCACTCGCTGTTGTTCGAAACTCGCTCTCCCGACTCGCTCTCCCGAGGCAATCCCGGACCCCTCGGGCATACCAATAATATCTGAGTCCCGTTCCGAAGTTTCAGCGACTTTTCGTTACGGCGGTATGATTTCCACATGACTGACACAAAATAGGGAACTTTGTCTACTCTACGGTATATATGACGATGCTTGTACAAGATCCCGCGCAAAATGGCGGACGTGCGTCTCAGTCCAGCTTCGGTATAATACCGGCATACATCCTGCCGATATGGAGCTCCTCGACGTCGCCGCTCGTGAAGCAGCAATGGCCCACTCCCGTCTCTCTCTCCGCTCCCGGCACCGCACCCCACTGCACGGGATTTAGGTGGGCGTCGACGTCCCACGTCGGCCGATGACACGCCGCAGCAATCGCGACACTGCAGCTGCCCACAAGTGGGATGCCGCCGTCGTACCTCAGTCGACTCAGGCCGATGACACCGGCGATGGTGGCGGCGCCGACCAAAATCAGAGTCAACATCGCAACCGGTGAGAATCCACAGGTGGCGATCGCCACGGGTGTGGCCAGGTCCCCGAGCGGCGTGTACTCGCTCACGATGGCGAGGAAGATGGACTGCGAGACAAGCCAGTGCAGCAGGCCCGAGAGCACCATGAGCGGGACGCCCATGCGGTAGGGCAGCTGGAGGAAGTGGTTGCTCCGCTGGCGGCCCTGGGGTGTGGAGACGCGCAGCGTCTTGCGCTCGCGGGCGAAGTCGCTCCATTCATCGGCCAGAAACATGCTGGTCAACAGGCCGTTCAGGTTGAGGTAGAGGAACGAGAGGATCGTCTGCGGCAAGTTGGCGATCAGGATGCTGGCGAGAATCTGGGTCGACGGGTCGGCGATTTTCTCGATGTCCCAGCCGTTGATGAGCGTGTTGACGTTGACGGCGCCAAAGCCCATCTTCCATATCGAAATGGAGCGCGTCCTGGAGACGACTCGCTTGCTCGCCCACGCAAGGAGGCCCGCCACGACGACGAGCGCGATCGCAGTCAGCGCGATCGTGAACACCCAGCGCCTCCAGCTGGCCGCTTGGGACCACCTGTAGCGGCGAGCTGTGGCAGGCTGACCCTGTAGTTTTGTGGCACTGGCGTCGGGTGGCCAGAGCCGCAGTCGCCCTGGGAGTGGCCGTCCGTCTGGGCCGACCTTCTCGGTCCCCCTTGTCACGTCTTGACGGGTCAGGAGACAGAGTCCCTCGGTCGTCAGGTCGGGTCGCTGGAGGAAGGACGCGATCGCATCCCCGATGGTGATGAGTGGCGATCCCCGTAGCCGAAATGCGACTATCAACATGAGCAACAGCTTCGCCACGTTGCACGCGATCACGGTGAAGATGATGGGGATGTTGCCATTGAAGCTACACGACTCATCCACCGTCTCGCTCATGCAGTACTGCACCTGGTAGCCCCACGGCTCCCATTCATCCGAGGCCGCTTCAATTTCAGATATGTAAGCGTCGCAAGCCGTCGGATTGTTTGGGGGGTTATGGGACTGGTAGATGGTCCCAACCGCTCGGCAGATCCTGTCCGTGTCAGTTTTGATTTGGGAAGGGTAGAAGTCGACCGACCAGTTGTAGGGCGTATATCTCCCATCTCCAAGTTCCCTGCTTGTTTCATATTTTTCCAAGTAGAGCAATGAATTATTGGCCTGGTCAGCGTTTGACACTAGGACGAGGTTCCTTCGACTAGACAGAAATACTTGAGCATAGTCTCTAATGCATTGTTTGACTTCCAGGCGTTCGAATCGGGCAGTTCCAATTTCGCTTTGGATAGCCGCAGGATCCACGTCGATAGTGGCATCATAATCCCAAATTGTGTGTGATGCGTCGATTGCCGCCGCGAGATCAAAGGCCCCTCCAGTAACAAAATCTGGCGTCACAATGAGAATGTTGTAATCGTTATTTGAGAGAGATGAGTAGAATGCCGAATTGTACCTACATCTCGGTCAGGGAGGGTCACATTTCGAATTTGTCAGGCATACCCACATCAGATGTAACGGAATGGAAGTCAATCCCAAGATCCACCACAAGGCGTTCTTTTGAAGGCCAATAACACCCAGATTGCGCATACTGGGAACTCCGATATCCAGATATTTCCCTTGAGAGTGAGCTTTGTCGATCTCCTTCCGCGTAGGGGCCGATACACATTGCATGCAATAGTTCGACCCGCCAAGCAGTAGCGTGCTGAGGATGTTGATGGCCAAGTGAACCCAGATACTCAGTTGCTTGGCTGTGTTGCAGTTACCTCTGTAGACCTCGGTGAGTCCTCCAGCATTCTTGCCCTGAGTACAAAGCCAGATTCCAACACCGAGATTGATGCAGAGTGATATCGATGCCAATCCTGCAGCGGATGTCGCGCCGCCTCGCCATCCCGAAAACATGGTCGCAGTAGAGGCGGGGCGTATGGGCATTTTCTCGGTTGATGTCCACCCTTTGGGAAGATCTGATGTTATTGTTGGAACGGCGCCGTAGTTGAAACTTGCACTAGTGACCGTATTAAAGGGCCCGAGTTCAACAGCTTCGTGCTGTGCATCTGGGTCGTCATCGTCCATCTTCTGATAAGAAAACCGAGCGTGAGCAGGAGCCATGGTGTCGATCTCGGCTACTGTGTAGCAGCGACGCTTCTCAAGGGTGTGGCACTTCGATGAAGAAGATCATGTCAGTCACTGCGCACTTTGAAGGTTACCAGTCCGCTGCACAGGATGCCATTGTTTGCCAATGTATCTGGGTCTATGGTTACTGTAACTTGCCGGCACCGGTAGGACAAAATCTATCAAACACTGGAGGATGGGTTGAGGTAATGGGAATTGTGAGACTTCACTCGCATGTGCGAAAAGAGTGAGCCCCCAAACCTACAATGGGGCTGTGACACTTTAATCCTGGAAACTAAAAGTCCTGGGTGGCGCAGAGAGTTGACGTTCGCGCAATCTTGTGGCCAGGCTTATTGACCCCTGTTCTCCTGAAGGCAGGGGCGGGATACTTGAGCATCGCAAAAGGTCGCTGATCTTCGAAAGCCTTGGCAGCCTGGTGGTATGGTAAGATTGGTAAAATACTGAATGGGCTCAGCCTGGCTTTGAATTGGAATCGCCTGGTTAGGGCTTGACGTTGTGTGTCGACGCCAAGAGCGACGTGCTGGCCAATCACGTAAGCCTACGGCTTTGCAGTGTCACGTGGGCAACTGGGCACGTCGGCGCTCCCCTTGCCGCATCGTCATCGGATCCAATCCGTGGACCATGTGGCCGGGGGGAGACCCTACTCGATATATGCCCATGGATTGGATCCGATGAAACCCGTGGGCAACCTACCCTCAACGGATTAAACATTTTCCGGGCCACCCCCCATCGGATCCAGTCTGTGGACCAAGTCCCCCGGGGAGGGGGGGAACCTATTCGATAACGACATGATCCACGGATTGGATCCGACGGCTCGTGGTATTTCATCGGATCCAATCTATGGACCACCTAGATGAGCTCTTACTGATCGCGCTCGAGATGGTTCGTAGCCGAGCGTGAATGGACGAGCCTTCGACGTCGAGATAATCCCATAGTGATTTACTATGTCCATAGCAACGAGAGGAACTCGATTAGGAATAGTGCCTTAGCTGAGCAATTTAATTGCATATATTCTATTACTATCCAGAAGAGGGATAGCGGGTTTTGTATGTTGACGTCCAGTAAAGACCTTGAGAAAAGACACTACCGGCGAAAGCAAAGAAGAAGATTAAATTCCAGATATAGCAGGAGCGGAAGGTCAGCACATGATTTGCATCTCCTGTACATGTACAGTAGATGCCAAATGTGCATGCTAAGATGGCGCCCGACGCACCTGTTCCAATAACGCCATCACGGCTGCTTGCTACCGCATCGTCCGCACCAGCTCCCACTCGACAATCGAGCCGACTAAGGGCATCAGCAAAGAAGTCACCATCAGCGAATACCCGAATACCATTCCCCTTCTAACATACTCCGAAATATCCTTTAATGACATAATCATCCCGCCCCCCCGAGGGGCCAGGGGGATTTCACAGATCCACCTAATCCGAATCTGTGAAACCGCGAAGGAGTGAGCCGGATAGACGTACGATGGGTACACTGGTGGCTGGTCGATGCCAGAGGGAGCTCTCAGCACTGTTGGACCTATCGTTCAGGAGAAATCCACGAAAGCCATCAAGGGCGGTGACCTTTCTAGCCTGTCCATCACCAAGCCGAGTGAGAGGGATAATGTAGAGTACCCAGCCTGGACAAAGAATAGGATTGATCTGCCTAATGAGACTTTTTCCTGCACTCGTTGGCGTATACAATATTGTGTCCTGCTTGCCGTGAATCAATGAATATAGGGCCTTGACCTGGTAAGGCCGAGGACTAAATTGGTAAACATGACGATCAGTGTCAATAATTTGGGTAGATATACTATCAGGAGGAGCCTCTTCCGAAAGGAAGTTCGCTGGCGTGTTGGATGCGTCATCTGAAAACGATGCGGTTAACGAAAAACTCGACATGCACGAATCAATTGAAGTCGCCATGGTTTGAAACTTGGTATAGTAATTTCTATAGCAATTCTTTATCGATTAGTACAATCTGTGACAGTGCCAGCAAATTTTTTGGGTGATTGGGAGCTATTTGAAGATCATCGGGTCGTCAAGAGAAGGTGTTTTTCCGCGTTATCTTAAAAACCACGCCATCAATTCAAATTCGGAAAAGTGCATAACGAGGCCCTCAATTCAAAGAAAATTTCATATATACATCACCGTCTATGAAAACGTTGTGTTGTGGAGAAAATGTAGCGAACGTTACGAAAATTGGTGTATCAGGGCTCAGACCCTTCTTGCGAAGGCTTTTTCCTCCGGAAAAAGTTAAGCGCCCGCAGCCGCAGGGTCTGAGTTTAGGCAACTCGCTGCCAAGAATCTCTCACTCCAGAGGTTCCCGATAAGTCGCGGCGCTTTCCGTGTAAGTACTTGTGATCATGTGACTCGCCAAACTTACCTCATACGGTCCAGTAACTCACGTCACCGGAGTCTTTGTTGAACACACACGTTGAAATAGCAACGCTGGCTTGGCGTGTCGCGTTCGCCATGTCACTCCTGCCGTGTCACTTCGAGACAACTCGCACCCACAAACTTTTCTACTCCTGAGAGAGATGAGCCGAACCAATCAATCAATCATTTAACGGATTGAACAGTCCATCAGCATCAATACCTTGCCCTCACGTACTCTTCTCGTCATACTCGTCTTCATCTTCTCTTGTCACCCGATTCATCACCGTCTCCGCTCCCTACCTCTCTTCTCATTACGTCCCCGGCCATTCTAGGTAGCGTCACAATGAGCACTTCTTCAGAACCGAACGCGGGACACACCGGGTCAGGCCCTCAAGTCGTCCAGGCAAAACCCGTCACAACGAAAGAAGAGCCAAAAGATATAAGTATAGTCGGGCTGCTTCGCTGGCTGGAGAAAACCTTTCCGAAAGAGTACGAAGAGAAGATACAATATATGACTTCGGACGAAATATATCAGTGGTTAGAGGAAAATCACCCGGAAGAGTTCAAAAAGATGTTGCCGAGTCGAGTCAAGAAGGGGACAACCAATACCGCCTTCCACGTACGTTCCCCCTCTCAGACAAGTGCTGTCCTTCATGCTCTGCAAAAAGACTGGAACAACGCCTATTTTCCGCACTCCTTAGTTGCGCTACAGGACCTCATTCGGCGATACCAGCTACTCGATGTGAGCAAGTATTTCTCAAATACCTTGGTATTCGTTCAGAGCAGTGGTATGGGTAAATCAAGATTAGCAGATGCTTTCGGCCAACGCTGTCCGATGATCAACTTCATTCTTCGCGAGTCTGGGACTTCCGGCTTTCCACCTCCTGATGAAGAGATACTATTATTCCTGCGCGACCCGCCGCCCACCAACATCCCCGAGCCTATCAATCGACAAGAGAGATCTACTAATTTTCTGAAGAGGAGAGCAGTCGTAGCGTGGAATCATACTCTCGCTACTGCATTGCTCCAAGCTAGTTTCGAGACATGTAAGTTGCCGATACTCTTTTACCGAAATCCTCCTTAATTTAACCTTATTAGTCTATACTTGGGTGGAGAGTCAGCCCTTTACCACGATGACTCTAGAAGAGCTTGCGGGTAGCAGGCATACAGAGATGGCAACACTTGAACCAGCTACCGATGCTCAGGACGCTAAGAGCCAACGGTCCAAGATGCGCATCGAGTTCTGCGATTCGGTAGCGAAGAGAGCTCGAGCGATTGCTCAAGAATTAATTTCCAGCCCAAATTGGATGGAGAAGTTCGACGATGACGGACTGTCTAAGGTTCACCATCATCTCGAAGAGGCGGACAGTGAAGCTCACCCTAATCCCTTAAACGGCCTTCTCAATGCTATCACAAACCTGATGAAAATTCTTCAACAATGTCGAGACACCAGCGACACGGGCCCACTCTTGGTGATCGTGTTCGACGAGGCGTCAAGCTTAATGAGAATGCGGCCGTCTGACCAACCCAACATCGGACTCTATGTAGCGCTCAATCGAGTCATCAGTTGTCTGAAGAAGTTTCGTGCGTGGTCTTTCTTCCTCTCAACAGAATCTCTCGTCGGATACCTTGTACCGCCGAGCAATATCATTCGAACTGGCGATTATCTTCTGGACCCCTCCGCTCGTATCAGCTTTAAAGAGACCAAAACCGAACTAATGCGATTTCCCCCATTTGTGAGTCTTCAGCTCGACGTCGAGGACCGACGAAAGATGCAGAATCCAACACTAAGGAAAAAGGAGCTCCGCAAGTCGTTAAAGGAATTTGCAAATCTAGATCACATGGCCCAATTCGGCAGGCCTCTCTGGTATGTATATGCAAATGAGGGCCAGGGGATGATCGAATTGGCCAAATTGAAGCTCATTGGCGGCCAGCAACAGGGGTATTATAACTCTGACGACCCGAACCACGTATTTGCTGCGCTGTCCTTCCGTCTCTCTTTGGATGTCTGCTTGCAGAACCCTGTCACCATCTCTCTCACAAGGACTGCGGTGAATTCTTTCATGAGGGTGGTCATATCCATGGATCGCGAGACCGGAGTGATGGACACAATGACGCCATCAGAGCCAGTCTTAGTTAGAGCGGCTATGGAACATCTCTGCAGCAACGTCAACTGGCCGGGTAGTATTCAAACACTCTGCAAGGAGCTTCTTGAGAAAGGATTGATAGAAAAAGGGCGCAAAGGGGAACTCTATGCTCGGTTAATGTTAATTCTGGCACACGACTGGGTTCGATGGGCTCGACAAGGTCATACGCCAAAATTTGCACCAACCTTCACGGTTTCCGACTTTCTCCTGGCATTGTATGCTAAGGATCATCACGATTTAATTGAAAAGATGCCTAAGCGGATACTCGAAGCCAGGATGAACTTTACTCATTTTCTACCAACCGATTCAGCACTTACCCCCGAGGTCATCCCCGGATTATGTCGCGACCTGTTACGCCGAAGCGCTGCGATGCAGCTATCTTGGTGCCAGGAAACATACGATCTGCTCATTCCCGTGTACTATGGCACGGAGGATGAGGAGTTCGATCCATCGAATTGTGGAGTCATCGTAGTACAGGTGAAGAACAAGAAGAATGCTACAACAGTGAGAGAGATCTTTCGAGAGGACTTTGTTAATGTTGACCAGAAGTCGAATTCGGGCAAATCGAAGGCAGAAAGTTCTAATCGCGAAAGGAAAGATTCTGGACACGACGAGAAATATTCTGAGAGCGACGAGAAAGGTTCTAAGCGCGAGCCGACGAAATTTGTATTCAACCAGATGAAGTACCCTATCCTGTGCCTCCTCTTCGATCTAGGGGTAGTCAGAAGCGGTAGGGCTTACGCTCCACTTGTCCAAGTGATGCAGAGCGAAAGTGGACAGCAACCTGATTTGTGGGCGATTCATTCGCGAGGACACGACCACACCATCTTTGGCTGCTTAGAGCATATGAAGGCTACAGATTCGAGCGACCGGTTCTTTGCTTCGGTACAAACGAACGAAACTCTGGCTGACCAACTCTCTCGGAGAAATAGAATGTTCTCTCAGCTTGAGGAAGACTACAGATATGAAGGATTTGAGCAAGAAGGGGAAACGAGTGCGGAAGGGAGTGAGGCCAGTGTGCAGGAAGGGGAAGCAAGCAATACCCGATCGAAAGGAAAGGATGTGGACTGGCCCAGTCTCGCGTTTCGGAAACGCCCGGAAGAAGACTGATTGTGTCACGACTTCGATTAAGTTGCGCTAAAGGTTTGAATGGGCTATTGCCTCTGGCTTGATAGAAAGGGTCGGTGATTGGAGCAGAGTGCGAGTATTTGTACCTTCAGCAGGATCGTAACGCTTTTTAAGCATTGTTAGTTATATTCAAAAATGCAAAAACTGGCAGGTTTGCCGCGTAAATCGCACATACACCAAAAAGGTCGGTGAGGACTGGAAAGAGGTTCTTCTCAGCAACCGACGCGTTCTGTAGCCTGTGGACAGTCGGAATCGATTCCTTGTGGTCGACTTGAGCTTGTAGAGTCCTCATTTACTCTGTATACGATGCCTTCTGGCGGCAGTCATCTTCGCTACTCCTGCCGCCCCGTCATCGGATCCAATCCGTGGATCATGTGGCGAGGGGGGCACACTCGATAGGTATCGATATCCTCGATATCGAGATGATCCATGGATCGGATCTGATGAAAGACTACCGTCATCGGATCTAATCCGTGGACTATGTGGCCCGGGGGCCCTGCTCGACAGAAGTCGATATCGATATGGGCCATGGATCGGATCCAGTCTGTGGACCACTCAAGCTTTACTAATCACACTCGAGATTGTTCGTAACAGGGCGTGAACAGACGAGCCTCGACGTCGAGATGACTCGTATGGAGCGTTAACGGATGGTAATTGGTCATTTCACTTAATTACCGAAATTTTATATAGGTCATTTAATTAATTGTATTGCGGTATCGTTGACCCAGACCCTTCTGCGAAGGTCCACCCGTAGGGGCGATTAGTGCCTTGGCACACCAAGCAGAGGGTCGTGGGTGCCGAGACAAGTACTACGAACCTCAACAGCGCCCGGGATCAACAACGTAACGACGAGTTGGGCACTGCAGTAGCTAGTCCCCTATGGGCTCAGCCCGCACAGGGTGTATGAATATCGTATCGTATCGTATCCCCTAGTTGCCTTGAGAAAATATGGAGTCACGGCTGTCATGTGATTTCACCAGGCAGCTCTAAGTAGTTGGGGCTCCGATACCCCTTGGCCCGCAAGCATGGGCAAAGTAATCCAGTCGCCGAGTCCAGAATTTGCGACCGCAACAATACATACGTGGTGCAACCAGAAGCTGTCCAATTCTGCAGGAGTTTGTTCCGCATTAATCAGCCCGAAATGTCGACAGTGAAATACATGACGGTATGTGCGATCCTTTATGAATTGAGACGACTGCAAGGTTGTCTGCAGGATGAAAGAAAATCGGCAGGAGGGGCGGGAAGCGTGGCTGCGAACTTCAACGTTAGTGTGCCAGGGCGCAGGGCATAACCAGGAGGACGCCCAACCATGCAACAAATCTCAGGAGGCCCCCCTTGGAAGCCGTTCCTAGAATTCTTTGTCCCCCTATTTGCCAGCTTAGCACTCAACAAACTTCCACGAGCCTTAATCTTTCGGGCTTATAGGAATGTTACACCATCTTTCCCAGTTGATTCCCTTGCGCGATTCTCCATGTCCGACCTCTTCAAGTCAGAAATAATCAAAAAGTATGCCATTGGAAGAGGGCTCGCAGCATTCCGCGAGGAGATCAGCTCAATATGCGTTGATGAACGTTCATGAATCGCCTGATGCTGTGCAACACCTAAGCGATGAAGGTGAGATACTCAATTGCCAGGACACACATCTAAATGTGCGCAGCATTCAAAAATCTCGGGCTCAGGCTCCTTATCGCCCTGCAAAATTGCTCTCAGGGCCCTGGAGTTAGCTGAACCTGCACGTTGTGTAGCCGGTGAAGCTGAATGTGCCATGGGGGAATTGGAGACTTGGAGGGGGCCGAAACGGGCTGCGTCGAGGGTGCGGAGGCCGTAAGGACCGAGAATTGGGAGGGTGATCGGGATGCGCTAGGAGGGGCGAGGCAGATTTCGAAGGAGGCGGTGGAGAATCCAAGGGAGGCCGGTGCGGCAGAGAGGATTCAGGCGATGCCGTGTGACGCGCGACGAATGCATCAGCGCGACGGAGGTGAGAAAGAAAACAGGTTGAAGGGAAGAGAGGATTGGGATAGGAAGAGGGTTCTTGTAGACGGCGACGCGCCCAGCCTGCGACCATACCCGAAATGGTAGGGCCGCCCCAACCGAAGGCGGATATCCCGACAACGGCTTTCGGGTGATGCGAAACGAGCCGAGATCGGAATAGCGTGCAAGTCAGCTCATCACGTGGGGAAAAACATCCCGGGACCGGATCAACAGTAAGTCCGACCGGCTGTGGTAGGGGATGTCTGCGGAAATCTGGTGGGAAACAATTTTGTAGAGACCGAATTCTCCAAGTTGACGTTCCAATGGCACAACAAATTTAGCCTGAATCCATTGAGGCCGAAGTATTAACTGTATGCATTGATCTGGAACACTTCCAGCTTCTTCTCTTTTGCACTACCTGACACATGTCGTGAAATCTGCCAACAATGAAACCTCACCCTGTCACCGTTTCTGATGGGTGCCAGCGGAAACTCCGTCCAACTTGACCAGCATCGGACGAACCTCATTCTCTCAGCTCGCCCACGAGAAAAGAGTTATCAATATTCGCTAGTCCTATCTTTCAGGCATCCGACTATCTATATCCGATTTTGAGCCAAAAAAATGGAAATGTCTTCTCGTCTACCGACTGTCACGGCGCAGGCTGCCGCCATTTCAGCACTCTCCAACGCTCTCGCCCAGGGACTGACTGCCTATCGAGAACAAGCCCTTTCTTCTATCGATCCCGTTGCCTTCTTCCATTTCATTATTCTCGCCGTCATAACCACTCCCCCCAATTACCAATGGCAATTGGTGTTGGAAGAGACCTTCCCGAGTAATGCCAAGAAAGATACTCAGGCTGTCAAGAAGAAGGACGACGATGTGGCGGTCAATGACAAGGATGATGAGAAGGAGACTTTGTCTCTTGCGAACACGATCGCAAAACTCTTGCTCGATCAAAGCATTGGCGCATCGCTGAATACCATCTTCTTCATCGTCATGATCAATCTTTTGAGGGGTGCTACTTGGAGTCAGGCTTTGACAGCTGTGCAAAGAGTGAGCTGGAGATATCACTTCTTCAGGTCCACTATGAAAATGTTGACCCCTTTCTAGGATTTCTTTCCCATGCTCATCGCTGGATATAAGTTTTGGCCATTCGTCACATTGCTCAATCTCGTCATCGTTCCATTCGAATACCGAATGCTCGTTGGGAGCTTGGCTGGCTTAATTTGGGGTGTCATTGTTAGTTTGATGGAGTTTTGATCAGGAGGGAAGACTTGGGAAAGATTTGCAACAATAAGAAAGAATCTCTGAGGAAGTGTCTATCATGCCCGAAACGGCAATGGATCACCCTTACGATGATGTGATGTAGGGAACTCAGACACCCAGAAGTCCTATTGAGCAAAAGGACAGGGTGTGGGAAGCAATATTGCCGCGTTTCTTTCTAACTGGTGAACCGTGGTTATCCAACTCTTTCGGCCAGTAGATGATTTGAGTAGGCACTGCGTGGGCCAGTATATAACCACTTACGTGATGGATGGATTGGCCCTTTTCAACTCTCTCCTCTTGGACCAGCGGATCGCCCTCACGGTTTGGCGACCTCGTGCTATTTACTGCTGAACATGCGCCCCCCGCAAGGCTGGAGACTGAACGACCTGAAATATCCTTTGGGAGATATGTCGTCACACCGACATTCCATATGGCCCACAACTTCTCGACTCAACCTTGGCCTTACAGCTTACTCGCCTTCCAAACTGGCTTCCTCTTCTCTCTGAATGCCGCAAGTCCTTCTTTCGAGTTTTCTCCCTCCATTAGCCCACGCTTGAAGCGTTCATCAATAATCTGATACCCGCGCTCCACACTAGCATTTTCCCAGGTCTCGCGCAATGCGGCGCGCGTGACGACAATGGCGTCCGGACTGATATTGGCGACTTTCTCGGCCAGAGCGACGGCCTCGGGCACGCACGATTCAGCACTCGCGCTAACTTTGTTGATCAAGTTCATGCGCAGGGCCTCTTCCGCTGAGAGCGTGCGGCCGGTCATGCTGATTTCAGAGGCTAAGGGGAGCCCAACGTTGCGGACGAGTCGGGGGAGACCGCCGGCGCCGGCGTAGATGCCCCGGAGGGATTCAGGGAGGCCGAATGTGGCGGTCGGCGAGGCGACGGTCATGTCACTGGAAGAGACATCAATCATCATTGCGGCGACAAAAGAAATCCGGAGAAGCGTCCAAGAACATTCAACACCCTCTGACTACAGCAGAGGGCCGTCTCCGAGGAGAAAGGCGATGAACTAGACTCACCAATTCAAAACAATCTCAAACCCACCACCGAGCGCAAACCCATTAACAGCGGCAATGACCGGTTTCTTGCCCAATCGTCGACTCAAGCCCGCAAACCCGCTGGGCGGATGCATACCCAGGTACGGCTTCTCCTCTAAGACTTTGGGGTCTCGTTTGCCCAGCTCGATGAGATCCTGCCCGGCGCAGAAGGCCTTGGGCCCCGCGCCAGTGATGATGGCCACGCGCAGTGTGGGTTCGCGGTCGAACCAATCGAAGACCCGATGCAGGTGCCAGTGGACGGGGAAGGGGATCGAGTTCATTTGTTTGATTCGATTGATGGTCACCAGGAGGACATGGGGAGCTGGGTAGGAGAGAATCACAGAAGGGTCCGAGGGTGGTGGTGGGAAGGTTGTCGACGCCATGTGTAATGTTGGAGCACTGTCGTAGGCGGCCGTGAAAATGGTGGTCGTGGCAGAATGCTGTCTCCAAGGTATGAGAGATGTGGTGGTCTTGCACAGCCGAGGTCGAAGATATCACTCTCCTGTATATTCTGGTCCTTGTATTTATGTCGCAGGGTCAATGGTCAGGAAGAATTCGCGACGGTTTCACCGATCAAGATCAATTGAAACTGTATATCGAAAGAATCGAAGTTTGAAGATCGAAAAAGGAAGAAACATCGTTTGCATTGGAGAGGTGGAGAAATATACATAGTATGGCGGGCCTCGGTTCGTCGATTCGTTTACCACTTGCTTTATGGAGCTATGGACCACGCTTGGGCCGATGTTCGCCGAGGCTGAGCCTGATCACACTCATGTTCTTCTGCCGCGTTGAAGATGACCCGGAACGCCGGGGCGTATATGATGTGGACAGACCAACTGGTGGTGCCGATACAAATTGAGTCGCCTCTGCTTTGTCGGGCTTCAGTCCTGATTAGAGTGAGTGTCTTGACGTATATAGGTTTTGCTGCATCGAGCACAAGAGCCTTGTATACCTCGTTTCCCTCCATGCGAGCAACAGGTGCTCGTCCGCGGCATCGAAAGTGACCACAGTTCTGGTTTAATCAGCGGCATGCGATTGATGGTAGGTTCTTTTACAAAAATGAAGAGAATTTAATAACCCCGTCTGCATGCTCCCATATCACTATGGCGCAGTGCTAACCTACACCGAGCTTCTATCTGGACCAGTGGAATCAAGCAGGCCAGACGGGGATGATAACCCATATGTGTTCCCGTTCGGGCGGGACTTCGAGAGACTACGAGTTCTCGTTTGCCCTGGCTGGACGATACCGACCCTCACTGGGCGGCCGTACTGATACTGTTCTCTGACCAATTCATCGGGGCGATTTGTAGGCAGCCATATGGCGACAGCTGGTCAAAATGGAGACCATGAACGAGATCGCTCTGATGATCGTCAGCCCGAGGACACTAAGACAGATCTTTCGGTCCTCGATGAGGTGCTACATACGGGCTTTCCAGAGCTCGCTCCCAAGACACAGGACCCGCTGGGTGGCAGAGGTTACGCTGCCGCTGTCGGTGGGAGCTGCGTCGTGCGAGCGATTACGCTTCGGCCAACCCTGGTTGGGCCAGGTGATCCACCCTCTCCCGCACGTCACGATGAGCTCTGACAGCAAGAATATATTGTTAAGCGCATATCTACTCGTATCCAAAAGGGATGCTCTCCATCGCCCCGCTTCTTTGGATGCATTTCGCAGCAGCTTGATTCGCTTTGCTGACTGCAGTCCTGACATCGAATCCATCCAGCGCCTGCTTCGCAGCTAAGTGCCGCGCCAGTGCTGTCGAAAAATATCCGACAAATGTGTCCCCTGCCGCTGTGGTGTCGACGACGTTCTGTATTTTGACTGCGGGAATAAAGTCTTGGCTTGGAGTGCCTGGTCTGATGTCGGCCGAGTAATAAACGCCACGAGAACCGAGTGTCACGGCCACGACGGAGATACCGGCCCGGTCGTGAAGGTGTTTGGTGAGTCGGGCGAGATGAGACTCTGTCATGTCTGCCTCACTGCTGGGCACTTCGATGCACTTGAACTCCTCGATAGCCCGGAACAATAGTAGACATTCGGTCTCGTTGACGACCAGCGCTGCCAATCCCTTGAGTGCTTCAATCGGTATGCCTTCGGGGAAAACCGGTGCAGGATTGAAAATGACACATGTCTTGTATTCGGTGGAGTTGAAAGCGCCGAGTAGTCCCAGCACAGTCGGGCGAGGGATCTCGCCCTGCATGACGACGACGTCGGGGACACTGTCTCGAGTTGCCGATGCGATGACTTTCGTGACATCTGTGACTCGAGCATTGGCTCCTGGGACAAACAGGATGCGATTTTGCCCATCTGAGCCTGAATCCACAATGATCGTAGCAGTCCCGGTCTGGATTCCTTTGATTTCTTCAACGTAAGTGGTGGACACGCCGCTTTTTTCCAGCGTGGGCTTGAGAAGAGAGGCGTAGTATGGATCTCCGGCACCGACGGCACCGATCATGTCGACTATAACGTCTTGTTCGGCCTGTGAAGTGAAAGCCGCCTTCCCACACGCGACAGCTTGGTTGGCGCCCTTGCCTCCCGCATGAACAGTCATTGAAGTGGCCGTTAATGTTTCTCCGGGTCCTGGGACTCGGGGAGTACGGGTCACAAAGTCAATGTTTAGAGAGCCGATTACTCTGATGACTGGTTTCGACACCATGGCAGGTAAGATCCTGGAGGAGTTATATATTAAGAAGATTGTGAGTCTCGGTCTCGGCCAGTCCGATGTGGTAGATTCGTCCTGAATGATTTGAGAAACGAGCGTTCTGTGAGAACGGACCAGGCGTGGAGAAAGTGGTTGAATGTTATTTGATCCAAATTGGAATAGAGAACGTGTCTTCCAGATTTCCTACTTGGGGGAAAGGAGAGTTGAAGGAAAATGAAAGTTTGCTCCAGGCGAGGCTTCTCCGATGTGACTGTGCCAGATGGTCCAAACACAAGACGGTTATTGTGAGACCGCTTTCAAGCTGTTTGAGAGGGAGAACTGATTCTGCGAATTTGTTAATGGCGTCGATGAGAGATAAAATGTGAGCAAAGACAGAATACTTTCGCAGTTTGAGGTTGGGAGACAGAAATCCCCCTCCAATCGGGACTTGTTACTCCGAAAGCATTTTTGATTGGCGGAATACGCTTACACTGCGATTGTGGGCTAAGAGAACTTGGCGAGCAGTTGTAGCTGAAGATGCTTCATAACGGACAGAGTAGTGGGGGTGTAGACATCGCATTGACAGATGTGAATGTTGATGCCTTTGGATCGCTCAGTCAGAGTCATGCTGAGGCGTGGAATGATTAGTCCAGGTTAAAGTGGATACTTACCTTGGATGCACCGAGATGATAAGTTCAGCGCCGGAGTTATCGTTCTGTGTCGAACTGAAGCTGCAAGCAACCGACTCACAGTATGGCAGTGCAAGGAGAGGGGGTGGCAGCTTTGCCAGTGCTTTTGTATACCTGACTCTTCATATGCAGGAAATGTATCAGACTGAGTCCACGTGGCTGGAGATGGAAGCTGGATTAGCTCGACATGGCACAAAAGCGCAGATGGAAGTCAAATGTGAATGACAACGTGGAACGACAGAGGCTGACGGACTTTAATTCGATGGCGGGAAACATGAGTTACCACTTCAGCCTGTTACACAGACATCCATGTCGAAAAGAGATGACTGGATGGTGCGTGGCTGGAATAGGTGGCAGCTGCTCATCGACGATGAACGGTTTACCGACTGGTCCGATCTTGAAACCTGTCATCCTTTGCTGTACGTGCATGGTGCACAGGCAGTCACTTCCTCAAGGGCTTCTTCGGGCGAGGCTGTTGCGCATCACTTCCCCTTTTAGGCCATGTTGACGCATCAAACGTAAAATGTTTATTATTGCCATCTTCCTTTAAATGCCATGCATGAACCACAATCCTAGCAGGGGAGAAGGTCTCGGAGGAGCTGTGGGACGGGATTGAAATGCCGACCTAGTCGCCATCAAGAAATCGAACTTGTTCTTGAGGTACGTGTTGAGGAGGTAAGAGGGGATCTTTTGAGATCGACCAACCGCACCAATGGTCGAAACTCAAATTTCTGAAAATTCAGGCCAGATATTTGCATTCACGGCTTGTTTCAAAGTGAGATGTGAGTATTACCAAGTCCATAATCGAACGTTCCATATCTGAGACAGAAGATGATTTTTGATATCGCTCGCCAGAGTGGAAGTTGACTGGTGATTTGGTGCTCTAGAGGGTGGAGTCGGAAAGATGCAAGACATGGCTTGCATGCCGACCTACCGAACATACCATTCCTTCTTGAGGTAGCGTTTACCCATTATTTTAGAACTTCCTTAGATTTAATCTCCGATGTGGCGAGGCGGACGTTTCGTGTCAAGATGGCCACGTTGACTAAGGACTCGTGGACTTTCCTGAGGAATCGTGTGAGGATGGAAACCCAACGTGTTTTTCTCTGCGACCGACAGAACTCTAGGAAACGGTATGGAGTCTTGAGAGATTTTTGAAATTGTACCCCTTCTCCTCCTCTTTTCGGAGCCCGGCCAATGCCCCTAGTTCCAAGAAGGTCAAATATGACTTGATAAGATGATGCACGGTAAAGGAAATGACGGCCGAAACGGAGAGGAAGGTGTTGAACGTGGGTAAGCATTAGGTGGACCACTGAATACCACAATTCACCTGCCACAAGGCTGACGCGATCGGTGGTGTGCTTTTTTTGGGGGGGGGGGGGGTTAAGGGAAGACCCTGGAACCCAGAAAACCATGCGTTGAGATGGCAAGGGGAGGAAGGATGAGAGGTGACATGTCGCGAGAACATGAAACAAGCCAGCGAGCGGGGGATGATTTTCAGAATTCGCGATGAGTGAAATCCAGCTTCTTGGAGCCAATCGCTGGGCGTTGAACACTTACGACAGGCTGATTAGACTGGAACACGAGCAGGAGAACAAGTGAAATTCACACCCGCAGTGCAGTGCTTCTCATCCCAACCAACAAGTGATCGAGCTGGCATCTTGTCGATGTCGTAATACTCTTCCATGATGTGTACTGTACATCAGCTGGCAACTTCGTTCCCGGGACCAGCCTGTACAAGGTGAAATTCTAAAATCACCCTCAAAAAGGGCGGAATACCCCCTTTCGGCTCGCTCTCTTTTAGTATCTTTCTTTTTCAGTCTTCTTTTCAGTGCCAGCCCCCTAGTACCTCAGCGTTTCAGTCCAGATTACCTCGTCGGATCGTCATCGGCCACAAACTTCCAATCTCTAATCTCCCGGTGTCACTTGCAGTACTCCCCGCAATCACCAGCCTCGGTTTGGTTAAGCTCCAGGTTCCAAGCACCCACCAAGAAAACCTAGGGCTGTGAGCAATTAGCTTTCCTGATCCTGACCCGGGCCTGGTCCTGCAATTGGTCCTTGTTCCCTTCCACTAGTTGTTCTTCTGGCCAACCACTTGCTGTTCTTGGTGTCCAACCCGCTCGATCCTAGCCCAAGACAAAGAAGCGCCGCACAAAACGACATCTCTTCCTCCTCTACCATCCATTTACTCTTTGCGCCTTCACTCTCTTTCTTCGTTATCTCCAGTCCTTCCTTTGGCGGTCTGCCATCTTACATTCGTTTTTCCCTTGCGCACTCTTCACTCCTTCGAGCTGCACAAGACAAGTCACTCTTTTACCAAAAAGGACTCTCTCCCGAGTCTTTTCCTCAGCACAGTCCGTGACTGTGCCGTTTGGACCGCGGTCCGTGCCCTGCCAAACGACAACAGACAGCTCTTTGACCACAACTCGGCTTGAAGCCCTTCCAGAATCCTGCCTCACCTGGTGTGAAAGAACTCAGGTCAACAACAGGACACTGCTCGCCCAGCCAACCGACACCAACCGGCGAAATTGTGCAACGCCCGGTGCTTTGCTTACCTGCCACAATCCGTTATCAAATAGCTCTCGAAGGGAACGTTGGTTCCAAATCCTCTATCGATCAATCAATAAATCCAGTCAATAACGCCATCCGTCACAATGAAGTCAACAACCTTCACGATCGCAGCATTTGGCGCCGCTTGGGCCGCTGCCACTCCTCTGGACAAACGTGCGTTGGTCACCACTATTGAGTACGTTATCGAGACCGTGACCGTTACCGGGTATCCCCCTGCCGAGACACCTGCTACCAATGCCGTCGACCCTGCTCCCCCTGCTGAAACCACCTCTGTCGAGTCGGATGCCCGAGGCGGATGGTGGGGTGACTGGAGAAGTGGAGGTGCCGGTGATTCTGCTGCTCCTCCCACTCAAGCACCAGCTTCCGATATACCTGATCCTTCGAGCTATGCCGAGGCTCCGTCCTCGGCGCCTGCTGCCAGCCTCAGCTCTTCTGCCACATCTCCTTCGGTTGCTGCCAGCCCAAGCTCTTCTACCCCGTCTCCTGTCTCGACCTCTGTATCTTCCGACTATCAGCAAGGCATCCTCGACTCTCACAACATCCATCGCCAGAACGCCTCGGTCCCGGATCTGACTTGGAGTGATGACATGGCTTCCATTGCCGCACAGATCGCGGCCAGCTGCGTCTATGCCCATGACACCTCTACCGGCGGTGGTGGCTATGGCCAGAACATTGGTGCTGGTGCTCCTCCCGAGGACATCCCCGCCATGATCACCAATGAGATGTACAACGCCGAGATCAACTTCTACCCCGGATATGGTGGGGAGCCCGACATGAGCAACTTCGAGAAATGGGGCCATTACTCCCAGATTGTTTGGAAGTCCACCACCTCTGTTGGATGTGCTACTCAGTACTGCCCCAACGGTTTGGCCAACACGGGCAGTGACGTCAGCCCATATTTCACTGTCTGCAACTACAGCCCACCTGGTGCGTATATGCAAGAACCCATATTTTGTTCTGGACTCTCACTGACGTTGTTTTCTAGGCAACTTCGGCGGCCAATATGCCGCTAACGTGTTGCAACCCGGCAACATGCCCACCGTGACTTTGTAAATGGTGATTTTGCTTTGATGACCTGACGACTCATTGAATGACTTTGGGAGAGACCAAGAAGAACAGCAGACAACATTTCTCAAAAGAAGTCATTACGTGCGAGGGAGTTGGGAAGTGCATTTTTACCAGAGCATCATACCAGCATTTGAGCATTTGCATTCTGGGAAGAAGGCTGGGAACTTTGTTTTTCATGCGGAGGGGATCCGCGACCAGCGTCGCAGACAAGAGCTTTGTTGGAATTTTGTATTATTTTCTTTCTCTTCTGCAGGAGTGCTGCTTCACCATCTTATCTTTGAACTTCACTACATTTGATTTTTGATTCTTGGACCACAGCGGCCATGGTTTGGAGACATTTGGGGAGGGACAAAGAGAAGGAGAGAGAGAAGCCTACAAAGGCGATCGAGTCTGTAAATTAGACCCGACAAAAGAAAATGTATAACAGCAAACAGCATTTGGAATATTGAACGACAAGATCCCGTGGTCCCCATACAACTACTTCAATGCACGGTTTAAGTGGTCGTAGATTCTTCTCGGTTAGTGGCTGGCGCTTTGATCCATGGTTTCGGTCCTGATTCACACTTCCCTTTTGTCCATTCGCCCCAGCCTAGGGCGCTTATCCCTTGTCGGTGCTTTTCCCCGAGTTTCTTCCTTGGGCTGCGGAGAAATGGAAAGCTCTTACTGTAGCTGCCTCATCCTCTATTCTAGCGACTCTCTCCGATCCTGTCAGATGCTCTGCCCCCAGATGTCGGTTTTGGCCATGCTCAGGTTTTTGTCTTTTGGCGATGACCTCCGGTCAACCGCCGTTCCCTGGTAAGAAGGGCGCAACGTCATCGCAGAACGAGAACACCGTGGGCTCAGGAGATGTTCTAGAAGCCACAAAGATTCAAGTCTTTAAAATGGAGGTTCTGTCTCGATCCGATTCTGCATGATCCATCAAGCTACGTCACAAACCTTGGAAGTCATCTGGTGCTTCAAGTTTGTGGTGGAGGTCCAGCGGCAGTTCGATCGCACAAACACCGAGTCATTTTCTCTGCGTCCAGACATCCCATCTAATTTTTATTGACACAGCTCTGCCATTGAGAGGCTTGAATCAGAGCTCCTTGACTCTCTAGGAAACTAACAGAACATCTACTCCATCGGCTGAGCGATTCGACGTCGTCAGCCGGCACTACTCCTCGCAACCTCGGCGGCCAAGGGCCACTCCCAGCTAGCCTGTCAGACTGTGCTCTTCTACACGCAACTTTCTGTACGTCTTTCCTGTTTTCCTTTCCTCCGAGACGCTACCACCATCGCGTCTTTGCTCATGGGCCACCCACATTTTCCGCATTTCCACACAAAGTTACCCTCTACACCACTGCGATGCATTCCGATCACAGATTTGTGTGCCCTCAGTTTTCCCAAAGAAGGCGGAATTGGGGCGTGGAGAAAGGGCTCCATGTGTCTCCAATCTCTAACCTACTATGGGCCGCTATTAGGCTCTGGTTGCGGCCATGATCCTCACGCAATGCAATTGACTTGACCCCTCCTGATACTTCTGACCTCTGCTCAATACGATTTATCTAGACTGCGACTCCCTCATACGGTTTTCTTTCTTCCTCCACTTCCTCTTCCTCTTGCACGACCCCGGGGTTGGGCTCCCTTTTCTTTCTGCCCAGAAGAGACCTCGATCCCCCATGCCTCCTTATTACTTGCACGATTGCCATTACTTCTACCGTACCGCTCTTCGCCTTCTCAGTATCGCCACGCTAGTGGCGGCCTTGTACGGATGATCCAGATATTAACCATGCCTTCCTCCGTCACAGGAACGAGATATTTCACCCCTCCCCGATCCATTGACGAGACCTTGAACAGTCCTCTTGGCCCAAACGGTGTCCAGATGGGTGGGGGTCAGGATGAGCGGTCTCCGGAGACTGCGAAAGATGTCAAGGAATCGTATCCGAAGCAAGAGAAGGAAGCCGCGGCCAAGAAGGAACAACCCAAGCAAGGAATCACCTTCGCGGGCCAAGACAAACTCCCTAAGCTGCCCATACCCGACCTGGAGTCGACCATGAAGAAGTATCTCGAAGCCTTAGCCCCTTTGCAAAATAGCCATGAGCACAACGAGACCAAGGCCGCAGTCCGAGACTTCCTCGAGAACGACGGCAAGGACTTACAAGAACGATTGAAGAAGTATGCCACAGGCAGGACGAGTTACATTGAGCAGTTCTGGTACGACTCGTACCTCAACTATGACAATCCAGTCGTCTTGAACTTGAATCCATTCTTTCTCTTGGAGGATGACCCCACACCGGCACGAAACAATCAAGTCACCAGAGCGGCCTCGTTGGTGATCTCTGCGCTTTGCTTCGTCAGAGCGGTCAGAAAAGAAGAACTTCCTCCCGATACACTGAGAGGCGCTCCGCTAGACATGTACCAATACTCGCGGTTGTTTGGAACGGCACGAGTCCCGACGGAGAACGGGTGTATCATTGGCCAGGATTCCGACTCCAAACACGTGGTGGTTATGTGCCGTGGCCAATTCTATTGGTTCGACGTCCTTGACCGGAACAATGACCTGATCATGACTGAGAAAGATCTGGCCATCAATTTGCAGGTCATCGTTGATGATGCAGACCAGACCCCAATCCAAGAAGCTGCCAAAGGGGCGATCGGCGTGCTCAGCACCGAGAACAGAAAGATTTGGTCCGGCTTAAGAGATCTTCTCACGAGGGAGGAAGGCTCCAACAATGCCGAATGTCTTGGGATTGTCGACTCTGCCTTGTTCATGGTGTGCCTAGACTATACCGAGCCCTCGGACGTTTCTCATCTGTGCGGAAACATGCTCTGTGGCACCAACGAAGTAGTACGGGGGGTTCAAGTCGGAACCTGCACCAACAGATGGTACGACAAGCTGCAAATCATTGTCTGCAAGAATGGCAGTGCCGGAATCAACTTCGAACACACCGGCGTGGATGGTCACACTGTGCTTCGGTTTGCCAGCGATGTCTATACCGACACCATTTTGAGATTTGCCAAATCCATCAATGGGCAGGCGCCGACATTATGGACCAGTCAAAGTCCTGACCCTTCGAAACGAGATCCGGAGAGCTTTGGCGATGTCAGTACCACTCCTCACAAGCTCGAATGGGATATGACTCCTGAGTTGCAAACCGCCCTCCGGTTTGCCGAAACACGCCTGGCGGACTTGATCAATCAAAATGAGTTCCAAACTTTAGACTTCACGGGCTATGGCAAGAACGTCATAACATCAATGGGCTTCTCTCCGGATGCCTTCGTCCAAATGGCATTCCAGGCTGCATACTACGGACTGTATGGCCGTCTTGAAAATACATACGAGCCGGCCATGACCAAGATGTTTTTCCACGGTCGAACGGAAGCGATTCGGACCGTGACGCCGGAATGCGTCGACTTTGTCAAGACATTCTGGACAGACACTTCGGCGCAAAGGAAGGTCGATGCACTGAAGGCCGCCACGCAGAAACATACTGCCGTCACCAAAGAGTCCAGCAAGGCACAAGGCCAAGATCGTCACCTGTATGCTCTGTACTGCGTGTGGCAGCGCAAGGTCAATGACGAAGGAGCAGAAGCGGCTAGCACGACCGGCTTCAGTTCGAACGGGTATTCGAGTCCCACTGACGTAAGTGATGCGGGTAGTCCCAAGAGACTGGAAGAATCTTCATCGCCCATCAGTCGTTCTCGCGCGGGGACAGACTCTAGCCGTTCTCCGGCACCTGCTCTGCACCATATGCCTGCCCTGTTCAGCGATCCTGGCTGGGAGAAGATTAACAACACGATCCTCAGTACGTCTAATTGCGGTAACCCGTCACTACGCCATTTCGGCTTCGGCCCTGTTTCTGGAGATGGTTTCGGCATTGGATACATCATCAAAGACGACTCCATTTCAGTTTGTGCCAGCAGCAAGCACCGACAGACCCGCCGATTTGTGGACAGCCTAGAATCTTACCTGCATGAAATTCGTAGACTGTTGAAGGCCACCAAATCTAAAGATGCGGCAGCGGCGAAAATCACCCGCGCTCGGGAGGTGGAGGAGAAGGCAGGCAAAGATGGCAGACTCAAATCCCGAGGTCGCGTCATCAAGGCCGAAGCCGCGAAGATGGATGGATTTCAGACTCCCACCAGTATGGATACGGCCGAGGTGGAAGATGATAGTTTGGGAGGATGTAAGTGGTACCCTGCCATACGACGGGCGTACACAAGACTGACTTTGATTTTAGACGGTTTCTTCGACGCTGGTATGCTATTGCAAGCCCTCAAAAAGGATCAACCAAAACCATCCGAACAAATCGTACAAAAGAGGAGGACGGTGGGCAAAAAACTCGCGTTGACGGAGTACTGATGCATTCGTCGGGGCAGCTAAACATGCGCAGGGGCCTTGTCTATGGCCGTGACGAAATGGCCATGCGCTCGAAGATAGCATTTTCCTGGTTGGATGGGATTTTGGCAAATGGGGAATGGGGATGATTATGCCGCGACGTTTTGCCAGAACAAAGTTGGTGCGATGATTCGCATCGTTTTCAAACCAACCAGCCTCCGGTCGTGCCTGGATCAACAAGCGAGCCAATAGCTGTAGGAAGAGGGGTGAGGCGCGTAGGGGGTTTGCCGGATGACACGAGCCACGGTCGATGATTCACGCACTGCCTGTACCGTAATGTCGATAGCAGGAGAGCAATGACATACCTTTCTTAGGATTGTGTAATACTGGCAGGTGATGGAGTGGGAGAACGGCAGCAATACGCTGAGCACAGTCAGTCAATGCCCACGGGTCTTTCTTCCACCTCACCTGATCCCTCCCGAGGCCAAGCCTCTGACCCAAAAAAGCTTAGCCTCAATCCGAAGGGAGTCGACTTTGACTGCAGAGCAGCGAAGTCTAGTTACTCGAGCCAAAAAAGAATCCTCGCAAGCGAAGTCCTCCCAAAAGCAACTCGCTGCCTGCTTCTCATCTAGTCCAAGACCGTGGTCAGAGGCTGCGACGTCCTCGTTGCTCCTCTCTCTATGTGTCTTGCATCACCTTGAACCTTCCCCGCTGATCTTATCCGATCCTCGCCACTCATTCCAACGCCAGCCTTGCCCACTCTTTCACCATGGCAGCAGCTACCATGCCCACCCTCCCTGTCTCAGATGGGCTCGGTACCGCTGCCGTGGACAAACAAGACGTTAACCCCCCTCAAGTCCATACTCCTCCTACCACCGACGAAGGAAGCCATAAGGACGATGACGCAGCCTCGAGTTCCTCCCTCTCCGATCTCGGCGATGACATTGAAGATGAAGAAAACAGAATGCGATTCGAAGAGGCGGCGCGCGCAGGTGCTGAAGCAGAACAATACTCGGAGGTCAAGCCAGATCGTTATGAAAATGGGGTCCCTATCTTCACTCCGGTATGCTCGATGTCTGCTGCGAAGAACATCACTTCCTCCAATTTAGAAGACTGAACGGGAAAATAAAAGCTGATCAACTTCTTCTTACAGACAATGGACCAATTCAAGGACTTTCAAAGATATGTCAAGGGCGTCGACCCCTATGGCATGCAGTCGGGGATAGTTTTGATCGACCCCCCGGAAGAATGGTATGTGGCTATCCACCCAAAAAGGGGGGGGGGGGGGG